AAGTTCTTGTAGGTGTAGGTGTAGGCACCCGCCCCATTGATGGACGCGGTTGCTCCTGCTGCTGATGCCGGGGTCACGCTGTCTGGCGGGAATATGTACTTGGTCCGCTCGCTGCTCTGGCCCGTGTCCCAGTCCACCAAATGCAGCTGGGCGGGCGTCTCATCGTAGGTGCCCACCTTCTCGGCGCACTCGTCGAAGAAGCTCAGGCCATGGTCCCCATCGGACACAAACGAACGCTCCTCAATGAAGCGTATAAACATTTGCGTTTTCATCATCAGCTCAAAGAATTTCTGGTGCGACTACACACAGACAGAAAGAGAGATTCAGAGTCAGGATTATTCATTTCTTTCCCGCCCCCACCGCCTAGCTAATATTTACCTTATCGCGTGAACGCAGAAATGCCTTTAGCTGGAATAAGGCACTTGGATCGGTGGCCCCCACCGATGGGGCCTTCGATATGGGCACCAAATAGTCGCGATAGCCGCGCAATATCGAGGCCATGAACAACAGAAATGCCTCCTGAATGCGCTGCTCCAGCACCAGTTCCCGCTTCCGCTTGCGTATGTCACGGTCCAGGCTGTTCGTCGAGTCATAGCTGATGGGCTTGGCATTCTCCAGTTCGGTGAGCGTCTGGCGGAGCAGTCGAGCGGCACGCTTCGGCAGCAGTTTCGGCGACAAATGTCGCTGTGATTCGCACAACTGCAAAGTGCATAAAAAAAATTTAGTTGCGAGTCCAAATAGGTGTCAGAAGAGATCTCATGCGTACGCTGATATTATTGGTGTCCAAGTCAATGCAGGTGACATCCGTGGGCGGCTCGTAGAGGTCAAAGAAACGCGAGTCGACACCAATCAGATACGGCAGCGGGGCATGCAGCACTTCGGCCAGCCCAAGGGGACACAGCGGTATGTAGGGGCACTGCCACTTGAAGGGAAAGAGCAGCGAAACGATGGCCTCGGCCACAGCCGTCAGTGTGGCCGGTCTGAGCGAATGTATGAGTATCTTCTGCTCGGTGAGGGCCAGCAGCAGCACATGCAGACAGTTGTCGGTGCCCAGATTCTGCAGCAGCATGTGAAAGCCAGCGCCACTGCGCGGCAGTGGCGAATCCTCCGGCTGGGTGAGCAATATCCGATCATTCGACTCGCTGGACAGCTGCAGATGTATGCTCGGTGCCGGAAAGGGCACCTCGTCCAGCAGCTGGGTTATATAGCGCTCCACGGGTATGGGTATATTGACGCCATACAAAACCATGCGCTGCAAAAGGGGAAATAAATTCCATTACTGAGCAAAAGAATTGCAAAAGATTCCACTTACATGCAGATACTTGAGCCATTTGTCAAAGGTGTCGCCAAAGGGATGGTGCGACAGCAGGCAGATCGCCTTGATCATGTGCAGCGAATGCTGTGCACCATTTTCCTCATCCCATCCGAGCTGTTCCCGCTGCTCTGCGGACAGTTGGGACTCACTAGAACACAGAAAAGAAACAGAAACCGAATCCGAAACCGAAACAGCATCAAACAAAGTTCGAAACGAAATCCGCTTTGAGAACTCACTCGTAATCCTCGTAGAAGGTGAGGGCCGAGCCATAGACCTTGTAGGTGCCATCGCTGACGGTCAGCACGAATGTGCTGAAGACCGGGCTGATGGGCTTGCGCTTCTCGGAGCCATTCACATGGGGCCAGGCCTCGAGGGAGGCGCCCATGGGCAGGCAGAAGAGCGGCACGCTGGGGCACAAATTGAGGGGGAAATCGTTGTGATCGACTGTGGGATAGCGCAGCAGGATCTCCGGCTTGTAGCTGATGTGCTTCGGGCGGTACATGGACTTCTTATAGCACAGATAGACGTCGCTGCCCACGTAGCCCTTGTTCAGGGTCTTGTAGATCAGGCAGAAGGCGTGCGGCGCCCGCTCTCCCTTGCTCTGGACGATGACGCAGAGTTCGGTGACCACCAGCTCGTTGCAGGGCATGTCGCCGCGTGCCCGACGATACGTGAGGAAGGTCTTGGCCGAAGAGTTGTTCACATTAGCCACACGACCGCCCGGTGTCTCGGCCACAATCTCGGCATCCGACATGATACGTTCATGGCCATCGTAGAGGACACCTAAGGGAGAGACAGAATGAGAAGTGTTATCTCTGCGTGGAAAAGGGGAAAGGGGTAGGGGTAGGGGTTTACCCACCTATGTCAACCAGTGGTGGGCGATCCTTGCCACGCCGAAAGTATATATAACACTCTGTGGTGCGAACAGAGCCATGATTGAGGTTCGCCGGCAGGCCGGTGGGCGTCTGTTCGAGCAGCTCATAGCCCTCGGGCACCTCCTCGCCCAGTAGCGGAAAGAAGACGCCAATGTCTGTGATGGGCTCAATGGTGCTGGCCGCCCTCAGTCGTCCCGAATCGTTGAATATGTTCTCCTGCAGCAGCTGGGGCTGCTCTGGCATTCCGGCCACCACAAAGTAATCGGCAATGCGTTTCTCCTCCATAGTCGTCGTCTACACAGCACAAGCACAAGCACAGCACAGCAGAGCAGAGTACAGGCAATGGCCGCCGCTGCTGCCACAAACTGCCAAAGCAAAGACAAGACCCAAAGTCGGGTGGGTTAATGCGTCTCGAACGAATAATATGGATAGCAGATAAGATAACGAAAAATAACCAGAGAGATACAGTGCCAAAGGCTCTGTTCGAATACGATTAATAATTAACTTTAGTTGCTATCTGCGCGATCTCGAATGGAGTTAAAGCAAACAACTGCCCAAAGCCGCGGTTTCTGACGGAAGAAATGCAACTGAACCGATCCCCTGCCCTGCTCTGGCCAGCTGCGAGCATTCCACTTAATTTACAAAATAAGCTGAGAACAGTGAACAGAGACTGTTTTCTTCCAGAGAAATGTGACTCAAGAACACATTTAAAATGTGCAAAAATGTTTTCCTTAGGTGGAAATGCCAACGATATCGCCAGCCGCCAGTCGACGCCACATGCCAGTGCCGCCATCGCCACCGCCACCCCATCGTCTCGCATGGCGCAAATTCTTTGTTTACATTGTTAACGTACAAACATACATATACAGTTTCTGGTACGCTGATAAACTTGAATTCGAATTAAAAGTATATATATGTAAACACACAAACACACACACGCACACACGTACTGCATGTAGATGTGATGGAATCCTAATTTAGTTGGGGGCAATGGATTGGACTTTGTGTCTGGCGTTTCTATAGGCGCAATATTTCTATTTGTTTTATTGGTACCCCAACAACAATGAACAATGCAACATAAAACTATTCTTCCGCATGTACCGAGCATAGAATACCCCCTGCTCCCACCAAAGCGATCTAATTGGTATTCCAGACCCGAATCTGAATGCCATGTAGGGAACGGACAGATGGGACGTAGAGGTCTTGGATCATGCCGTACACAAACGAACATATAATATACCCCATTGCCTGCTGTCAGTACAGGGTGTATTTGTTGGGAGAAACAAGTTCCGCACGATGATTCAACTTCCTCCGCTTCCGCTGGCGGTATTCAATGGCGGGGCACAAAAAAACACTTTTTGTGTTTTTTTTTATACTTTTTTTGGGCTTTTTGTTTGTGTTGATTTGCCGATGCGTTGTGTTGTTTTTATAAGAATGCTAGCCGCTGCAGCAGTCACAAGCGGCAGGGCGGGCACAGGGGGGCGGACTTAGACTTACGATTCGAGGCAAGCAGTGGGGTTCCTGTTTGTCCTCCGGCTACGGGACTGTGTGGCCTTCGATGCGCTGCTGCTGTTGCTGCTGCTGTTGCTTGTTGTTTGCCTTGGATTGCAATTGTCGCTTGTCGCTTTTATTGTTGTTGTTGTTGGTTGTCGCTTTTCTTCCACTACTTCACACTACGTTAATTTCCACACACCAACACAGCACAACACTCACACATTCACGCGCGCACACACACACACAACAACATATATGTAAAGTGCTTTCGGGGCTGGCTACTACTTGAGAGTTTTCTTTTACATCATTTTCGTAATGTTCCCGTTTCGACGCAATTCCGCGATTAAAGTGTTTTCGAGCAACGCCGCGTTGTCTCGCACACCTTTTGCTTAAATCCCCTCTCTCTCTTTCTCTCTAACACACACACGCGCACAAACAATTTTCGTAATGTTGTTGTTCCGTATATTTGCACTAGAGGTGTCAAACCATCGAGGGCACTATCGATAGTATCGATGTTTTGCTGCTAGCCGCTACTATCGATGGTTTTGCGACTATCATGATAGTATCGAGCTACAGTCGTTGCGCTTTTGATATGTTTGAATCGGTTGCTATAAAATACGAAGACACATTTGCAAACGAATCGACAGGTGGCATCTAATTTTTACAAGTTGGACAAGTTCCTAAAAGGTTTCAATGGTTTTTTAATAATTATTTCAGCCCGATACTATCACGATAGTATCGATTGTTTTTTCAAAACATTCGACGTTGATATTCCTCGATTTTGATATTCCGTTTAATATTATTAGCTAGTTGGCCCTCTCAGCCATAAACCAATAATTTTATCCGATAGATACACAAATTTTGTTCAGGATTGGCAAGTTTTCAAAAGTCCTTTTTATTGCATTGTTTACATAAAAAGGTTCAAACAAAAACAACATAAAACGAATGTGACGTCGTTTTGTGGCGCTGCCAGACTCGTGCAATTCGTAGTTGAAGCGGGGTGCCATATCACGATATTTTGTGATATGAAATTCGTCAATTTTGATATTCAGTTTAATATTACTAGATAGTTGGCCCTCTCAGCCCAACAAAATTTTATCCAATTTCTCAATAAATTTTGTTTAGGATTGGCTAGGAGCCTGAGATTTCAAACATTTCCTCAATTCTAGAATATCCTTATCCCAAAGGGTATCCGAATGTTGCTCATTTCTTGTCAATGCTGCGGAACTCCAAATAGTTCAAATAGTTCAAATATGAGCGAACCAGATCGACAGACCGCAGAAAAAGGCGCAATTTTTAGAACAAGAATTTAAATTATGGTTATATATTTAAACAAACCACTAGAAAAAAAATAATATTATTAAATGGTATGCATAAATCTATGTGGCGGCGCCACCGCCGCCTCAGTCTCAAGCGTTCACATAACATCACTTCGTCACGTCACACGTCCGTCCATCCAGATGCAGCCGCCGCCGCCGCTGCTCCATTTAATACCGCTCCACCACAACGGACGTGGGCGTGTTGTCTGTCCACTGACTGTCCTCCTTGTCCTTGTCCTTTTCCTGGCCATGGAGGGTCAGTGTGCTCTCGGCGAAGGCTGCATTTAGGTTGCCCGCCAGCTGCGGCTGCTCCTCGACAATGGTCATGGCCACATTCATCGATTTCTTGCTCTGCCTCCTGCTTCCGTTCTCTTTTCTGCTATTCCTGGCGGAGCTGCAAGAGGTGGAAAGAGGGGAGGGGGGTATAGAATTCTGTTTGCCCGTCTGCTGTAGGAAGCACTTACCTTTTCTGCTTGCGACAGGCCACCATGGAGGCGAGCACGGCCAGAATGATAATGGCTGCCAATAGCCCGGACAGACCCGCCACCATGGTCATCATGCCATGCGGCTCTCCATCCGACGTGACCTTAGTGACTGCACAAAGAGAGCGTGTAAGTGGGAGCGTGTAAATGAGAGGGGAGCGGAAGGTGGAGAGTGATTTGTTGCTCCAATTTTGCAATGCGTATTAACGCGTCTCAGGGTCGCCTCCAGTCCGGCACCGGCGACTGCCGTTGAACTTCAACTTGACGCTGATCCGAATGATCTCGAATCGAATTATCAGAATGCGTGTATAGCCGGGCAGCAGACATCAGGTTTCGTGTGTGTTTTATTACCTTGCAGCCCACGCCAACCGCCAGTGCCGGAGGCAACGCACTTCCGCACTTTCTAAGCCGGAAGAGGGAGGCAACCTCCCCCCGCCATCCCTGTCTGCTTCTATACTTACTCGAATCCTCGACAACGAACCGCTTGGTGTTTGGCGACGACTGCACAAAGCTCTCCAGCTCCATTCTCATGTCCATTTCGGTGTCTGCGCCTGTCTCTGTCTCTCTCTCTGTCTGTGGGGTGGGGGTGGGGGGGTGTGCAACTGCAAATGGAAATAAAATAGAGAGAAAAAGGCCATGAAACATCTGTTCAAATGCATTCATTTCCATCAAAATATTGGCCCAGTTGCAGCAACGACGCAACCGCAACCCCACGCTCGACTTCATCCAATTGTTGGCCAATCCACTTGGCCGCTGCGGCTGCCATTGCTGCCTGCCTCTTACGCTCAAGCAGCTACTGGTAGTGGTACAACCGCTCAGCTTCTCCTCTCGTGCTAATTAATTGATTCAAGAGCCATCACCGCCAGCAGCAGCAGCAGAAGCAGTAGCAGCGACTCGTCTCTTATCAGCCAGCAGAGGGCAAAGCATTAGCTTTAGCTGCCTCTGCCTCTGCCACTGCTGCTGATTCAGATGTCAGTGATTTATTTGGCCATAATTAATTATATTTTGATTGTTTACAGGCCATTCAACAGGCACAGAGCAGACGCTGCAGATAATTGCGACGGGGAGCTATCTCTTTAAATTGAAGTTTTGGAATTTTATCTGCCCAGGGATTGTCGTCGGTCTGTCACGTTTGGCAATTAGACGTAGCCCCAGCCCCGAAAATTTCGGGCACGTGACAGGCTACAAGCTACAAGACACTTGAATTGAACGACCAAACACATAAAACACCTTTAGAGTATCATTGAATGTCTCCTAAACAGCGGAATTCGGCAGAGGGCTGGACCCAGCTAGGCGAGGGAGGCGAGGGTCATTCATGTTTGGAATTTTAAGTTCCCACCCCATCACACTCGCGTTCACAGCAGAGCGTCTTCTCTTTTTTTTTTTGGGCTGCTTTGCATTGGGACCGGTTTTCAGTGGGCCAGTACCCTCGCGGTGGGTGCGGGGCGGGGAGTCCGTCGCATGTTGCATGTACAAAATTACTGGAGAAATGCGGGCACGAGCTCTCAGTTCAGATCATTTCAGTTAGTTATAGTTTTGTGTATAAAGTATATAATATTACGTGGAGTATTACGATATAGTATTTGACATATGATATATGCACATATACTCGTAATAATCATCTTTCTGTTCTGTTCTGTTCTGTTCAGTTGTGTTGTGTTGTTTGCCTGTGTCTGTGCCTGCCCCGCGCTATTAATAATTTAATTAATTTAATCATTTGCGGTGGCAACAATTTGCAATTTAATTGCACAAATTAAGGCTTATAAATAAATTCTGGATAGAGGTGGGAACAGAACAGTTTTCGGGATTTGGATTGTCATGCCAGCGGCACACGATCATTATCCATATTTCACTCATTTTCATTTGTTTTTCATTACCGTTTCAATGCACCAAATCATCAAATCCATCGAATCAAAATGAGTTCAACTCAGTGGATTGGGCGGAACGTGGAAGAGTAGCATCGAAGAATAATTTCTGGTTTGAACGGACATCAAATACATACTAATCAATTGATTATCCATGATAATTTGTTCAAATGGAAACTTTGAGAGCGAAATTTCAGCTCAGCTTCAAATGTGGGATTCCAGTCACAAGAAACGGGAGGGGGGGAGAAACTTTCACTGAACCAACTTCAGTTCAGATCAGGGAAGATCAGGGTAGATCAGGAATTGACTTACAAGCAGTTTAAAGCAGTTGTGGAGTATGGGTCTTGGGTCTTATCCTGTGGTGACTATTTTCGAGAGTCAAATTATAACTGTGAACTAACGCCGCCGACACTCAGCGTACGACTAATGCGGCGCGGGTCTACATAAAGCTCCAAACCAAAACTCAAACGTAACGTAACTTTCGATTGCGCCAAAACGACGGCTGCGCAGCGTCAGCGTCAACGCTGACTTCGCTCAAAGCATCAGCAAGCATCAGCAAGCAGCAGAAAGCAGCAACAAGCAGTAGAAGCAGATCAAAGCCGATCGCCGTACGATCCGCGATGCCCGATCCGATCCCCGAACCCAGACATAACAAAAAAACGATCTTAAATCGAAATTCAAATGTAATTGAAATTGTAGACGCTGTGCCGCCAAATGAAAGTGATGCGAGGCACTCAATGCCGCACCCGAACCCCCGCTCCAGCCCCTTACAGATCAAGGCTCTAAAGGTGTCAGGTGTAACTGTGGTGTGTGTGTGTGTGTGTGTGTGTGGTGTCCCTCTCGAGAATTGCTTGTATGTACATGCATCGATCGATAACTGATAAGCAAAATTATACAAAAAACACAAATGACGAAATCGATACATAGGAAAAGAATTTGCGGTACAAGGCGCCATGACATGAAACAGACATGACATACACTGGTACATGCATATCTACATACATACATATGTATGTACACCTTTCTATATGCTCTGTGTCTGTATGTATTCGCACGCCTCCCTTCAATTAGTGGGCGGGCGGGCGCAGAGTGTGTGTGTGTGTGTGTGTGTGTGTGGAACAAGTGTTTTCGTAATGACGCAGATGGGTTTTGCAATAAACTGTTTTGTTTCTTACTTCAAATTTGTCCCGTCCCGGTACTTGCATCCCCACACCACCCCACCACATCCCACACATAGACTCATAGTTTAGCAGCAGGGCTCTGGATATCCGCTGTGTGCATGAATCATCACACTTGGGAGGGGTTGGGGTTGGGGTTGGAGTAACTTGAGAACGGAATATAACTTCTCTGGGCATGGAATTAGTCCATTGGTTAGATAAGGGACGTGACGGGACTTTTCTGCTTCAATTTCCAGTGCTTAATTGATCAGACAACAGTTCCAATTTGTTATCAGAGTGGGAGTGCTGGTGTGCTGTGCTGTGCTGTGCTGTGGAGTGGAGTGGTGTGGAGTGGAGTGTCCTCTTCAAAACTCAATTGATTGGGTGGGAGAGGGTTTCTGTGTTACAATGCCATAGCCATAGCCATGCCCATATTGTTACACACATGTCAAAATCTTCAGCAAAAAAAATCTCTCAGAAGAAATAGTCATAGTTGGGGCCGCCATGGCATATGAGTCCCCATGACGGGACTTTCCAACTCGTTCACATTCTGTCGACTCATCTCCGGTGCGTGGCGCGTAGTACACGCGTACTCGTATTCGTACAGTGAAAGCTCTCTCTTAGCGGATCGATCCGCACTCGTTCTCTGCTGGCTCTGGCTTCCAAAGATTCATTCACTATCGTGACATAAACATAAACGTAGAGGGCAAACAAATGGCTATAAATATACCCATATGGTAGCTTTATCTAGGATCTCCAAGTACGGGTTTTTTTTTGGGGGGTTGGACAGGGCAGGCGCTGGGCGTGTGGTCAATAGGCAATCAGTGCCCCCAGACAGAGAAATGAAAACAATCTCTCAGTTAATTTCATGGCACCCGTAGGTAGGGGGTGAGTGGAGTTTGGGGTTTCTGTATCTGTACGATGGTATTGCCCAGATAACGAATTATTGTTTATAACTTTTATACTTTCGCCTCAAGAAATTACTTTTCATTTTTTCGATAGAGATTTTCGCTTCGTTTTGTTTCGTTTCGTGTTTGTTTGCTGCTGTTTGTTGTTGGTGCCAAATGAATTTGCGTTTTAGCGATTGGAAGAAAAGAAACAAAAAAAAACGACACTTTTGTTTTTTTGCTGTGTGGGATGCGGATCGGTGCGGCCCTTAAACTTGCTCGAAAACGGACACTTGTCGATAAACAACAATTGTTGTCATACAAATCAAACAATATTGAATGCAATCTACTAAGTGCGCTAATGGAGGAGATGCAGGCGCGCGCCCGCCCCCCTACCCGTATGGTGTAACACTTACTCAGAAGTTGGGAAAGAAGCGTTGCTAATGGAAAAGTCCGTTAGCACACACAGACATACTTATCCGTAGACATATCAATTTGTTGCATAATTATTTGTGAATATATTCCTAGACACTTCTATCCCACAGCCCTTTCCAATCATGGGGGCAGGAATATTACTTAATATCACTTAAAATTCGCACTCTTAAATTCCATATTGCATTCCTTATAGTAATCGTACATCCATCATTGCTGTCTGTCTGTCCGCTTAGAAATATGGGTATAAGTATCATAAGTATATCCCACTCAAGGTTCCCATCAGATCCGACGCAAATTCCCAGATGGTTTTCAATTGTTTCCTGCCTGCTGCTGCTGATGCTGCTGTGTAATCTCTCATTAGATTATATCTCTTATTGGAGCTTGTTGACGGATACAATTTATACTTGTATATCACTCATCTAACTACGATTATTAACTGCATAATACCAATAAATCTACAGAAATTGATAGATAAAAATGCGAGGGAGGCGCCTCCTACTCTACTACAGGTGGGGGGATGAGTATTGTTTGGTAATTTCTATTCCTATTTAATTATATGACGTTCGTTTTTTGTTTATTGTTGTGATGCGCTGCGTGGGGTGGGGGAATACGTTCTTAAACCGATTTAGATACATGCCTCCGAATCCGATTCCGAATCCGTTACGTTACCGTTGTCTCCACTTCACTCCGAAAATAGCCGAAACAAAAATAAACAACAACAAAAACGAAATTGGATTTTGTACGGATGTTATATGGTTTTATATTGGCGTGTTACTGTTCTGTTCTGTTGGAACCGGCTGCGTCAGAGGCATTTGCCCCAATGGGCAATGAAAGGCGGCGACGCCGCTCCAACGCCGAAAACAAAAAAAAATTCGTTTTCGAACAAAGTTTTCCTTCAATGAGAATATACGACGTACCGAAGTACATATACATTCTTATACTACATAAATCCGTACAGATGTACGTACATACATACCGACATTCATACATACATATGTGTGTACTATACTATGGCTATACTAGTCGGTACATTTATTTCTTTCTCATTTTTATAAATAAACAAGACAAGAGATGTGTTCTCTGTTGTGCGCCAAATGTCTGTTGTTTGTTTTGTGCGAGAGAGCAGAAATGAGCCTACCCTACCGAAAAGAGATCGTGGGGGAGCGTGCCAAAAAACCAACCTCCGCTCCGCTCCGCCCCACCCCCAACAATTGAAAGTTGAACTCTGTTGATTGATGATTCTGCCTGGTAACCCCCAACCCCCAACCCCCACCCCAGCATCCTCTATCCCTATTAAACCCTACCGCTTCCACTGCTTACTGTTTGCCCCCGCGGCGTGGCTGTTGGCTGGACGGACGTGCAGGTGCACAGATCGTGACGGAATTGGCGAATTCCTAATTGCAGATACTGCGGCTACGACCAGAACTATTTATGCAAATGCAACGCTTCTCCGATTGTTACAGCACTGCTATTCTGGGGGAGAGGGCTGGAAAGAGCTGGAGGAGCGCCTGGTGTGTGCATACGAGTAAGTAATCATTGACGTAAGCAGCGCTTACGTAGTGGTAGTGGTGGCAAGCAGTGGCAGGCAGTGGCAGGCAGCAGGCAACAGGCGGCAACAATTACTTGTGATAACGGCAAACATTAATTGTATTGTCAAAAAGCATCCCCACCCCCTCCCCAGCCGCTTTGCAAAATAAATTGTCGTTGCGGCTGATAAATTACACTAATCGCTGGCGAAGCGATGCCGCGGCGATTGAGCGGGCTTTTGTACCCCGCCTCCACACACGGCACGGCACGGCACGATCTGAGAGCAGAAGATTTCGAGTATGCACATTCCGACGGATGGAGATGGGGGATGGAACAGAATAGAGCTAAACAGATTAGAGTAGCGTGCCGTGCACACAACAGACAAATAAATGCCATTTTACCTCTAGTCAAGTGTCCAGCTGGAACAGGAAGGGCCAGGCTCCAGGCGGAACGAATTCCCGTTGTATAGACTGCTTGGACTGCTTGGCGTGGGAAGTGGGAAAAACGAACAGAGAGAGAGCGAGGGAGGGTGTGTGGGTGGGTGTAGCGCTTTGTTTATTTTCCCTTTCCTTTTAAAATGTGCCAGCCAAAAGTTTGAACGTAAATGTTTGTCTGTGAATGCTCCTGATCCTGTCTCTGCTGCCAGTCGTCTCGCCCTGTCCTGTTAGTCCTGCCGCCTCGCCTCTTCGCTTAGAGCGAATCGATGCTGGATTTCTTTTTGCTCATGCCAAAAAACTCCAGCCAGGTCTTCTTGCGCCCAGAAGAGGAGACGGTACTAGGTGCTGCGGGAATTCCGCCGCCGTCTACTGCAGCAGCAGCGTCAGCGACATCAGCACCGACTACGGTGGCGGGCGAGGCATTATGGGCCTCCTGCACCTGTACGGTGGCTGCGTAATTGTTGGCTATTATGCTGTTCACGCTGGTGATCGTCGACAAGGTCCTGGAGGGTCGACCGCTGGCCGCAAAGCTGGCTGCCATTGCTATGGCCATGGCGGCGGGCGACTGCATCGGCATCACCGGTGTGCGAACCGTCGTTGTTGTCTCTGCTGCTGCTGCTGGAGCTAGTGCTGGGACATCAGCTGGTGCTGGTGCCGCCGCCGTCTGTTCTGCCATCGTCTCCTCGGGCGTCGCCGCTACCTGCCCCACCGGAGGAAGCTGCAACAAGTCAGTCGCACTGGGTGCGGGTGTGGGATTTCTGTTCCTGTTGTGTTTGTTGCGGCGCAGCACTTTGTTGATGAATGGCATACACATGGTGGTGCTGCGGAGTTTCAAACAATTAGCAACAGAAATAAGACTGAATTTGGAATTTTGAATCCGGGGACTCAGGCTGAGAATTTAGTTGTGACTATTTCAACGGAGACGATAAACAGACTGACTGACAACTGACAGCTGACTGAGCGGATTCCTTTGAAGCACACTGGGACACACACACCTGACCGGACCCGGACCGGACCGATGCCAGGCCTACTGCGACCCCCACGCACATTTCACTCCGAATAGGACAGGCACAGTGGTCCGGTCCAATCACCATTCACAGAGAGCAGCGCAGACACAAAGGCACTTATGCTGGCACCTACGCTGGCACCACTGTGCGCGCTTGCGCCGCTTGGGGGCAGGCAAGCAAGCAACGGCCGCCAGATGTGGCCGCATCTAATTATAGACGACTCCTGGCTTAGGCGCAGCCTCATCCCTTGTCTTGTGGCAGAACAGAAACAGAGACAGAGAACAGAGAGCAGTTGGATTTCGACTGGCGGCAAAGAAGCAGCAGCACAGCACCTATACAATGTCTTCGTTTGGAATGCGCGGCATGAGTCAGCCGCTGGGCATCAGGATCTGCTGCTGTCGCGTCTGTACGTGCATCAACTTTGGCTTTGTGCTGTCGCGGGTGGGACTGCTCAAGCTGATGCAACTGGGTCTGGCGATGCTCTGCGAGGGCCTGCTGATACGCTACGGTGTGCCCTACGCGGACTCCATTGGCCAGGCGCTCACCAGCTTTCTGGCCACCACAGGACACTGCTTCACGACGACCGGCATACTGCTCCTGTGCTATGGATTCTCGGAGAAATCGTACGGCCTCATTCGACAGTCGCTGTTTGTGAGTAGCTGACCGAGTAGCCCTTCCCCTTCCCAGCATCCAGCTGAAGATTGTGTTCTCGGTTTGCAGGAGACCCTGTTCAATGGCCTGGCCGCCTGCATGTACTTCAGCTCGTCCAGCTACATGGGATTCGCGTGCGTTGTGTGGCTGCATCCGCAGTTCTTGGTGCGTCCCGGCTTCTGGGCATATCCGGCCATGACCGCCTGCTACGTAAGTGTGGAATCTCTGCAGCATTCTGCAGGTAATCCTCCTGTACTCATGTATATCCTATCCCCATACTCTTTTAGTACATGGGCTATGCGGCGGGACTGCTGCACGCCATCGATGCCTTTCTGGCCTTCAAGCACTTCAGGGGAGGAGGGCGCTAGGAGTCTCTTGTGTGTGGGGGGTTTGATTAAAGCATTTATCAGTTTATAAGGCACACCTTTCCGCGGGTTAGAAGTTACACATTAAAATCGCATAAAACGTACAAATATAATAATGGACTTGATAATGGATTTGGTTGTAATAGCACCACCGACTGGAACTGTAGATTAGGAGGAGGAGACGCAGTGGGAGAGTGCCATCCTAGGCCATCTTGTTAGCCTCCGACTTGAATTTTCTGCAAGCAAAGGGGAAACACAGAGTTAAACAACGAATACAGAAAGGGAGGAAAGGAAAGGGAATACCCACTTGAGTTGCTTCAGGGCCTGGCTGGTCTCAAAGTCCGCTTTTAGCAGACCAATTCGTACCCAGCGCGGACGCTCATGGATGACCTTGTGAATGATGAACTTAAGGCCCAGCAGCAAATGCTCAAAGATGACAAACGACAGATCCGGCACCGAGGGCAGCCAATGCGAGAAAAATTCCCTGTAGAAGGGGGAAATTCAATATTTGATTGCAAAGTTTTCCGCGCACACTCACTTGACATTCGGCTGGAGGAAGAGTAGGCCGCAGTTGCTCAGCAGCGACATGACGGACAGCAGCTCGAAGGCCAGCTGCCAGGCGCCAATGTTCTTGGCCCTGCGGGCGAACGGCCGCTTGAAGATGTTGCACAGCTTGAACATGTCAATGTGGACGGCAAATACGTTGTTGATGAGCGCTCCAATGGCGGCGAAGGGGGCCACGGCGGCAAAGAGCACAACGAAACCGAACTGTATGCACACCTGCAGATAGTCCTCGTATGTGGAATGGTAGGCATCCAGGCCGGACTCGTAGAACGACTGCTCGTAGCGGGGCTGATCGCTGATGTTGTCCAGCTTCTCCTCGGCCACCTCGCGATGCCGAAACTTGACGTACTTCTGCCGCAGCACGGCCATCAGGGGTATGCCGATCTCCTGGGCAATGCACAGCAGCTGGAATATGAGCAGCTGCATCATCAGCTGGTACTTGAGCTGCTTGAGGTCCTGCAGCACGAAGGCGATGTAGAACTGCGAGAAGAAGTTGTTCACAATCTCGAAGAGCATCAGCTTGTTGACCCGATGCCGATCGTACTGGGAGCGGGTGCGATGATTCTCCAGCTTGGTGAGGAATGTGGCCAGCTTCTCGTAGGCCCATGAGAAGATGGCTATCAGAATGGACTGCACAATGACCGGCACGTACAGCAGCCACGATTCAGCGCCAAAGTCGGCCAGCACCTCGGCCTCGATCTGGAACTGGTAGAGGGCGAACCAACCGGCAGCCACCACACAGACCAGCACCACCGGATACGAGATGCAGTACATTTGCAGGTACGTGTAGCGCATCGGGTAATGCAGTGTCATCTTGCCGGTGATCGGATCGGGCTTTAGCTGGCCCTGGTAGTCGGAGCGCGGCTTGTCCAGGCTGCTCATCTCGATGGTGCCCCAGCGATACGAGAAGCCAGCACACTTGCGCTTCCACAGCTCCAGGAAGATCTACAACGACGAGAAACCCAATCAGTCTCACGATATTGCCACTCCTGGATGCACAAATGGGCATGCACTCACAGTTGTCCACACCACATAGAAGCTGCACACAATCGAGAGATTCAGGTCGAAGAGATACTGCAATATGCCAAAGACAGCGGGAAAGATCAGGGCCTTCGTGTAGAACTCGATGAAGCCAAAGTAGAGACCAATGCTGGAGCCAAAGTAGTTGCGGATGTCCTCTATGGGCAGATGGGTACGCTTCAGATTCCAATTGAAGCGATCCAAATAGAGCTGAAAGAGAGCGGGAACAAAGAGACAAGAAGAGTGTCAGCCAATGCCGAGCTGAGGCGGCTGATTACGAAATTCACCCACAATATCGTGCAGGGGAAACATGTCCTCGATGTAGCCCTTCTGAATGTAGGACTTGATCGGTGGCTTGATCACGTCCTTGATCAGAACGGGAATCTCACAGTAGCGCAGAATTTGGTCCTTGGCCATGCCGGGCAGCAGAAAGTCAGAGACGCAGCCATTGTTGAACTTCTGCATGCTGCCCGTGGTGGTCTTCTTCTCCAGCTCGGCCAAATCGGCCAGCCGCAGCAAGGTGTCCAGACTGGCAGACAGATACAGATACTTTTCAGTTTTCCTACATAAACGAAATGCCATTAAAGGGAGCATGTACCATGTGGTGTATAGGGAAGCGAAGCTCCACGCTCACCTCACAATTTCCAGTGTGGTCTGTATGCCGAATTCATTGATTATCTTCTCCACATCCTGACAGTGGCGCAGCTTGGCCTTCTCCGTGAATATGATGACTATTTGTGTCTAAAAGAAAGAGAGCCGTTAGCCGTTCTCAGGGTCATGCTCATGCTCCCAACCCATATCCCACTGAACTGACCTTGTCGAAGGGTTCTTCGCCCACGTCGGTGTCGTCATCGCCCTGAAGGGTGCGCTGCCTTTGCAGCGCCTCAAGCTTCAGGCTGTGCTGGCGACGAAACAGTTGATTTTCAATGATGTTACGGGTGCGTGGTCCTGGACCTGGCCAACAGAAGGTAGGCAGAATCATAAGAAAAAGTGCTTTGCATTCGATTATGCTTGTATCGCACTGTACTCACTCTTGGCATCTTCAGACATCATTTATCTATGATGATAATGGGCGAGTGGCAGGCAGTCGGTCGTCAGTCGTTGTCTTTGTGCTGCTGCGGGACTAATAACAATACTGAAAAGCCACAAAGAATATTTTGCTACAGTGGCATGAGTAAGTGCTAGGAAAGTGTGTGCCTGTGCCTGTGGCTGTGGCTGTGGCTGTGTCTGTGCCTCTCTGTGCGTCTCGCTGGCCCTGTAGTTGTGTGTTTGTGTGGATGTTTTCGCTTGCGCCAATGCCAAAATACCAATTTAATAATGCCAAAATATGTATTTCTGCCCGTGCCACAACAGCAGAAACCGAAACAGAAACAATCTTGCACTGGCTTTTGCCGGTTCTGCTTTGGCTGTTGCTGTTGTTTTTGTTTTTGTTATTGTTGCTTCTTCTGCTGGCGTGTACCGGATGGCGCATCTCTCAGGTTTGTGTGACGTCACATCAACCCGGTGTGTGTGTTATCGAATCGGATTAGCATCCACAAAAATTATGAAAATTGTGACAGAAAAGATGTCATAATTGATTTAATTATTAAACTGATTCGATTATTCAATTCATTTCCCTCTTTCCCGCCCACTTTCTTGGCCCAATAAATCATTTTATCGATTATGATTTGCAACTCTGTAGGCGGATATCAGAAATGAGCAATTTCTGCCCTCCGTGACTAAAAAACGAGTGAAATTTCAGCATATCGTTACTCTGTCACTGTGATTTCTACGTTCACAGTAATTTGCTCAGCTCTGACAATCCGCGGTCTGGCAGCCCTTCCAACAGCTGATGGCCCTCTGGTGCCGCGCGCGCTCCCTCAACGTTGTGATGCAATTTTGTTGTTTTCGGCCTAAAAGTGAAAGTTTTGACTGACCAACATCAAGGAAATCCTCGGTTGAAGACCCCCTGTCAACTCCATAGCACAGCCAGTAAACCAAGGCAACCAATCGGTGCAAAAGTGACTGCCAAGCAATAGTTATTACGAGGAAAACAAGGGGAAAACACAAACTCCAAAGGGCAGGCCAACCGATGAGCAAAGCAACAGCCTAGTGGCCAATGTGCGGTCAGATTGGTGTTGGCGGGGCTACTAGCTGGGCCTAACCTCAAAGCACGCACACAATCAGAGAGCAGAGCAGAGCCAGGGGAGTCATCCGCACACAAAAAACACTAATCTAAACCCTTCCGCATCGCATCCAAATCGAAAGTGTTCAAAATTCAAAAGTCATGCATCGCAACGTACCGGCACCATGGACCGGTAGCCTGCTGCCCTTCCGTGTCTCCACCACCACAAAGGTAAGCAGAGGCTGAAACGATTTTTGTTTGTTATTTACCCTCTGAACCCATTGATCAGGTCGTTATCTTCTCACTGACCGCTGGCGTGGCTCTGATGGGCGTCCTATCGCGTTTCTTGCGTCGCCGGAAGCCTCCACGCCCACCACGTCGTCCCAGGAAGTACACAAATCGTCGGACGAGGAACAGTATGCGCAGTCCCAACGATCTGCTATCGATTGCCGGCTCCAAGGCCTCGGCACGCTCGGGCAGCCCGGTTGGCTCGACAATCGCCTACTCTGATCGCCTGTCAATGGCCTCGGGCTCCATTGGCATTATGGGGCCCAGTGGAACGAATGCTGTGCCCACAGCCGTCACCCAGCTGACCGTACAGCAGCTGGGCGTCATGGGTATGGAGGCCCTGGACACAGTCATCAACTTCTGGGAGGATGCTCTGGCCTCACACTATTCGCCGGGCGGATTTCCCGCCCCGCTGACCACGGCCGAGGACTCGGAGTTCTGTCGCGAGATCCAGAACCTGCTGGAGATGGCCTACACGCTGCAGGAGCAGAGTGAGCTGCTCTTCCTTGACCAGCGATCGGTGCTTTTTCGCGAGGAACATTCCATAGACGAGGCCGAGGAGGATCGCCTCACCGCTGGCGGTGGCGTCGGCGGCGATGACGAGGACCGCATCTCCCGCAAGTCGGGCAGCGTGCTCAGTAGGGCCGGCTCCGATCCCAATTTTGATTCTGCGGAGAGTTTCGCCTCGGCCCTCGACCAGGTGGCCGATCTGCGGGAATTCGAGGGCTTCATCGAGACCTCGTACGAGGAGTATCCGCTGTTCCAGAGCGCACTGAAGCATCACGATGAGTACACGGTGCCCTGCCGCACCATTCGGGCGGAGCTGGTGCACTGCAGCACCGACACCGAGTACCTGGCGAAGCTCCACTGCGTCCGTCTGGCCTTTCAGTTTCTCTTCAAGGATCCCGCTGTCGGTCAGTGGATCTGCGATGCGGGCCGGCAGATCCTTACCGATCTGCTCTGCCTGGGCGACAAGGACACGAAGGAGTTTCTCGTTGGCTACGAGGACATGGTGAACTTCCTGAAGGACCCCAATGCATGGCCCTGCATCCAAATGGAGCTGGAGCAACGCAACGTCAAGGCAATGACCTTCTACGACATCTGCCTGGACTTTATCATCCTGGACTCTTTCAAGGATCTGGACACGCCGCCAGCCAGTGTCACGGCTGTGGTCCAAAATCGTTGGCTATCCAACGGATTCAAAGAGACGGTAAGCAAACGCATTTGACATTTAACATTTGACCTGACACCTGACACCAATTGGCACTCCTTTCTCTCTCGCTCGCTGCGTTGCATTGGACAGGCTCTAACGACGGCCGTGTGGTCGGTGCTGAAGGCAAAGAAGCGCATGCTCAAGTTCCCCAATGGGTTCATGTCCCATTTTTATGTGATATCCGAGCAGATATCACCGCTGATGGCCTGGGGCTTCTTTGGGCCCAACGAGAACCTGCGCGACATTTGTCACTATTTTCGCGAGCAGCTGCTTTCCTTCCTGGGCGACATCTTCAGCTTCCAGAAGAGCCGCTTCACCACCATCGAGGACTTCTCGCAGGATGTCCTCCAGCACATGCAGACGCGCGTCAACAACATAGGCGTCAAGTTTAGCCAGTAGTTTAACCTGCCCCCGTTTCCTAATCTTCTTTCGATCCTACAACGACATACTCCAAACAAGTTGACTAATTTTAAAGCCTCCCTCCCTCATCCATGCACACATCCAGACATCCCCCACACGCACACACATACCACACCAGCACCCAGCACACAGCACCCAATACCCATAGGGAGAGTGTCGCCATCATTTTTGTATGATTAAGCATTTAAGTCGCCAAAAAACATGTGTAAAATAAAACTGTTTACGCCTGCCTCCAAACGACAATCCAGCTGCGACATCGACAATGCATACCATCCCCACTTCCAGCTGCGACAGCGAAAAATCAGTGCTCAGTGTATTTGATGGGGTGGGGTTCTGGTATTTTACAGCCGGAGACTCCCTCTAGGTATGGATTCCACTCCCACTGCGTGGCCAGTCGTTACTGGCAGCTGATTGCAACAAGATCGAATTGAATCGAACTGAATCGAAAGATGTGCCGAGCCCTGGACTTGTGCTGCGGCCTTTTGTCGCTGAGTTCCTTTGTGAGTGTGTGCCCCAAGTGTCCCCCCAGTCGAAGGCTGATGCATGACTCTCCCACCCATCCATCCATCACGTACATGTGTAGATTGCCTGCTTTGGTGCCCTCCACATGCTCAACAAGATTGTGCACATCCACGGGGATGCAGCCGTTCATGTGGCTGTGCGTGTGCCGGACGATAGCTCGGAGCGCTGCAGCAGGACCATAATTGTGGACAACATTCAGGTGCCGCATCTCACCTGGCTGGAGCTCTTCTATATGCGCTGGACGATGGTGCTGACCATGTTCTATTCGTTTGTTATCATGATTTTGATTCGGGCCAAGTACGTGAGCCACTTTCAGATCAACCAGGTCACCACCAATGGGGTGAGTGAGCGCCCCCCCCCGCCCCCCGCCCTTCTCGTGCATTAGTACATTTCGATTACGTATATGTATTCCCATTGTGTGTAGATGATGCTTGTGGGCACTGTCCTGGCTGTCATTCTGCTCATCTCCACCGTGATACTCCACGAGCGGACGCCCTTTGTGGAGGTGTGGTGCAACAACATTATCGTCTACTATCTGTACTTCGTTGACCTCAACACCATTGTGGGCGTCTTCTACTTCATTTACACATCCTGCTACCTGCCAGCGGACGTTGGCGACGGGTACGAGGAGCCGGCATTGCTTATGTGAACCAAATAGTCGACATCAAACTTATTTTTCCAAAACAAAAAAACAAGTAAAATGTTGCCTAAATAAAATGCATTTATTCTACTCATACATGTGCATGTGCATGTGCATGTGACATGGACACCAGGTGGCTTAACATTCTGCTGTTCTGCTGCTGTTAACAGAGCACTGTTATTTCCATGCTATGCTTCAACGGCCTCTGTTAAGCAAAATCCTGGAAGAGCCTCCGAGTTGATTTTCATATTTTAAACATTTGAACAAATGAAAGAACGCACATGTTTATGTAATTTGAGTTTTATTCAAACAAATTGCTTTCATTTGGTTGGCTTTTGTGTTGGTGTTTTGTTGTTGTTGTCGGGACTGTAGTTTGGACTTCAGTGCAGAGTTTCGCTCAATTGAACGAGACCCAGACGCTAAACTAAACTGTGGAACTAAACATAGATCAGATGAGTTCTCTGCTCTGCTTTTTGTGTATGTATGTATATGTGGTAGATATATATATGTATGTGTGTGTGTGTGTATGTATATAGGAAATTTGCTTGATATAGTAGATGCAAACAATTACAAACTCTCGAAAATCAAACAAAGATCACACCTACTAAACACTCGTACGGAACCGGAGACCGGAGACCGGTGTCTTGAGTCCAACAAGTTCCATACATATGTATCTCTCTCTCTCGAAATCGAACTTTTAGTTTTGTTTCTTTCTTATACAAACTACTGCATGGGGTAGGGTGGTACTATCATCTAAACTTACGACTAATACCAAGTTTTTGGATATTGGTAATTAATTTATGTTTCATTTTGGGGATCTGCTGGCGGGTATTGGGGGTGTGTGTATTGCATTCCGCATCTCTTAACTATAAATGGAAGGGCAATCCCCATCCCCTTGGGTTAGCACGTTTTGGTAAGGTTGATTTCACATCATTATTTTGTTTGCTTTTCGTTTTTTGCTTCTTGCTTTTTAATATTGATCGCGCCGGTATAGCCTCAAAGGCTCTGGCGGCTGGCTGACTGGATCCTCGGGTATCGATGGAAAACACTTTCTCTCTCTCTCTCTCCCTCTCTCGCTGGTCCAGTGCGCTTAGGTGCTAGTAAATAAATGTTTCTTGGTTTTTGTTTAATTTTTTCATATTTTTTTTTTGTTTGTTTTTTTTTTTTTGTATGTTTATTTATCAATTTTTCTGTTTTAATGCCTAAATATGTTTCCTTTCTCCATCGGTCGTCGTCTCTTTCTTTCGTTTCTCTCTCTTGATCGTCTTTACACATTATTTATTATATATACATTTATATATAATAATTGTGTATATAATTAATTGTTGGTATAATGCAGTCTTTACGGCAAAACAAAAACAGAATTATGTTATTTTGTTGATTTTTCATTTCTCCATTTGTTTTTCATAGTTTCATCATCATAATCATCCATCTACACACCATTATTCATTATTCATCATTCATTGTTTCATTGTTCTCTCATTTTGTTTTTAAATACGTAATAATAAAAAATATATATATACTCGTACTTTTATGTGGTGTATACTATATAAATATTTTTAGTTTTTTTTGCTTTCTTTCAAAAGTGTTCTATATATGAAACCAAATACACATTAGTTAGGCGTGTTCCTCCTGGCTCCTACTCTTCTACTCTCTCTCTCGATCTCTCTCTCTCTCTTCTACAACTAGTTGTGGTCTTTCTCTGTTGGTTTATTGTTATTGCAGAAGATAGCATAAAATTAGTACGGTTTTGTGGGTCATCATAGATACATACATACATGTAATACATACAATTCAATAATCATAATCATAAGCATCATCATTCATCTTTCCTGCAGCGCCCTGCTCTTCTGCTAAGCAATTTCCTTTCTCATTGTGTATATAATTTGTTTCGTTAATAAATTTCCTATAATCCTAGGCTTTTGTTTATTTTCAAAGGCAGTTTAAAGTGCATGTCATATGTCATGTGTCATATGCACACCTCAATAAGAATCTCAACTTTTTGTAATATTTGTTGTAATGCCTATAGAAAGAATTCTTTGCTCACCATCTTTTTATTATTTGTTTTTGTTTTTTGCGTATTTCAACAACTATCTATCTACACACAGGGGGATGATCCTCACTATCATTTACTTATTACTCTTCTAGGGTTTAGTTAATTGCTATATGCGTTTTGGCTTAGACATTAGTATTCCATTTTCTTTAATTTTCAATTATTGGTTATTGGTTGTGGTTTCTGTTTGTGTGTGTTCCTTCTAGCCTTAAGATCTAACACTTAAATTCTAGTTTCAAGCACTTCGATTTTTGCAATTGTTTACAACATTCCTCTCTCCGCTCTCCGCTGCTCCGCTCCTCGCTAATTGCTACTTGCATTCGCATCTCTTAATTTGCTATTTGTTCCCTAAAGGCATATTCCGATGTAAAACATTTCTACATATACATATACATATATGTATGTTTTGTATTGTATTGTTAGTTTGGTTTTCTTAGCAAATGACATATGTATGTATGATGTTTTGATTATGCTTAAAGTATGAACGATATGAAAAGCATAACAGAAATATGTTTGTATGTTTGTATGTTTGCATGTTTGCATGTGTGTATGTTCTGGGGTTCTCATATGTCCTAGGGTCGCTCGAAGGTGTGATTATGTTATGCTTATGGTATTAGAGATACTGAGGCAATTCTTACAAAAATTCCTATGCCTAATTGATACCGATACCCCACAAACACACACATTCCATTCCATTCCATTCAGACATATGTATGCATGTATTTCGGTGAGGAGGGGGGGTGGGGAGGGGATGCTGCGAGTTATATTTCATTGATTGATTGATTGTACAATTGGCTAGTGTGCTTTTTGCGTATTTTTCTCCTCATTCTTTTACTGCTTATAACTGCTTATAATTGCTTGTCGAAGGCTGAAGGCACGACATAATCGCATTTCAAAAACAAAAGGGCTATTTACACGACTACTTATGGTGGTTTACAGCTGCGGCAGCGCCGCTGCCAGAGAGCGAGCACTCTGGCCGCCTGCCTCGCCTGCCTGGCCTGCTTGCCTGGCGTGAGTATTGGTTTCATTTTTGTGTTTGTGTTTGTTTGCTGTCGACTGCTTGCTTTGGCTCTGCTTGCTTTTGTGTTATTTGTGGTTTTGTCTTGCGATTACACATGGTAGATAATCCTTCATTTGTTTGCTTTTATTATTATTGCTAACGATTCGTATTTGTTGGTTTGCTTTTCGTTTCTTGATTTTAACTTAATTAATTATATTATGTATGTGTACGTATGCATGCATGTGTGTGTGTGTTTGTGTGTGTTTTTGCAAATGCATGTTTCAACTAAATAAAATGTATGCTTTTTGCTTTGTTTGCTTTCATTTCTCGATTTGTCAACAACACAGGAACAAGTTTCTAGATCTAGACTTAAGTTGCTTTTTTGCTTGTTTGCTTTTTCAATATATAATTAAAAATTTAAAAAAAAAATTCAAAAAAAAAATCAATCTATATAAATATAAATATATTGATCAATATATATCTATGTATATATGTATGTGTGTGTTTTTGTGTAGGTGTGTTTTCTTTTTGGTTACCTATGCGATAATAGTTTTTAAGAGGAGAAATAAACTTATTGTATTAAGAATAAACACTTAGAATTAATCGTCATCCGTTTGGGTTTGAGTCTAAGGCTAGCATGATAATTGTTTTTGTTTCCTCTCATTTTTGTTTGTATGTATGCAATGTATAAAGTTTGTATATATATATATATATATAATGTGTGTGTGTGTGTTTGTGTGGTGTGGTGTGTGTTTTCCGACTCATAACTAAACATAATTACAAATATTACTATAGTTGTATAGCATTAGTTCTGTTTGTTATTGGTTTACAAGTGACCAGATATAGGTGTGTTTCGTAAGCTTAAATGTATATAGTAAATATGTACTATATATGTACGTACTTTATGCTGTATGCTATTGTATGTGTTTTAATCGAACCATTTTTTGTGTGTTTTTCCTTTTTGTTATCTTTCTGTTTCTGTTTTCGTTTTGTTTCCCTACTACAACAACTGAATGTTTTCGATAGAAGCTTTTTGCACTTAAAACTTAAAGCGAAAACAAAACAAAAGCAAATAATATTTATAAATATATTATTGTGTATTATTAATATTATTGAAATAAGACTAAATTGTTGTGTTTGTGGTTTCTTTTTGGAGATGGGGTTGTGGGGGGTGGTTCTTCTTCGGAGGAAATCTCCTTCGAAGAAGGAAAAAAAACATCAATTTACTGCTTGACGGACTGCTTGATTGTAGGATTGTGTATGTGGTGTCGCGTGTTTTATTCATTTGGAAGGCACTTGAGTGCTTCTATTGCTTGTTTTTACTCATTTTCTGTTGGATTAAGGCTCTAGGTAAAGTTACAAAATGTTTTCTGTGTGTGTTTGTGTGATTAAAGGCACTTGAGTGCGCCTTCTCTTCTCGCCTTCTCCACTCCTAATATATATACTGCTTAAAGTGCGCTTCCTATTGCTTATATTTTAAGGCATTGCTTTGGATTGGATTGGGTTCGGGTGGAGTGGAGTGGAGTGGGGAACGGGTAGCGGGGTACTGACTCGACTGACTGTATGGTTTTCCTTCTTGCACTCTCCCTCTCTGTGGCTATAGCATACATTTACGATTTATATGATTCGTTTTACAGTATTTTCTTTCATTAGGCGGTGGTTTGTTCACAGTAAATTATCTAACTAAATATACAGAAATTAATTTACTAAAAAAAAAACTATATAATTACGTTAATTATTATATAAAAAATAAAGGTATGTGTGGGGGGTGGGTGGTGGTAGGGGATCTACGTAGCTGTATTTCTCTACGTATTATAATCGAATATAGAAATCGTATATTGCCTTTTAGTATTTTATTTTATGTCTACGATGGTTCTTCAATTACAGATTTATCCCCCCCCCCAATGGATGCGCATGGTAAGTGGTATACCATATACCATATAACCCATCTCTGTGATCTCTGTGTTTACAATTGTTTGTTGATTTGGGAGGGGGGAGGGGGGATGAAATTAACATAAATCTGTGAAAGAAGATGACAAGAAAATACTACCATTAGGGGGGGTGGGCATTTAAAGGAGTGTGGGGGGGGGTAAAACTCACCTTAGTATTATATTTTTGGCTCTTGTTTTAGTTGCGTTTCTCTTCTGATTTTTGTGTCCTCCGTTTCCTTCGTTTAAATGCAGAGAACACCAAACACAAATTCAAACGAAAAATGAAGTTGAAGAAACGATTCCATTCGATGCTTTGCTTTCCTTTCATTTGTTTCCTTTCTTTCTGTTTGTTTGTGTGTGTGTTTGTTGTTTGTGTTTGATTTTGTTTGGGTTTTTGTTCTAACTTCTAAATATTTTGGCATAGGCAACGACGATATATTGTTCCTTTCTTCCGTTCTCTCTCTCTTGTTTCTCTCTCTCTCTCTCTCTGGTTTCTCTCTCGTTTCTCCTTCTCCTTCTCTGTTATGTTCTGTTCTGTTCTGATCTGAATCATTCAATCATCCCACATCATGGCCAGCCCATTTCAATATCCAAATCCGAGTTGCAGCTCAATTGGCGCTCCCGCTTGGCTGCAGAAGCAGCAGCAGCTCCAAGACTAAAATTGGCTGTGCCTGTGGCTGTGGCTGTGGCAGTGGCATTGACAGCGGTAGCGATGCTACCACTGGAGGCAGCGGTGAATGCGGCCAGGGCATTGCGGTTCAATGGCTTAATGCAGCTCTGCTTGATCTTGATGATCGTCCCCGTGGCAGGGATCATTGTGCGCGCGGCCATCAGGCCGAAGGGCCTGCTGCCACTGATGTTGCCGATGGGCGTTAGCGAGGAGAGCGGCAGAATGGGGCCCGTAATGGCAGTGCCGGTGGCAGATGTGGCGGATGTGCTTTGGATGGCGGGATTGGAGGAGGAAGAGGTGATTGCGCTTGTCGTCGCTGTCGTTGTCTTGCCTCCCGCCGTCACTGGGCTGGGATCATTGTAGCGTGGCCGCTTGTTCTGCAGCTTGGTGGCCCAACATTCGGTGGCCCGTCGCCGGGCATTGGCACAGATATTGTCACCCGGTGGCGCGCTGGGTGTCGAGTGGGGGAACAGCCCTGCCTCCGACTTGTCCCGCGGGTAGGGTATGTGGCGGCGCTCCTCGTGCGTCTGATGCGACATCTGGCGATACGATTCGATCTGCTTCAGCCGCTGCACATTGCTCACCGCCACATTGACCAGATCCCCAGCCGCATTGCTAGGCATTGTCTTTGCATGGGCAGCGGTGGTATTCACCAAGATATCGCTGCGCGATAAAGTCTTCGATGCCGTGAGGATCTGATCTTCCAGTGCCCGGGTCTCGTTGGCGTCGGTGATGGTGCTGGTGATGCTGGCGGCGGCGGGTGTGCCAGTGATTCCGGCATTTTTGTTCTGCTTGGCCCTTAAATGCTGCAGCTCCTCCGGCGAACGCTGCTTGCGGAACTCGTGTACCAATGGATAGATATGCTGTATGGCCGATTCCACATCGTTCACGCTGGCGGCTAAAAGCAAAAAGCAAGTGCGATCTATAGAGAGAGCCGGAGAGAGCTAGAGAGACCTGTCGAAACTCACCTGTCACTGTAATGCTGCCCGTGGAGAAGATCTTCAGCGTGGCCTTTGGCATTTTCATCTTGTATGTGACACCCGGATGCAGTTCCGGCTCGTAGCTGGCATTCTCGCGATGCTTCTCCGAGAAGTTGACAATCTTAATGGCCCAGGGCATGCTGCAGGTACCCAGAACATTCACAATGCGAAAGTTCTGAAAGCGTGTGGGGAAGCCGAGTTTGCCCAAGACCCGGGCATACCTTCTGGCTGCCACTTTGGCCTGCCGAATGAGAGTGAGAGTTCGATTAAGGATTTGCTTTTGGGTCGGGTCGATATTAGCTGGTTGCACCTACCATTATCTCAGAGGTGGCGCCTGTGCAGGTGATCCTGCCGGATGACCATATGGATGCCGTCGTATAGGGGCGTCGCAGCTTCATGGTCACCATTCCGTTCTCCCTGCGATACTCCACATTGCAGCCGCGCAGCGCAATGTCCCTCAACTTCAGGTGGCATCGCACACTGAACGAGCAGACCACATTGTTGATCACAATGTCCAGTTCGGGATCGTCCGCCTCTGCTGCCTGTTGCTGCTGTTGCTGTTGCTGCTGCTGCTGCTGCTGGTCGCTGAGCAGCGCCAATGGTTCATCTGTGACTGAAGCAGCCACTGCTGCTGCCTGAGTGTCTGCTACTGCTGTGGCTGCCATTGCCACTGGTGGTAGTGGTGGTAGTGGTGGCGGTGTCTGCACTGCTGTGGGCTCCATTTTGGTAATCAGTTCCGGTTTGATCACAGTAAGGGAATCCAGCAGATCCTGTTGCTCCGTTTTGATGCGCATGCCATTGGTTACGACAGCCACTCTGCCGTTGGCATAAAGATCCCCATTGGCCATGGGCTTGCGCTGGTGCTGCAGATGCTGGTGCTGGTGCACCAGGGTGGTGGTGGTGGTGCTGCTGCCGGTGGAGACACCGGAGACGCCACCCTTGCTAAATTGTGAAAAGTATCGCACGCCACCGCCAGTGGCCGAGCCACCGGCCGATCCAGACGCCGCCTTGAGGCCGCCATTCAGATTGGCCATCGGTATGCTAACCATTTCGTTTTGCATCAGCGACGCACAGGAGGATGCTGTGGGGAATCTCGTCGACGTTGCGACCGTCGTGTTGCTGCTGCTGCTGCTGCTGCTGTTGCTGTAGCTGCTGCTGCAGCTGCTGCTGCTGTACTCGTGCGGATAGAAATGGTTGGATTCCCCGTATGGAAAATGGCTGAAGAATGCTTCTGTGTGCAGCCTCTGGTGTTGCATGAATCTCTGCCTCTGCTGATCTAGCTCGCTGACCGCCTCTTTCTGCTTGCGACTCTGCGCCGCCTTCTCCTCTTCGATCAACCGGAGCTCGTCGCGCAGCTTCTGCTCCTCCTCTCGCTGCCGTTGAGCCCTCGCCTCGCTCTTTTTCAGCTCTGACCACCGCTCAAATTCTCTATCTTTTTCGGCCTCGTCCCGGAGCCACTTGGCCTCCGATTCCTTCTGCACTCGGATCTGATGCTCGATGTCCTTCTTCAGTGCCGCGATACGTTTTGTGGATTTGGCCTCCTCCTCCACAATCTTCCTGTTTGCCTCCCGACGTCGGCGCGCCTGCTCTTGGGCTCGCGCCTTTTGCTTGTTGCTCTGACGGTATGCCTCTAGCTCCAGCAGGTGCTCCTGGTGCTGTCGTAACTTCTCCGCGTCCCTATTCTCCGCCTCCTTCGTACGCTCTTCCAGCAGCCGCAAGATCTTTGATGTCTGATTCTCACACTTCTTCGTGCCCCAAGCGCCTAGGAGCTCTGCTAGCCCTAGAGTTTCTAGCGATTTAGATACAGCCGCTTCGGGGGGAGTCTTAGCAGTCTCCTCTTTCTGGTCGCTGGGATTGCGCTTGCTGTAGGTTAGTATGCCGGTTACCGGGTCTAGGCATTCGTATATGACCTCCTCAACTGGTTGCCCGTGTTCGTCGACGTTCGGCGACTCAGGCTCCTCTAGGTCCTGTGATTCGTTAACGGACACAAATTCCAAATCTGCAATTACATTGATCGGTTCCTGCTGCTGCTGCTGCTGTTGCTGCTGCTGCTGCTCCAACTGCTGCTGCTGCTGTTGTAGCTCCAACTGCTGCTGCTGCTGTTGTAGCTCCAACTGCTTCTGTTGCTCCAATTGCTGCTGTTGCTCCAACTGCTGCTGCTCCTGTTCCTGCCTGAATAGCTCTTGCTGCAATTGCAGTTGCTGATCCAGCAGTTGCAGTTGCTCTTGCTCCTCTTCCAATTCCTGCTGCCACTCTTGGAATTGCCGCTGCTGCTGCTGCTGCTGGTGAAGTTCGAAGCTCTGCTCAAATAAATACTCGTAGGCTAAGATGCTGCTGCCGCCGTCTGGTGTGCATATCAGGCCCCCTGAATCAACCGATTTGTCGCTTTGTCCTCGACTGTCGTTTGCTGTCAACTCTGGCAGTTGCTCCTGGCCAGTTGTGGCCTCTGGATGGTGTGTCTGCTGATTTGCTTGACAGATCCAATCGACCAATTCGCGTTCTATGCGCTCCTGCTCTTGCTGCTCCTCCTGCCTTCTGCAGGAGTTGGATGGCAATTAATGTTGTTGTGGTTGTTGTTGTTGTGGTTGTTGTTGTTGTTGTGGTTGTTGTTGTTGTTTTTGTTGTTTTAATTTTTCTAAATATTTCTACGACTGTGTGGATCTTTGATGTTTGTGTGTGTGTGTGTGTGTGTGTGTGTGTGTGTATATAGCTGTTTTATGCAATTTCTTCTCTACTTACGAATCAGACATTTTGATATCAAATATTCTTAATTCTTGACTAATAATTTTCTTGAATCTGGAATCGAATCTTGTTTCTCCGCTTTTTCTAGGCTTCTTTATCAATTATTGCTTGTTTTTGTTTTTGTTTTTTGTTTTTTGTTGTATATAAGGCTTAAAGTGATTCTTTCCAAGCTTTCAATATGTATAATATTAGTGGTAAGGTAATCTGCTCTGCTCTGTCTGTCTGTTTGTCTATCTGTTCGATGCCGAAAATACTTTTTTTTTGCTTTTTTACTTTTGCTTTCGAATTTTTACAATTAAGTTTTCTGTGTGTATGTGTGTGTGTTGCTGTGTATGTGTGTGTGTAGTTTTTTTGATCTCTCTGTTTTATATATATATATATTATTATTGATAAACTATTAGTATTATGTTTAATTCTAGTCTTTCTTCTCCTGGTTGTTTTTGTTGTTGTTTTTGTTGTTGTTTCTATCTGTAGAGTTGTTGTTCCTTTTAGCAGTCTGCAAGTAGAGCGAAAAAGAGGAGCATTAGATATACATATATTCAGGTTTAGTTTAAACGAAAAAGAGCCGTAAATGTGTGTTCAGGATTAGGCCAAACAATTAGTTATTAATTAATTAGTTCCTCAGTTAATTACTTGGATATTTTCCAAAGACCCGTCTCAGGACAACTCACAGCAAAAAACAACACAACCGGCAGGCAGCAGAGACAAAAAAAATTGTGCACTGAATTTTCAGAGTTTCAGATTTGACAAGTCACGATGGGAAGGAAATCTGGACAGTTTGCTGAGTCTATGTCAGTTGATGGGCCAAATCGGTTAGTGTTATCGATAGCCAGCCGGTCAACTGACGTTTGCGTCGCCTGTCAACACTAACTGGAACTTGGAACAGGATTAAGATTGAGATTGCATTGGAACAGGATTAAGACTGGATTGGGACTGGATTGGGGATAGAGCTACCAACTAAATACATTTACCTAATATTTCATTCGCTAATGCAACTGGAAAACTAGCGGGACAGGCAGGCAGGTAGTGTTAATAACATTAGGGGCATATTTGTGTACTGTTAGCCACTGCTAGGATCGGTCAGCTGACGAGAGCGGTAGAGAGACGAGGCTGGTGGGCTGCATTGGGGAGTTGCAGGCGCAACACAGCAACAGCTACAGCTTCAGCTTCTGGGTCAAGGACGCGCATTCGAGAAACTGGCACACGCACACACACACACGCACACACACACACACTGCCCAATTGAGCACAGCGTCGACGCAACAGCCAGCAGCCAGCACCAACAGTCACCGTCATTGGGGCGGAGCATCAACAAATCAAATGCATGCACGCAAAGTGGATTAATGAAAGGTGAGGCAATCACATCTGATAATGCTCTCCACACATATTTGTACAACAGGATGTATGTCGTACCCTGCAAAAAACACAGCCTGGCATCACTTATGCTGGCTCTGGCTGCTGCACACACGCACTGCCATCTCGCTTGCGCTTGCAGAAAAAGTGCAACAGCCAGCAGCAGACAACAGCAGCAGCAGACAAGAGCAGCAGCAGCAGCAGAGGCTGCGCTATTTTCGGAGCAAAGTGCAAATGAAATTGTTATTGTAAATTAGCAAATTGCCATAAATTAAAAGAATATACACAAACACACACACATACGAACGGAAATATTATTTCTCTGGCCGAGTAGCAAGAGATGGGAGGGGGGGGGACCTCGACCCGAATTCCCTGGCATCTAGGACAAATCATTGAAAAAGAGAACACATTGTATGTGAGCCTTATATGAGGAACGACGACTAGACTATGGTGGTGGAAGGGAGATGCAGCTATTATTCCACACAGAACTGCTTGCCGAACTGCTTGTTCTTGTTCTTCTCTAAGCTGATTACAACAGCCGCCAGTGTTGTATAACTATGAGAGCGTTCAAAAAAGTGCTAAAAACTCAAGGTTTTTCCCCATGGTTCCCCATGAAAAGTGCAACACTCCCGCGCGTATCCGGTACCTCTCTGGCAATAGAACTTTTTTGTCAGTGAATTCTCACAATCCCACGAGCACTTTCCGGTTGCAAGTTCGACACCCAGAGAGACAGATAACAGAATTTATCATAAATTTTATTGTTGTTGTTACGCTGCTGCTTGGCCGGATGTATTTATGTACAGACGAGAAAGAGAGAGAGTACAATGATGTAGATGGTGTCTCACCGCCCCCACCCCCACCCGCACCCCAATCCCATCAACTGGAGATCATTTAACTGTGATTCATTTTAAAATCTAGCAAGGCGATATGGAATATTTACATGGGGAAATAAAAGGAATAATTAAACTCTCCAATTTACGGCAAATAATTATTCTATAGGCCTGCCATTCGTAGTATAAGAAATGAAAGTGATAGACGCCGACGCCGACACATACATATGTATGTATCTATGTGTGTATAATTATTCGAAGTCTTCTTCGTTTGCGTGGGTGTTTGCGTGGTTGTCCGTTGTCTGTGTCTCCAGTTTCTGGGTGACCCACAAAAGCAGACATCTTAGACTCTATTTTAGTACGAATATTCACACAAATATTTTCGCTGGATAAACAACTTTATAAGAAATCAAATATAACTTAGTGCCTGCCAAACGCAGTGTCCAGCCTATCCGGACAATTAAATAATGATTCGCTATTCGCTGAGAGATTTGCTGGGAGATAAACTCGTATGAGTTCGAGTTCGTATTTGCTTAGTATTTATATTTAAAGATATTTGGATTCCCATTCCTAGTTTGGGGAGGATTATGTCGAATAAGGCTCCTGGCAGAGGTCTACCCTTTTGCGGCCAGTGTAACCAGAGGTGCGTCATCGGTGAGACCAGACAACACCAGTATGTGCACGTAGCATAATGCATATATGTATGTACGAGTTGTGTCAGTGTTGCCCCTGCTCACATGACGCAGACACATTTTTTGAGACGCTTTGTTTGGGCCACGGCTCACGGCACGGGCACGGGCAGCGGGCACGGGCATCGGGCATCGGGCATCGGAATTGTTGGCTATTTTTAACAGTTCGAGAACAGCGCGGGTCAAAAATAGGAAGCTATAAAAGCGATTCAGAGAGAACACACAAATGCACAATAAATGCAAATAAAAATGCCCCAGCGTCGTCGTCCATTGCTTGAATTTCAATAAAGAATGAATCGAATGAATCCAAGCAGTAGCTAAATACATTTGAAAAATGTACAAAGCATTTGATGATTTCACCCAAATTTTTGTGTTGAAAACGAAATTGAAATCATTCCACAACACTCGAAAATGCAGCAGCAGCAGCAGCGGCAGCAACAGCAGTGTGCATCCGTGGGGGCAGACATTCTGATAATGTTTCAAATAAATAAATAAATATACTACATTCATGCAGGCAGGCAGGCAGGCAGGCAGGGCAGACAGACGGGCACAGACGGCTGTCACAACAAGCGAAAATGTTTAATGAAATTGAATTTAAAATTCACGCAGAGACAAAAACAGAGCCCAGAGACCAGAGACCCCTAGATATGCCCGTACATACGGGGGTAAATACTACCGTATAATACGCTCGTATGGTAAATGCAGTTCATTAACCCAAAAAGCGAGACGACACACACACAAAACGCAGAGGAGACAAAGGTGCGCAAAGAAGCCAAGAGAGAGAATGTGTGAAAAAACGTAGGCAGGCACACAAACAAGAATTACGAATTAAGAGAATCGTGTAGGATAAACGCTAAAAGGAGGCAAATTCTTGACATATGTACTAATCGAAGATATTAGAGTGAATGAGACATACAGCAGCGCTCATCGGTTGGTTCTTCTTTTATGCCTTGAGATCCCAGGGATCTTCCCAGCCTTTTTTTCAATTTATAGAGTTTTATATCGAATGGAAAGCTACGTGGTGTGGCGCGCGTTATGCAGCAGCGCTCCTCGGTTGGCTTTTCTTTTCTGCCCTAAGATCCCAGGGAGCTTCCCAGAAATCTAAACCATTGAAATAATATTTATTCTCTGGGATATGCATAGGTATGAAGCTCTACAATTATCAGGGGGAGAGGTATAACCCTGTCCGAACTCTGTTCAAAGAGAGGCAGGCAGAGAGAGAGTGTGAAGAGAGTGTCGTTGGGTGTATTAAACAAAAGGCATTATACTAATATTAATAATGAAGGCAGCAACAATAAAGAGCAAACAGAGAGACGCAAATGAACTGCGAAATTCAGGTTCAAGGCCACACAGCAACAACGCCAACGACGACTACGACAACGACGACGACAACTGTTTGCCACCCATTTTCGGTGCTGGGTTTTATTGGTTTATTTTACTTTGTTCTGTTGGTTTTTGGTCGTTCGTCGCTCGTTTCATTATTTGAATAAATCTATGAGAAGGTTGAACGCGAACTTTGTAGCACATAAAATATATTATTATTCTATTATTAATATAAACATTTGCTGTGTGTGTGTGTACCCGCATGATGCCTCATAATTGGCATTAAAAACCAATCAAGCATTTCCTGAAAATAATTGTACCCGATATCTCTTCCGATATACATACATATGTATGTACCAAGAATATTCTACAAGTATGGGAGGTGCCCTCTCTTTGTGTGCTGTGTGTGTGCTATGTGTGTGGGGAGTGTGGTGTGGGGATCTGGCTGAACGACAACTGTAATACGAGGCAAGGGTTCTTTGAAATGTGAGCTACGTGCACGACAGACGACACAAGGGGGAACGGAACCATAAAAATTGTACGCCATACGCCCAACCCATCGGAGGGTTGTTTGAGTGTGCAGCGCGAGGCTTCCGCTCCATATTTTTGAGGGGAGTCGTCGTTGTCCGTCGAGTAGTGGACACACGATTATCAGGCAGAACCAGAAACAAGAGACCGAACCAGAGCGACAACATAGGCAGCCAGTGGCATGAAGACTGTTGCGCATACAGACAATTATCATATGTTTTTCCACATAAATCCATTAAACCCGAACGAAAATAGCTAATAAAATCATTAGATAATCAACAAATGTCAATTATTTTAAAGGGAAACCTAGAAAAGCTAAGTTTTCCCACGATAAAACACTTTAGATTGGTTGTATGGTGAAACCTTTGCAGAAATTATTATTAAATATATTTCTGAATAAAAAAATAATGCAATGGGAATTATCATCCCGAACCCAACATAAGCCCATAAGTCTTGGTTAAATAATTTAGGACTGAAAGCTTCTACATATACGAGTACTATCCCCATTTATTTATCATAGTATTTCCAATTGAATTTCTCATATAAAAAATCTTTAATTTAAATTTAAATTTCGATTTTGTGTTGTAACCAAAATCCGGTGTCGCCCCCTTAACCACCTGCTTCGTGTGGAGGCGATTGGAGGATGACTCAACAGCGGATTTTGCCATCAGCTGCAGACGACAGCTGTTCGGCCCCCCCATCGCTCCAGTAGTCATCTAACAGACAGATTGCATAGACTCTCTTCCTCGTTCCAGGTGGCAACGGAAACGGAAAAGTTCTTTGCATGTTCTTTCGCAAATCACGTGTACCGACAACAGGTGCAGCTGCAGGTGCAGGTGCAGGTGCAGGTGCGTGTGCGTGTGCGTGGGGTGTCCTTGCAGTGCAGTCACGTTGCAGTGACCCAAATTATTGTTGCCAAACAACGACTAAGGAGCAATTAAAAAATGTGACCCTGTTCGAAATAGATATGCCAAAAGAAGGCATACATACATATTTATGTACATGCACATTTTTATTGATTTAATACACGATTTAGTGGCACTGCTCTGGCGGGGGGAGGGGGCGAAAAATGTAATATTCACAAGGAGAGGAAAACGTGAGACGTGGATGTGTCAGCGGCAGACAAAACGAAACCAGGACACACCAGTTGTTCAATGCAATCCTCCCTCCACCGTTGGATTCGGATTGGGTCTCTCACTCATTGTTCAGTCGCCCACAGCTGGGTGCCGCCATCATCAGCTGTCAAGCGCAGTGTTGGTAAGAGCGGAAACACTGCAAAATGTTACATAAGATATCAAGGCAATGACAGCCGTCCTCGTCCCCGTCCCCGCCCACGCCCACGCCATTCGGCATTCGGCATTGGATCCAGCTCCACCTTCACACCCACTCGCACACATCGAGGGGCAATCCTCGGTTCTTCATCATTCAATGAAGAGGTTAGTCACTCCTTCAGTGATCTCATCTCCCACACATTCACGAGTCACGACTAACGAGTCACAGCGTTTTCACTGTGACCTCATTGATGGCGCGTTTCGAGACGAAGCTAATTTCCCAGTCACGACCAAAAATTACAGCATCTATTTCTTGGCACTCTCTGATGGGCGAACTAAACCACGGAATTTCATAGAGAGAGGCATGCAGGCACACACACACACACACACACACAGATTCATGATAAACGGGTTTCCCCAGAGAGCAGACGAGAGGAAGGGAGAGACGGATCGAGAGAGACCGGCAATGTAGCCAAGTGCGTCACCGTTTTGGCAATAGAGAGAGAGAGAGAGAGAGAGAGAGGTGCACGTGTATTGCCTGTGTGTGTGTGTGTGTGTGTGCATTTGTGGCTGGATTCTGCACTTGACCATGGCCGATGCAACGATCGCGTTGCTATGATAAGATATATGCATGCAGCAACCAAAATCATTCTCCTTCTTTGACCATTACTCACCTCTTTATAGTCTTTAATTAGTTTTGTTTCTTTTTCTTATTTGTTTGCTTTAAGATAATCCTCTTTCTTATTTAATTCTTTCTCGTCATTTGGATGCCTTTATTTTGTTGTTGTATTTCTCGACCTCAAAGGAGCCTGCAACCAGAGAACAAATATATATAGATACCAACAATTATATCCAGGTGCACAGTTCTTTTCTCAGTTAAGCATAAAATATACAAAGGCTGTGCCGTGGAGGGGCAGGCAGGGGGCCAGTGGTTGGACCACAGAGCACAGCGGATGTGCACGACCACGAGTGTGTGCGCTATCATACTATACTCCAATTTCTTTTAATAATATTTACATATATTCCATGCAAGTAAATACGTACATACATAATATTTTTCCTCACTTCTGACTTTTTAATGCATTTTGTTTCCTCTGTTTTGTTGTTGTGGAATATTCAAGCGTACGTGCCCAGTGTTGAGAAATGTCAAACACACATAAAAATGTGGGCCAACTTGAGCTCTACAATTTAATAAGAATTTATGTATGAGTGCGTGTACGAGTAAATGGTATGTAGAACATGGCGTGGCGTCCACCCTAATAGTCTGTTGCCCCCAAGTCCCGTTTTGGGGATGTCATTGAACGGGAATCTTCTTCACGAACCAGAGATACGAAGGCGCAGACGAAGAAAGGAGCAGCAGCAAGAAAAAGGGAGAACAAAGAACCAAGTCGTTGACATTTCGAGGTCCTCACACACACACACACACACACAGACATAGCTGCCACTGACAGACAGAGACAGCTGTCGATTTGTTATGATTAACCGTTATAAGCAGAAGAAAGAGCAGGCGAAGAGGCGGCACTCTGCCAGACAGTTAATGCTCTACCCGCTTAATGGGACAACACTGGTTGCTTGAGGCTCTTTTTTGGGGCGGTGAAGTGAGGGGGAGCACTCCACAAAATGTGCGTGGAATACTAAACATAAATAAACATAAAGGATCAACATTTTTTTATTTTTATCACAAATATTTCGTTTATCATAACCTCTAAGATATAGAGTATTTCCAATGGGTCTTTAACCTTGAAATTGCAGGATAATGAAAACCCATCCAGACCCAGACATAAACACACAGCCACACACACACTGTCGAAAAACGTGCTCGTTTGTCGTTGTCTGCCACGTGGCCGAATCACAGGTAGGACAAATCCAGACACGGCTTCGGCTTCGGCTCTGCGGCTGTGGCTGGCCTTGAAATATTGAAGCAGCTCTCACATGAATAGCATTACTGTTGGAATGACTTTGCTACATTTTTGGAGACGACACGAATTTTACTTTTGGGATTTTAGCTTCAATCTGGCTCAGTTTTCATTGGATTTTGGAATGACAGTGGATCAGATTACACTGCAATTTTCCTCTGAAAATAGAGGGCACATACTCAAACACACACACACACATACAGTCACATAATTAAAATCATTTAACACTACATTTATAATAGTATTTATCATAATCATTTTAATAGTTACATACATACGTCGGCACACACGAGAGCGAGCGTTTTTTCGTTTTGCACTCTATTGGCGTGTACGCACTGAATACAGTTTGACCAGCGACAATATGCCGGCTCCTGCAGTGTGTACGCACTCAGCAACAGCCGAGGAACAACAGCACTAACAATCGGCATTAGATCTCTTTTTGTGATGTGTACGCACTGCCAGAGCTGCAACTGCGGCTCCACCACGAAGAGGGGGTCACTGCACGTTGCGACATCTATTCGAATGCATGACACAGTTCTTGATACGCGTCGTCGATAGTGAGGGAGAGGCCGGACCGGACCGGGCCAGGCCAGAGATTTTCTGCTGTTCTCTTTTGGCTCTGCTGCTGCTGTCACCGCCACGCCTCTGCCTACTGCTGCTGCTGCTGCTCGAAAGAAGGCAGCGAAAGCGACCAAAGAAGATAAACATTTACAGTTATGCTGTGGCCGCTGGCGCTGCTGCGGCCAGAAGCAAGAAAGTAAAAGTTTAAATCAATGAAATTTCATTGTAGTATGCGAAATGCTCAAAGAGGAGAGACGGATACAGAGGAACAGTGGGCACTTGAGAGAGTGGAACGCTTTCAAAATGCATAAAGATAATTGCATAAAGATTAATTGGTAGCACTCGTATGAGTTTCTTAGTATATATACAAAGTATCGACCTTTGCCCCCCGTTTCCCTTGAGAATATATCAGGTGATCAGTTCATCAGTGCTGAGTCTTCACTGTGTTGGTTTAGTTAGCGCCGCCGTTGACATCGCTAGCTATGTATCTCCCTCTGTCACACGCAACAGACACATACACACACTCATTGTTTGTGCTGCTGCTCTGCCAAAAAAAACAAGTTGGTTTTACCGTTGGTTTTTCTCTTATTTTTGGGCAGACGAAATGGCTTCACACTGTTTGGTTTTAATTGCTAGGGACGAAAAGGGAAGGAAAACACCAACAACAACAACAGGTGATGATGAGTAACAAAAGTAGCGCTCAACGAAACTCTCACGGTCGGAAAGAAAGAGCAAGGAGACCAACGAAGAGAGAGTGCGGGTGTACGTACGCTCGGCCTTACTAAATATACATATGTACATACACTTTGAAATCAATTATCAAATAGAAAATGTACATCAATATAGGGGCTCTTATCGCAAATCATATGCCGCGTCTCATCACTCTCCCCTCACCCACTTTTTCGCTAACAGACCCGCAAAAGAGGACCAATTCCAGCTGTAGAACAGCTCAAAGAAGAAGCACCGATGTTAAGCTATAAACTTGACAATCGCTCTGCTGCTGCTGTTGTTGCTACTGCGCCCTGCTCAGATAACGATCGCTGCTCTCACCCACGAGGTTCGCTCTATCTCTCTCTCCCGCTCTCAGTGTGCTCTAGATAAAGCAATTTTATTGCTAAATTGTAACAGTATGTTAATGCAGTTTTCTAGTGCACATGACGTCACAGTGTAAATTGTCTATTTGTGCCGCTTTCCGACAAACTGGGTCAATATCTTAATTAATTTTAATGGGCCTTAATTTAGAGACAAAGGGAAACAAACGCAAATGCAAACGCAAACACAATTACATCAATCATATTTGCGTAGGAGACGGTGGGTGGTGGAGCAGGGAGGGCATCGCGGGGCCAGAAAGTTATGACCAAGCAGCCATCACTTTTATGTGCTCTCATTTTTCGAACAAAAAAAAATGCGGCCACCTTATACATGCATATTTATGTACATGCACACATACATACATTCGCTTCCATATTTATACGTACGCCCTGTCTAAACGGAACAACTATGTATAATATACTAGTAATTCTTTGGCAATATTCAACAATCAGTCAGTCATTGATATGATTAAATAAATATTATAGTCTGTATTTTAATAAGTAAACCTTTCTTTCGGTGGAGCGGGTTTTGTGGTTAACGAATAATTGTCGAACCTACTGTTTATATGTACATCTGTATGCGTATCTTTGCGTGTAAAATTCAACAGCAGCATAATAGTTCTAGAGTAGGCAAAACAACGGCACTTAGAGCAGACATTCCTTGAAAAATTTACTAAAATGGTGTGAAGTAAAATAATAAATAGCTTAATAATAGTATAAAAACAAACAGAAATCTGATAACAGAGAGAGAGAGCAGAACCAGTAGAAATACGCGATAGCCACCACATACATACATATGTACATATGTATGTACACTAGCGAACATGCGGGCATCGAACATTTGATTTATGCAGAGAGCGAGCCCGAGAACGGGGATGAGAGAGAGAGAGAGAGAGACAGAGAGGACAAGCGGAAGTTAAATATTACATGTGACAGGAGGAAGAGAGATGCAGCAGCAGAAGCAGCCGGATAACGATCGCCGGTGACAGGTAGCCCAAACGGCAGATGGGCAAAAACGAGACACAAACCAACTGCGATTTATTTTAGGGTTGACTACTATTGCAAGTGTGTGTGCGTGTAGGGGGGTCTGACCTCGTTGCAATGAAAAAGGTGGAATATGCCAGAAGAAGAACAGCAAAACGTAAGCGGGCGAGAGGGCAACAAGAGGCCGCACCTACAACAACAAACTAAAAATCTATTACATCACGAGGAAAATTGACACAATCGCTATACACATAGATACATTTGAAAATATGTATGTATGGTGCATGTGTGTGTGGAACGGAAGACGGCCAGCCAACATGCAAATTGAGCTGCCCTTTATCTATATTTTATGTACTCATACTAATAATAATTACAAAGAATGCCCAAAATTGTAATCCTTATGTGATATTCCCTAGAAAACAAATGTTTATATTTAAATGATACCAGAAACTTCTTTCAAAGAAAAAAAAATCAGTGAAAAGAGAGAGAGAGAGAGGCCACAAGCTACAAAACAGCAAAGCAACAAATGAGCGAGGCATGCGGCGAATTCAACAGCGGACGTCGGCGGCAGCGAGACGACGACGACCGACGACCACAGTACCGTTTGTTGAAATTTTCAATGTATGAAAACATTCAGTCTGCCGCCAGCACGGCCCGAAGCGTTTTCGAAAAGCGCGGCAGAGGGCTGCCAGAGTGGGGCCGTGCTGTGTCAGCGGAGATGTGGTGCGGGGCTGGCGGAGAGCACGTTTACGGCGGGTAGCGTTGCCAGGCCAGAAAGAAGCAGCGTCTGCCTGCGTGCGTGTGTATTTGTGTGTGTTTGTGTGTGTGCGACATTGCCGTTCAAAGCCATTTCTTTTTTCTTTTGGCTATTTTCCATTATAGAATGCAAAAATTATTTGAGGAATGCACACACACACAATACTCACGCGGCGAGATACACTCTCGTACGTATAAAAATAGCCGTGAACGACAGAGTCAGATCCCAGGCCCCCCCCCAATCACCCTCACCAAATGACGTCATCTTTGTCTCTCCCCCGTTGTGGTAAGGATAAGATGAAATTATCCACCACCCCCCGCCCACAAAGAACAATCAAAGTATTGAAAAATGCAGACATTTTGGTTTTACAATCCTTTTTTTTTTTTTTGTTGGTCAATGTTTTATTGTTTCACTCACACTTTTTGCAATGTTAACCAGCTGTTACTCTCTCGCTCGCTCTCTTTTTCTCTGTGTGGTGCTCTCGCGCTGTTCGCTTTGTGGCTCGCCAACGAAAGTGAGCGCCGGCCACAAAGCTGCAAAAATGAGGCGAATAAATGGCAGAAAATCGAAAAATGAGCATTTATTTGTTGTTTTTGGAACTAAAATCGATTTGAATTTTGGTTTAGCGGCAGGGTCGGGTCAGGGGGTCGGGCGTGCAACCAAAACATGTGATTATGAAGATAAAAAATAAACTAGTTATGAAATAAACTACAAAAAATCGAAGGCGAATTGGCTGAGCGAGAGCGCAAGAGGAAGTGTGGTTGAGAGCAGCGATACAAAGAGTGAAAAGTTACATTTTATTCAAGACTCGAATATCTACAATAGACTATAATATCTAGGGCTTTTAGGTGTTAAAAAAAGACTAAAATGAAACTCAAGAGAGATAAATAATAAGATAGAAATTGAACAAAAAATCACCTTTTTCTTAGTAGGTCGCGTCGTAATGTGCTTATATTTGAGCGCTGCACTCTTTTTCAGCGAGGGACAGTGCAGGGCGCGGGGGGTGGCTCCAACTCTGCCTAGTACTCTCCTTCTCCTGCGCTCTGCGCAGCGGAGCTGTGCTGCCGTCTCGCTTGCGCTCCGCTGCCTTTGCTGCTGCTTGCTGCGTCTGATTCCGAGAATTAGCCGTTACTTTTGCTTGTTCTTGTTTTCTTTTTGTCACTTTGTCTGTTCTCCTTTATCGTTAAATGTGTTTATGTGTGTATATGCAAAATGTATGACTTCTATTATTTTCTTCTATATCTATCTGCAATTTGTTTTGATTTGTATTGGGAAATGAGATTACAGCAAGCAAGAATGGCAAGGGGCGGTGGTGGAGGGGGCACAAGTCTCCTCTGTTGTGGCGGCGACACAGCTACAAGACCTCGGCGAAAATGGCCGCAGAGAGAGCAGAGCACAATGGCATTGGGCCCACGGCAGAGCAGCGGCGTTCAGTGTGTTAGTCTACGGCGGCGGCGGCGGTGAACACAGGAACAACGTCGCAGTTTCGACACACACACACAAACACACACACGCGCGCACACTCAAAAAGCAACATTTGAGCGCATGCTCTCTCTCTGCGACGGCATTCTCTCTTTTTCTCGCACACACGTTTCTCGTATCTGTCTCCCTCCCTCGCATCCGACAGCGGTTTTGTCGCTTGGCGCTCTGGCTGCAAGAGCAACACGCAATAAAAGTTCAAAAACAGTTGAAGTATACCGCGACGGACGCGAGTAAAAATCTTTCCTTCAACGTTGTCGTCGTCGTTGTCCGTTGTCGTGTCTTCCGCGAATTTCTTTTTCGACCGAGCCAAGGGGGGGAAAAGAAGAACGTTTCGTCATTTCTGTTGTTCCCCAGCGCCTTTGATTCATATCTAATATTACTAATATTCATATGTATATATATATGCATATATATATATATTTATATGTTGTGGCGAACATTCGCATTTAAATTAACAAAAAAGTTAATAGAATGAAAAACTCCCAGACGTCATAAGGGGAAAATGTGTCAAGTCAGTCAGGGGAAATGTCGTTTCATTGCAGTGCGCCCTCAGGAATGTTTAAATTTTACGAATAATGTTCAAATAAACATTTAATTCGTGCCCTGCTGCCCCCTCCACCATCCATTTACGCTGCCTACAAAACATTTTGCATACAATTCGCTGCGTTTCTCCGATAATTACTGACGGGCGTTGATTGATTTTGATTATCGTGTATGTTTGGTTGTTGCGTTTTTGGTTCTTTTCTCGTCGTTCATTGTTAATTTAGTTGTACCAAAAAATAATTTCAGAGCACACACGATAACGGTCTTCCGCGACTCGTACCGTCCGATTATGTTGTTTTTTTGGTTTTGGGTTTTGGCAGTGTGGCCGCGGACTAATCTGTAAAATATACCGCCTGACCCTCAGAAATATACCGAAATGTACCTTGTCATTATCAAAATATACCGTAAATATACTGACGGACACGACAAGATGCGTTGATATTTCTCGTTTTTGATATTCGGTTTAATATTACTAGCAAGCTAAAACTCTGAACGCTGAAAATGCATTTTTCTACGACTAATTAAGCAATTTCCTTAAAGATTTGCCAGTCATAAGTACTCATTTTCATTAGAATTATTCAAAAATAAGGTTTAATAAAAAATCAATCTGATAGAAAAATCAATGTCTTACATGGTAACTACACGCTAACTACACATGTGTTACAAATTAACTACACATTTATGTAAAATTCGACAGAGACCGCTAGCGGGGAATGTGTACGTTTTAGAAAAAATTTTGATATTCGATTTAATATTACTATCTAGTTGCCAACTTAGGGCTAAACAAATAATTTTATCCAATTCATCAATAAATTTTGTACAAGATTGGCTAGTTTTCAGAAGTCCTTTTCATTGGATTTCCGCTCTCTTCACCTCGAAAAAAAAAAACACAATTTGAGAGCGAAAAACGTCGGTATTTTTTGTGCGCTAAATGGAGTTTGGCGATCATTTTAAAAATATGAATATACCCGCCAACTAGTATTGTGTGTTTATGGTATTCTTACAGCGTACGTACGATCCGAATCGGTAAATCTTAATCTACCCCATTTTATGTCAAACCTAATTGCGTGAATAAATACTAGAGAAAAAGCCATACATAACTGCATTTTCATTTAAAAATGGTTGTTTTTGTGGGGTCATTTCTGCATTTACAGTGTCGATTACTAGACAAAGCAACCCTGTAATTGGTGCACGAAATTGTGACAGATCAAATCAACCCTGCACCCGCAGTCTGTTTTCTTTCTACCATTTGCCGCAATTTTAATAGCAAATAATACAAATTCAGATGTATTGGACATGGTGTGTGGGCACCCTCCTGCTTGCCACTGTGGTGGCCCAGACAACCCCCAAAGACGAGCACTTCCATGAAGAGCTCGTTGTGCGTCCCCTATCCGGCGACCATGTAAACACCTATTTCCAGTTTACCACACGCTGGCACTATGGCCAGAAGGAGAACCGTAAGTAGCCACATAATCTGAATGTATACTTTCCGTAAGCTCATGGCCCTATAGTCTACCACACACAGCTGACGCCCCGCGTCATTGCCGAGCTGCTGCAGCAGTTTGATGTTAAGGAGCTGCACATCGGTCTCACGCAGGGCCTGTGGCGCTACGAGACCTGGGGCTATCCCATCGTTGAGGCCACCAGCGGTGCCGAGATGTGGGCCTGGTTCAAGGGACCCAATCTCACCGACCAGGAGGTGGACAAACAGTGGGGCCAGCTGGCGAACGTCTTCTCGGGCGTGCTGTGCGCCTCGCTCAACTTTGTGGACAACACCAATAGCATATCGCCCAAGCATCTGCTGCGGCCCCAGTTCATGCCCGCCAATCGGGAGAAGTTCGTGCGCTACGCCTCGCTGCCGCGGGAAATTGTCTGCACGGAGAATCTGACGCCCTGGAAGAAGCTGCTGCCCTGCGGCAGTGCCTCGGGATTCGCCTCGCTGCTCAACTCCGGCTATGTGCACAACACCAAGTACCATTCGCTGGGCCTGAAGGTGCGCACCCTGTGCCAGGACCACGACGAGGACAACTGCATCCTAGAGATGACGCAAACGGCGAACCTCGTCTACGATCTCCGCCTGCTCGAGCAGAGCGGCAACGACTTTTCGCTGCGCCGCCTCTTCGGCATGGGCCTAAACGGCTACTGTGAGCTGGCGAGCACCAGCAGGATCTATGTGCAGCGCAACGAGCTGGGCGAACGCTTCCAGCTAGTGCCGCCACCGCCCGCGGAGGTGACGACCACACGGGGCGGCTATACGGTGCTCTATGGGTTGTACGACATGCAGGAGCAGTTCCAGGACCAGGGCGAGCGGCTGTTCAACATCGCCTGGCTGGCGCCCAAGGGTGAGGTGCGACGCAACCGCCTGAAGCCCGCCCCGCCGCCAATCTACGCCCATCGCTATCTATTGGGGCAGGGACAGGAGCGCGGACGCATCGTCACGGAGGTGACCAACTCGCACTACTCGCCGCTGCCCATCCTGGTGCAGGAGCTCATCCCATGGTATGTGCACGCCTATCTGCATACGCTCAACATCCGTCAGCGCCCGTTGGGCCGGCACGAGTACGGCCGCGAGACGCTGCCCTTCAAGCTGCTCCACTATGCGCCCGGCAAGCAGCGCGAGCTGCCCACCCACCTGGAGATTGGGTTCCTGCTGCCCGGCCAGAGCTCGGCGCTCATTACCATCGATGTGGATTATCTGGTGCTGAAGTGGCTCGAGTATCCGCCCGATGCCAATCACGGCCACTACATCAATGCGGCTCTCGTCTCCAGCGCTCTGCCGATGGGCACCAACTACTCCGCCCTGCCGCTGGAGGGCCATCTATTTGCCCACTCGTTCAACGCCACCCGTCCATCGTATGTGCTTGGCCTGCACACCGAAGCCCTGATCGTCTCGCTGCCAACGCCCGACTTCAGCATGCCCTACAACGTCATCTGTTTGGCCTGCACGGTGGTGGCTCTGGCCTTTGGTCCCATCCACAGTGTGGCCACCAAGCTGATTGTTGTGGTGCGCCAGACATCGGCGCCCCGGAACTTCCTCAAGAAGCTCAAGGAAAAGCTCTTTAGTCGTGGCGGCCCGGAGCTGCCAATGGAGGGGCAAGGAGAAGTCCCCGATGATCCATGCTTGGCCGCATCGGGATGCCTGCTGCTAGACGAGCAGAATGGGTATGGGAACGACTGTGAGGACGAGGAGAAAGAGGAGGATGAAGAGGACACGGAATACGCGCACTGAACTCTGGGGTCGTGATAAGCTCCACCAAAATAGAAACCTAAAACATTCAAGAGAGATAAATTGACATTATTCCAAAACTCTAAAAGAACCAAAAAACAAAGAAGTATTTATAATCATGTTTAAATAAATGCAGATCGCTTATAAATGTAAATATATCACGGATTAGAACTTTGGCGGCGGCGGCACTAAAAAGTTTTCTCCAGTGTTGGCTAACGACGTTGAGCGCCTTCGAATAACGGCATAACGCTGGTTGCTGGCTTTAAATAATGCAGCCGGCTGCACGTGCTCTATTTATGAGTGTGTGGTTTTGATATATGAATGTATGTATGTGTGGAAAGAGAATTTATGCTTCACACGACACATGCAGCCATGTAGCACGTACCTGCTGCATTTAAAACCAGCTTAATTAAAGTAAGTATGCATAGGAATCAGCTGTGCGATTTAAAACCGTTATTAAGGTGTAATGGAATAACGGCTTCAGTGGCTAAGTGCTGGTTCAAGATGGTGGCTTGCAAGCAACAGCTGCACATACGACACACAGACAGAATTGGACGTTTTTCACGTCATATGTCAGACGCTGATGTGACGTCATGTGATGAATGCAAAAACACAACGAGGAATATCGGGTTAGATTATCTATTTACGGCAGTAACAAACATAAATATGCATTGCCAATATATTTTGTATATGTATGTGTTTGGTGTATATTTGTTTGCAGGTAGATTGCGTGTATCACTGATGAGTATTTTGTGTTTGTACTTTATGTTGTGAATTGGGAATTCAATGCACAACTCCCAATTTGTGTATTGCATCGATATGCGCTTCATTGAGTATGGCTATGTAGTTGACATGCTCCTTGCCACAGGCCTCGCCCAACTCCTGGGCGGTGCCCTGGTAGACCTTAACTGCAGTGCTCTGGGTTATTGTGGCCAAGAGAATTTGGCTCATGTTCGGTTGCTGCGCCTTGGCGGCGATGACCACCATACCCACACGTCCCTCATCAATGGCCTTCAGTATGAGGTCGTGGCCCAGGATATATTGGCCGGACTCCATCACATCCTTCAGACATCCTTTCAGGGCCTCTGTTGGAGGCCCATTCCCAGGGCAATACGAATCCAAATCCATGGAAATTCTAGGAATTTTGTTCCGATCAGGCGGCTGACAAAGTGAACGCACAACTAAGGATATATTTCAGTTTTGAGTGATAGGAAAGAGTCTTGGAATACTTTTCTTTCAGTTCTGAGGCTACTGAGATAAATCTCATTTCTAGTAGTTTTGGTTTACGTTTGATTTTTTTTTAAAACATAATTAGTATAAAAAATGAATATAAATTTCTAGAATATATTCATTTATGTATGTACTTCTCCCCTCTCATTACCAAATCCTCAAGGAGCACTTAAAAAAAATATATATGCATATATAAAATAAATTAAAAACAATTTTTGAATTTATTGTATTTCCTTTTTTTTTGCAATTTTTTTTATTATTTTGTTTTTTGCATTTTGAAAATAGAAATTTCTAAATGCTATTTGATATACTCGTATCTCTATATATTTTCTCGATGTCTGTGGATGGAAGGAGGGGTCTGGGTCTGGGTCTGGCTCTGTGGGGATCATTCGAGATTTCCGAGCGGATTAGAGCAGAGCAGCAATAGTCGGGGGACCTGCTTTAGAGCGAGATGGCGCACAAAACGAGTGAGCGGTGCAGAATCTCTCATGCGGGGGGGTATGGGGGGTATGCATTTCCACAAAATTACAAGATCTTTACAAGAGAGTTCTACATGGAATTGTTTTTCTTCTAATTGTACATTATTCAAGGGTTCGTTCACGGGAGGGGACTACTACAGTGGACACCTGATCTCAGTGGATCACATTCTTATAGCTAGAATCGTAATCTCTTAAAATCAATATGTTTTCTCCTTCTTAAATAACAATAACTTTGTCGTTTGTTTTTGCTGGTTTCCCTTCTGTTAGCTAAATAAATATTTTGTTTTAATACTAAATGCTAGGTATGTATATTTTGGAACTCATTTGTGTGTGTGTGTGTGTGTGTGTGTGTGTTTAGGCAATAAAATGCAAAATGCATTAATTGAATAATTATTTTAATATAATTCAAGCATGCAATGTCAGATCCATGCTCCCATCGCATTAATTATTATCAAACTTTACACGAGTCTTAAGTCCACCTATGGAGTGTCCACTGTATTCCAATATACTCATTAACTATAAAAAAAAATGTAAAAAAAAATAAAACAAAGAAAAATAAAAAAAAATTTCTATATTTCCAGAGTTCCATTTAGTTTTAGGTTTTTCCTTTCTCCTTTTCCTTAGCGCTTGATTGTTGAATGTTTTAATAATATGTAGTTGAATCCTTCCGTTCAGTGCCTGCCATTAGTGTTGGGCTGGGCATCAATGGAATCGTCTCTCCCCTTCGTTCGTTTGTTCTTGTTTCTTGTATATTATTGTGAAATATAGTTAATTGTATTATTTATAATTTCTGCTTTAAATAGTAATTTTACGGGGTGTTCTGTAGGGGGCTGCTTATCCTATAGTACGCGCAAAGAACAATGAAAAGGGGAAGGGGAAACGAGAAGGAGCGGGGCCCATGCATAAAAACTCTTTAAAATATCATCAAACAATAAAATCAAATATGAATGAATGGATAGAGCCAATAGATCTATCTATTTGTTCTGTTCTGTCTGTCTGTCTGTCTTTGTGGCTACTTCTACGACACAAAAAAATTAGTTTAAATAGCTAATTCTTATGGTAAAAAAACACATCTACTACTATATAGAGGGGAGGGGGCGTTGATCCGTTGACTCACAGATCTTCTTTGCTTAAAACTAAAAGACCGCCCAAGACTCTCTCTCTCTCTCTCTGTGTCTCTCTCTTTCTCTGCGTACTCTCTCTCTTCCTCTTTCTCTCGTTGCACTCGCCAGGGAGTTTTCATTTCCATTTTGATTTGTGTGAAGCAAAGGAGGACAGGAGGAGAAGGTTCCTTACAAATGAATTATATATCGTATCGTTTATATATATATATATCTATGCATATATATATATATATATATATATATCTATTTAGATAACTGTCTCCCGATCTGCCGCTTAAACTCTAAATTGTATCCAAAAAGAATCGCCTTCATTTTGGGTGTGGGTGTCGGGGATGGTAGCTCCTTCCTTGCATCCTTCATGAATCCCATTTCATCATGAGCATTTTTTCGAGTGGATTTCCTCCTGCCACCGCTTCCGCTCAGCCTCATTGTGGCGGCTGATTGCTGTAGTAGCCATAGGCCCCCGTCGGTGGCGGTCCTTGGGGTGCCCCGGGCGGCGGCATTTGTGCGCCCGCCGGCCTGTAGCTCTGGTAGCCCTGCGTGGGCGGATACTGGGCATAACCGCCTGCCTGCGGTGGCTGATGGTACGCATGCCCGGGATAGGCACTGCCCGGTGGTGGTGGTCCGTACGCCTGCGGCGGCGGACCTCCGTACGGCTGTGGAGCCCCCGGAGCCGGCTGATATTGATTGGGCGGCATATTCGGCGTGGCACCGTTGGGTGGCGGCTGCTGCTGCTGCTGCTGTTGTTGTTGCTGCTGCTGGGCACTGGCCTGGGGATTGGGTGGACCACCGGTCGGTGGGGGCTGCTGCTGCTGCTGGGAGGTAGGAGGTCCTCCCGGCACTTGTTGCTGCTGCTGCGGTTGCGGCGGCCCGTAGCCTGTGACGCCGCCAGGCGTCGAGTATGTGGGTTGCACCTGTGTGGGCAGCGGTGCCACCCCAGAGACGACCACTCCACCCGGTCCCCCCTGCTGCTGCTGCTGTTGCGGCGGCGGAGGCGCGTACTGCTGCTGCTGCTGAGAGCCTGCCCCTCCTGCCCCACCGCCCGGCACCTGCTGCTGCTGTGGATTTCCTCCCACTCCTCCCGATGGCGGCGGCGTCGACTGCTGCTGGGCATTGGGCCCGTTCGGATTGGAGCCCGCTCCCCCGCCGCCAGGCTGCTGCTGCTGCTGCTGGGGTCCCTGCGGTGGCGGCGTCTGGCTGGGCGCCGTTGTGCTGTAGCCACCGGGTGGAGGTGGCGGACCTCCGGACACCACACTCGTTGGCGGTCCTCCAGGATAGCTACTGCCCGGCGGTGCGCCTCCGGCACCCACCGCCTGCTGCTGCTGTTGTTGTTGCTGGTAGGCCTGGTACGGCGACTGTCCGCTGCTGTTGGGCGGAGGTGGTGGCCCGTAGCCCCCGCCGGGGGGCGCTCCTCCTGTCCCTGCCTGACCGTACTGATTGGGATTCGGGGGATACCCGGCATAGCTCATGGGCGGCGGCCCACCCGTCGAGTTCTGCGGCGGCGGCGGACCATACTGATTCACGCTTTGCGGTGGACCCGGCGGTCCGCCTGGCGCACCCACCTGCTGTCCGCCTGCGGCTCCTGGCGGTGGCCCGTACATCTGTCCCGGCGGCGGCGGTGGCTGCTGCCCGGGCGGCACGCCCTGCTGGCTGCCTGGCGGCGGTGCATAGACGCCCGGTGGCGGTGCCTGCTGTCCGGGTCCGCCAGTGTTCGGCTGATAGCCGCCATGTCCCCCGGCTCCTGCCCCGGCTCCGCCATGGTGGTAGCCGGCCTGCGCTGCATTCGGTGGACCTGGCGGCGGTGGCCCATAGCCCTGCGTCGGCGGGCCATACGGATAGGCGCCCTGGGGCTGGTACTGGGGCTGCGTTTGCGGCGGATATCCGGGATAGTGGCCGTGCTGTTGCTGCTGCTGCTGGTAGCTCACGCGGTACGGGGTCTGTGGTGGCGGCACTACGCCCGGTCCGCCCTGCTGCGGTCCCTGCTGCTGTTGCGGCTGCTGCTGCTGGTTGGGCGTCTGCTGCTGGGAGCCCTGCTGGGGCTGCTGTTGCTGCTGCTGGGGCGGCTGTTGGTTCTGGCCGGGTCCTGCGAGTGGGCCATTGTTGGGCCGCTGCTGCTGATCTGCAAGCGAGAAGGAGGATGTGAGGATCAGCGGATGCAGCTGGAGCTGGCTGGATCTCCCCCCTGGCGCGGCGGATACTTTACACTTACTGGGTATAATCGATTGCTGTGCCGGGCCCTGTCCCGGATTTCCGCCTCCCTGGGCATTGCGGTAGATCGCCGAGGGATGCTGTTGCTGCTGCTGCTGGACCTGGGGGCCGGCCTGACTCACTTGCGTCACCTGCTGGCCAGCGGCTGCCGCTGCTGCTGCTGCTGCTGCCGCCGCCGCTGCGGCCGCTGCCTGCTGCTGTTGCTGCTGCTGCTGAGATTGCTGCTGAGAATTGGGTGGCATGCCGGGATGGGGCGGCTGCTGCTGTTGCTGCTGCTGGGCGCCATAGGGTGTCATCTGGAGGCCGGGCTCGCTGCCGTGCTGCTGCATGCCACCCATTTGCGGTGGCCCGCCCGCCTGCTGGGCCTGGCCCTGGCCGCCCGGCTGCTGTGGCTGTTGTTGCTGCTGTTGGGGCGGGGGCAGGCCGCCCAGCATACCGTGTGGACCGGTGGGACCACCCGGCGTCTGCTGGTTGCCCTGCTGCATCGCCTGTGTCTGCAGGATGTGCGGCGGCTGTGTGTGTGGCAGAGAGCGTTAAAAGATTGGCCCAGGCCCAGGCCTACGCCTGCAATTGTCTCCAGCACTCACCGGCAATATCTGGGAGATATTCATTGCAGGATCCGCCAGCTGGGCCAGATATACCAGATTCCTGTGCAGGGCCACGTGGTAGGACATGCACTCCTGCGCCTTGCCCATGCTCTGGAAGTCCTGGATCGTTTGGATGAGGCCGCAGTTCTCGTCCAGCATCTTCTGGATCTGCGCTGAGTTGACCTGCGGCGGCCCACCGCCGACGCCACCGCCACCGCCGCGTGGAGCCGATGGCGAGTTGACACCCATCATGCTGCCGCATCCACCGACACCGCCGGGGCCACCACCCACACCCACACCGGTGATGATGCTGCCGGGGGAGCCGGGCACTCCCATTGGCGGCACACCGGTGATACGCTGCTGCTGCTGCATCCCCATGGGCAGCAGCCCGCCCTGGGAGCCGAGGACGCTGCCACCGCCGCCACCACCGACGCCGGGTGGCTGCTGTTGTTGTTGCTGCTGCTGCTGCTGCTGCAGGGACATGGCATTGGGGGGCGGTTGCTGCTGCTGCTGCTGTGGTGGGGGAGGCGGCTGCTGTTGCTGCTGCTGCTGCGGCGGCTGCGGCGAGTAAACTGCAGACATTTTACTGGCTGCAGTCTTCTTCTTCCGCTTGGGAGTTTTCTCCTGTTTTTCCACAATTTTAGCGGTTATTCTAAACCGGTTGGGGCAAAAAAATATATAAAACCGATACGTCGGTTCGCCACGGGTGTGGGGGGGGCGCCCCTTTGCACGGTTCTTCGGTTGCCAAATGCGAGAAAAGGGCAAAAGGAAATTTTTCCTCTTTTTTGCAGTGTGCGGCTTTTTTTTACACACACACACACACACAGGCACGCTCGCTCGCACACACTCACCCACGCGCCGCAACACACATTAACACACACACACGAACTCAGGAGACACGGAAAATAATTTGTTCAAATCCTCGAGCTCTTTGCACCTGTCCCTTGGCTTTGGCTTTTCGTCTGCTGTATATTGAACGTCAGCACAATTGGCATTCAAATGGTTTTGTGCAAAGTCTGCATTATTTCCTCTTTTTCTTACACTTTTTGCAATTTGCACAGAACGACGCTTAAAACGATTACACCAGGCGGCTGCTCGACGCGATTAATCGGTTGGCCGTCATTCATACACGTACAGACGGCGCTTGATGCAGTGTGCCGCAGGGTTGCATGACGGAGTCTAGGCATATAATATATTCAAAAGAAAACTAGATGAACTATCGCAAAAGTACAACTTTTGGCTACTATAAATGCCAATATTAATGCCTAAATATGTTGATGGACACACCAATGGATGGGACGTGTAGAAAATCGAATTTCATTTTATGCCAGTGCATGACGGACGCATCTGTTCGTGTATGGCCTCCATCAATATGGCGCTCCCGTACGCATGTGCTGCCAACGATGCACAAATCATTTTGCAGGCCTTCGCTCAGGGCCACACTACACACTATTAATAAATAACCATAATGCTAGTATTGTAGTTTTTAATTGAGGATATTCGTAAATTGTATCAACTTTATGTGATAAATATATCAAAAACGCTAAACAACGATAACAACCAATTTTGCAGCCGGCAATCACACAAACGGGGCCTATCGATATCCACTCCTCCACGGTCTTGCGGGCTGGCCTCCTCATACACTATTTTTTCACAATTAAATTTTGTTGGCTGGCTTTTGGCCAAACTCTGTGAATGTGTGCGCGCGTGCAAGTATGTGTGCATCGGTGTGACAGTTTATTAAACAAAAACGCTGAAAAATAAATATAAAAAAAAACCCTGACATATTATATTTATATAATTTAAAGAGCAACCCAAAACAGTTATGAAAACGAAACCCTCGGCGCCCGCGAGATTATCCAACCGAAAAACCACATCTCGCAAAGGTTCAAATAAATCAAATAAAAGTGTAGTAAATGTAAGCAATCAATCCTTTAAAATTGTTGCTCAATAGATACTCTCGAGATACATTTTTTTGATCTCGGTTCCCGAGTTCTGTACACTACTGTTCTGTGCTGTGTTGTGTTGCATCCAAGCCAATTAAAACCAGAAGATAGGCCAGATCAGCGTTATATCTGAGCCAGGCAATACACATAGAAGTCTCAGTCGTTGGGAGGCGACAAAAAGCGCGCTAAAATAAAATAAGGAAACTCTGTTTCTAGTAAAGCGACCCGTGGGAAGAGTGCGAGAGGGGAACGACACCAGGCGGCAGTCTAGTTATCGATTTTCTACTACTGTGTTTTTCACGCGTGTGTGCGTACGTTCGAGTGTAGTGTTCCGTGTGCGGGCAGTCGTGCTAGTGTGTGTGTTTAGCATAACAACAAAATCAACATCAAAAAGCGGCGTGTTATCACAAAAAATAAGCAACAAACACATTAATTCTAAATTAACGCGAAATCATTAGCCGGCACAAGAATCGCTCTCTGTCCTGTCCGTCTCTCTCCACAAATGCAAAAGAACGAAGCGTAACTCCAACATAATCGGTCGGGTCGATTGCAGTGATTTTCCCATTCATTCAAAATTCTACTCAGAAAAATTGGTAGACATAGAAATTTGGTAAGAAGACGCTACCGGACGGAACCTTCTTACCAAATGATTTCCCTTCTGCAAATGAAATTTCATGCACTTTTGTTGCTGCTATCAAAAGTCTGGACATGCATTTGTTTCATGTTCAATCGCCAAGTGCGAGCTGTAAGTATTACCACCCCACCAGAAAAAAACTTTAGTTTAAAGCCCCCACACCCCCAATTCATTCCCACTAACCCGATCCCCCATCCCCAATCGACCTACACATGAAATAAGTACAATAAATGCCACTGGAACTTGATAAGACGAGCTGGCCCGGCCCGTGTACAGTGAAGGATCGCTAAGGTGTACCCACACTCCTCAACCCCAATAAAACAATCCCAACCACAACTACAACCCCACCCCAACCCTTTATCAATATTTGTTTGTGGGGCACTGCACTCGCTCGCGGCTCGCCTTATCAATCGGAAACGATTCATCATGACGCTGCAAGAAGAACTGACCTTCGGCATGCCTCACCCTTGCACCCACCCCCACACGCCATCCCCCTCTCACTCTTAGTATTGTAATTATCGACACTTGAATTATCGAGTCAGAGTTGATTGTGATTAACTTCTATAGTTTATCCAGTATCAACCGGTTAAATATGAACTGTTCCCGCTGTCGCCGGTATCGCGGCATCGCCTCAGTCTGGTGCAGCGGAAAACCCTGGTCCTGGATCTGGACGAAACACTGATACACTCACATCACAATGCGATGCCCAGGAACACAGTGAAGCCGGGCACACCGCATGACTTCACCGTCAAGGTGACCATCGATCGGAATCCAGTACGCTTCTTTGTGCACAAGCGGCCGCACGTGGATTACTTTTTGGATGTGGTGAGTGGACAAAACGCCCTTTGAATTGATTGAATCCTCCCATTCACAATGCTAATGGAATATTCTATCTATCATCCCATTTACAGGTCTCACAGTGGTACGATCTTGTGGTATTCACCGCCAGCATGGAGATATATGGAGCTGCTGTTGCAGACAAGCTGGACAATGGTAGGAACATACTGCGGAGGCGCTACTACAGGCAGCACTGTACGCCCGATTATGGATCGTATACCAAAGACTTGTCTGCCATATGCAGTGATTTGAATAGGGTAAGAAGGATTACAGTAGCTTTCCCCATGTCCCCAGAGATTACGATGACGATTACTGATTTTGATATTTGATATATTGCAGATATTTATAATTGATAATTCCCCGGGAGCGTACCGCTGCTTCCCCAACAATGCCATACCCATCAAGAGTTGGTTCTCGGATCCCATGGACACGGCACTGCTGTCGCTGCTGCCCATGCTGGACGCACTGCGCTTCACCAACGATGTGCGATCGGTGCTGTCGCGCAATCTGCATCTGCATCACCTCTGGTAGCAGGTGGGATCTAGCCTAGAACTAGCCCTAGAACTAGCCCTAGCCCTAGACCTAGACCTAGCCCTAGTGTGTAGTAGTCTGTGAGGATCAGAAAACGTAAGAGAGAAAATCTTCTGAAATTATCATCAACAACAACAACAACAAAATGGTGGTGCTGTGACACATTAACGAATTTTTTCATTAATTAAATTATATTTTGTGTTTTTTTTTTTATCCTTGAAGCGGATAAGGAAAATCTATGGGGATCCAAAATGATATGATGATAATGATGTTTGTGTGGTTATATATATGTAAATATATGAAAGTTTTTACGTATAAGCGTCATTGAAAAGTTTATTAAAACCCTTTTTGGAATTATTAAGCATTAAATTCACTGACATGTCCTTGTCGTTTTTTTTTTGTCTCCTGAAATGAAGCGCAGTGGGGTCCATGGGGGGATTTATTTGCAGGAGAAGGGCCGAAGCCTGATAGAGAAGAAAGAGGTGTGTTCGAATATGTTGGCTGGGATTGTGGATAGGATAACATCCTCTCCCATGCACGAATTCGAGTGTAAGTTGCATCAAAGATTTTCCATGTAGGCCATAATGTTGAGTTCATCATACGATACAATTGATAATTGGTGGTACATATAGCAAAAACCCACTGACACGCTGTACGACTCGGCAGTGTCCATGGAATATGGAATACGTTTGTTTCATCAATTTAAATTTGGCGCCCACTGGCAACAGAGTGCACTGAATTCTGTGCTGTAAAGTGCCATGACTGTGGCTGTAACAGTGCTGTTAAGCCACAAGAATGTGCTGTGAGTTGCAGACACCGATAGTCTTATGCCCTTACGATATGAAAATGCATGGTAATGCGTATGATTTTTTCCGGAAATCCTTTACTTTTTGTATGAGATACAACAAAAATCAAACATACATATACACAATATATATCTAGTTGACTGCGAGCTCATTGAAAAGAAACGCTAAAGCACAATTGACGACCTAGCTGTGGGTATCTGGCCAGGGCTGGGGTATCGAATCTGTTGGAGTGCTGTTAACGCGGAAATTTGAGGTTATTTTCACAGCAGAGCAGCTGCCGCGCACCGTCATTTATTGTTACAACAACAAGTTACAAAAGATTGCGTTGCGACGAGTATTTACGCAACGAACGGCAACGGAAACACAGAGCTGGTAAGGAGCGGCGGCACGGCCCCAAGATCATCAACCTCAACTAGAAATAAAAATCGAATAATTTGTTGCTTTTCGCACACATAGAACACATGGCCACCGCAGTAGCAAAAGTTGGAAAATCGGTTCACCGCATATTCGTGGGTAACTTGCCCTGGACAGTGGGCCATCAGGAGTTGCGTGGCTATTTCAAGGAATTCGGTCGTGTCCTATCGGCAAACGTCATCTTTGACAAGAAGACAGGCTGCTCGAAAGGCTACGGCTTTGTCAGCTTCAACAGTTTGACAGCTCTAGAGAAAATCGAGAACGAACAAAAGCACATACTGGAGGGGCATCATCTCAATATACAAAAGTCGTAGAGAGCAGGCGGCGACAACCAAATAGGCGGCGAAGCTGAAAGCATTTTTCCCCATTCGTATTCGTATTCGCATTCGCCCCAACCAAACACTAGCTATAAGGTTATCACAGAGCAAAGCAAAGCAACTAAAAAAAAAAATAACTAAAAAACTAACTTTAACTGAGACAAAGAAGAAAAAATTCAACAATCATCATGGACATGGACTCGGACCTATTTGACGAGGAGGAGCAGCAGCAGAGCACCTTTGAGCTGGCCACCAACTACGTGAGTGGCCAATCGCAACAATTTAAGGATTCCGATCTGCTGGAATTCTACGCATACTACAAACAAGCCGCCGAGGGGTGCTGCAACCAGGCAAGCCCCTCCATACTACAGATGCGGGCGCGCAGCAAGTGGAACGCGTGGAAGGCGCTGGGCGACATGTCCCAGGTGGATGCACAGCGCGCGTACATCGAAAAGCTGCAGCAGATCAATCCCAAGTGGAAGGAAGAGGGCGGCAAGTCGAAGGGCAATAGCTGGGCCGTTCACTCCATCGAATTGGTGCCAGTGGAGGATCTGATGCCCGACAACAAGAAGACCTTGTTCGATCTAGTCAAGGAGAAGAATCTGTCGGCCCTGGGCAAGAAGATGAAGATGGGCGACACCGACGTGAAGGATGAGCATGGCATGACGCTCATTCACTGGGCCACCGATCGGAATGCTGTCGACATCATCGACTACCTGGTGGTGTCGATGGGCGCCAATGTGGACCAGCTGGATGCTGAAATGCAGACACCGCTGCACTATGCCGCCAGCTGTGGCCATGTCGAGGCGGTGCGCACTCTGCTGGACCTGAAGGCCAGGCTGGATCTGTACGACGACGATGGCCATTCCTGTTTCGATGTGGCCGACACTGAGGAGATCTTCAACATGCTGAAGGCCGAGGAGGAGCTGCGCCAGGCTGCCCAGTAAGTCACCACCACCGCCCACACAGCTAGTTCCAGCAATTCCGTCTTTCATTACAACAAATAAATGTGGAGATAAATGTCCATGTAAACTAATTGCTGATTTTTAATGACGACAAAAAAAAGGAAATATAAAAGGGGATGGCGAAGGGAAAGGGGAAACGTTTTTACGATCTCAATCTACTTCCACAGCTTCTTGATGGACATGTTCTTCTCGGAGTCCTTCTGCATCACCTTGGCCACGGCCATCTCAAAGTCCTCCTGGGTGACGTGGACGCGACGCTCGCGCAGTGCGTACATGCCAGCCTCGGTGCACACGCCCTTGACCTCCGCTCCTGAGGCACCGGGCATCAGTTCGGCGATCTTGCGGAGATTGATGCCGCGCGTCAGATTCATTTTGCGCGAGTGAATCTTGAGAATGTCCAGGCGTGCCTCCTCATTTGGTGGCGGGAACTCAATCTTGCGGTCGATGCGGCCGGGACGCAGCAGGGCCGGATCCAGGATGTCAATGCGATTGGTGGCCATAATGACTTTAATGTTCTTGGTGGCCTCGAAGCCGTCCAGCTGATTGAGCAGCTCCAGCATGGTGCGCTGCACCTCGGAGTCGCCGCCAGAGCCGGACTCAATGCGGGAGGAGCCGATCGAGTCGATTTCGTCCATGAAGATGATGGATGGGGCATGCTCACGGGCCATCACGAACAGCTCGCGCACCATGCGCGATCCCTCACCGATGAACTTCTGCACCAGCTCGGAGCCCGAGACACGAATGAAGGTGCATTCGGTGTGATGGGCAACGGCACGGGCCAGCAGGGTCTTGCCAGTACCGGGCGGGCCGTAGAGGAGCACACCCTTTGGCTGGGCAATGCCCAGGGCATCGAACAGCTCCGGATGCTTGACGGGCAGCTCGATAACCTCTTTGATTTCCTTGATCTGCTTGTCCAGGCCACCGACCATTTCGTAGGTGGAATCCGGCACCTTCTCGACCATCATCAGCGAGACCAGTGGGTCCACTTTGTTGGGCAGAATCTTGTGCAGAGTGTAGCTCTCGTTGCGCAGGGCCACACGACAATTTGGCGTCACATCGTTGATGTCGATGTTCTTGTCCAGATCCACAACAAACTTGCCCTCCGGATGTACCTTAACCAGCACCTTCTTCTTGTCCATGGGCTTCACCACCTCGCCCACATAGCTGCCCTGCTCCTGCAGCAGTTGCAGTTCCTCGCGCAGCATGCGAACTGCAATAACGAAAAATTCGATTGCAGTTTTGTTTGCATTTGTTATTCTCCTTTTGAGTTCATCGAGCATTTACCTTTGGCATTGAGCTCGTTTCGCTGGGCCTGCAAACGTCTCAGATTCTGGCTCTTTTCGGCCACAACCAGCTGCAATTCCTCAATCTTTTGGATATAATAGGAGCGGAAGCCTTCGCCTTTCTGGTAGGCCGTCTCGATTTCCATCTACATATTTGAGGGTTTTTCATCATATTAAAGCGATTGTCTGGTTTTATTTTCTTACCCGATTGGTCACAGTCATTTTGGATGCTGCTGTTTTGTTGCTTGATGATCACTAAGTCTTATATTGCTTTTAATTTTCTGTTTATAACATGCACTTTTTTTTTCTTAAATATGACTCGGCATTAGTTGTGGGTAGTGTGACCAGCGTGATAAAAAATACCATCCGGCCAAAAAATAAATACCATTAAATACCATTTCAGTTTCGAGAAATACCATTTAAATACCATACCATAAAAAAACCAGGGCAAACAAGACTTAACCCACTTAACACCCCTCTATTTAAAAAGTTGAGCACCCTTTGGTAAACCGCGGCAAACAATCCTGTTTGTAAAGGCTCTTTCTAGCTACATCCTCCTCTTTACTTAAGAAAAAAAATGACCACCGACATTTTTCACATGTAATGCGTAAAATATGTTAAAGTTACATCAATTTCGTGGAAATATTAAATTCCTCCCTGGTCAACAAAGCGTTAACGCTATATTTTATTGATTGAAATCGTATTCCATAATTTTGATATTCAGTTTAATATTACAAGCTATTTGACCCATTCAGCCCTAAACAGTTAATTTTATCCGATACATGCATAAATTTTCACCAAGATTGGTTAGTTTTAAGAAGTCCTTTTTATTGCATTGTTTAAATAAAAAGGTTCAAACTAAAACGGCCAAAGCATAAAACGTAAATGTGGACAAAACGTGACGTCAGAAATATACCAAAATATACCTTTCATATTAGTGGTGGTAGCGATGTACACATATCGCATTGAAACATCGTTCAAGCTTAGAATCGGATGTGGACCATCGATGTGAATTATCGTTATTCAAACTAAGCAAGTTGAATGAATCAAAATATGCTTGGAGAACAACGTGTTTGTTGTGTATTGTTTAGTATGAAATAATCAAAACACAGCTAGTAGCTACACAGAATCAGTGCAAATACCGAGTTTTGGTTGATACCCCATTGGAGGGGCCCATTAAATTTCAATATGACAGCAAGATTTGGTCTGCTGTTCAAGCGCTACATTCAAATCGAGAAAAATCTATGGCGTCGCGTGCTGTTCGAGGCCATTGTCATGGTGATTATCATGTTGCTGATCCAGGGGAATCCCATAGCGCACACGAAGCAATTGCTATTCCCACGGGCCGACACCGATCGCGAGCACATTGTTGTCTCGCACCAGCTGGACAACATAGACATTCTATCGTAAGCTAAAAGCCAGCCATCTGGGCTCCAACGGGGGGTAAGGCCACTGTATATTGACATTTCGACTGCTCTCCCACCCACAAAGGAATATGGTCAGTAAGAAGCGGGATAAAATCAAATACTATTTGGCGTTCGCGCCCAAATCGGAGATTACCGAAATGCTAACCCAGGGCGTGGTCGATGAGCTGGGCTTGGTGGGGGTCCTGGGCTACACGGACGATGCCGATATGCAGAAACAGTTCGATGAGCGCACCACCCTGGCCGGCATTGTATTCCATGATTCACCGACAACAACGATACCCAAGAGCCTCTCCATTTCGATACGTTTCCCCAGTGAGTTTCGCACCATAAAACCCTTCCTCACCGAGGACCGCCTCTGGCTGACACGCTGCTCGGGCGCCGTTCGGGAGAAGCGCGACAATGCCATGGACTCGGATACGAAACAGGATCTCTATATACGCGAGGGTTTCCTCCAAGTGCAGCATCACATATTCCTTCAATGGTTCCACCAACTGTCCCAGCAATATCCCCACAAATACACAGAGCCCGAGGTGGAGGTCTTCAATATACGACTTAAGGCCGCCGATACACCCTGCTCCATGATGACCCTGGTCCGTATGCCCGAATTTCTATACAATTTCATCTTTCTCCTACCATTCTTGAATATAATCAGGGTGAGTATTGTCTGGCTCCCTGTCGCCCTGCCGCATCGAAGAGAACATCAACTATTTTCCCAACCCATATCCGTATAGAATCTTGCCGGTCAGCTGGAGGATGGCGTTATGGTTCATCAGTGGCACTATGGCTTCTCTTTCTGCACCCAGTACTCGTGTTTGTTTTTGGTTTTAATGCTGCGTTTGATGCTGACGGGAATTGGGGCACTTTGTGTTTTGATTGTACGTTTCAAATGTGCATCTAAAAGTCCAACTATCGATAGTTGGCTGCTTGGCAACACTGGCCCACTGCGGCCCAGCAACAGAAATCATCGCATCCACAATCGATAGATAGCTATCGTAGCTATTTGGCATCGCTTTCCAGCACTTAAATAATCCGTTGTTCGATCTCTCCCTTTAAAACAGATATTTTGGTCACTGGAACAAGGCAACTACACGGTTGAGGCCATAGCGGGCACAACACTATTCATATTAGTCTACTACATTGAGCTGATACTAACGGCCATGGTGGTGGCCAAACTGTTTGCCAATCCCATAAACGGCGTGCTCTTTGGCCTGGTCATGTGGCTGTTCACCTATGCGGCATTTGGCATTATTCTGGATCGCTATTGGGACGTGCACAGCTACTATGTGTCCTTTATATTGGTGTCCTTCTTCAACACGCAGTTCACCTTTTGCATGCAGCTCTTCCATCATGTCATCGACTATCCGCAGGACCTAAAATACTACGATTTTGTCGTGCTGGCTGTCTCGGCAGTGGGCTGCATGATCATCTATCTGCTGGCGTTCATTCTGGTGCAGTGCCGCGCCCCCGGCCGTCTGCTGAGTCGCCGTGTGCTGCGCAATAAGCCGCGCGTGGACAAGCCCAAATCGGAGGCCGCTACCATGTACGTGGGCCGGTCGCCCAGTTGGCATAACTTTGAGTTTGTCGACGCCGGCAGTGAGGAGATGATGCGACTGAAGCACGTGAGCACCTCCCATCGCGAGTCCGAGCAGAAGATACTCAAGAACATCTCGATGCGCGTGTACAGGGGCGAAATTCTGGTCATACTCGGCCACATTGGCTCCGGCAAGCTGACCCTCATGCGCCTGATTGCCGGCCTGAAGTTCCCGCTGCGCGGAACTGTCTCGGTGCTGGGCAGCAGCTACACGCCGAAGGGTACGACGCGCCGCCTGGTCGACTTTCGCTTCGACGAGCACGGCCTGTGCCGCCATTTGACCGTCCAGCAGACCATCGAGTATCATGTGCGGCTGAAGCTGCAGCGCAACGACGAGGATCGCTTCAAGATCGAGAAGCGCAAGTGGCTGACCATTCTCGACCAGCACATCGAGAGCCGCAACACAAAGATTGGCCAGCTCGGCTACGCCAGCAGCCGGCTGGTGGCCCTCTGCTGCTGCCTGGCCGGCAACACACAGATCGTGATCCTCGAGGAGCCCACGCTGAGGCTGACGGGCAGCGAGGCGCAGAGCTTTTGGGCGATTGTCAACCAGGAGAAGGAGACGCGCGCCTTTGTGGTGGCCACCTACAGTGTCGGCGAGGCGGAGCATGTGGCCGATCGCGTGGCCATACTCAATCTGGGCGTACTGGAGGCCAGCGGCACGCCCTTCTTTCTGCGCTCCAAGTTCATTGGCACACTGGACATGGTGGTGACCAAGAAGCCGCATGTGCCCGCCGAACCCATTACGGACTTCATCAATCAGTTCCTGACGCGCGTCCAGCCGGACAACGAAATTGGCGACACACTGACCTACCGGCTGCCCGTATCGAGTCGGCCGCGCCTCCAGAAGCTCTGCCTGCACCTGGAGTCGGATCGGAATCGGCTGGGCATCGACTACTTTCGCATTGTGGGCACCGAACTCTCCGACACGTACATGAAGCTGGTCAAGTCGTTCCGCTTGCAAAAGCAAATGATACCGGATGTCAGTGAGTAGCGCCAGATACTCCAGTCCAGTCCAGCCCAGTGCTCCTCCTCTAACCCATCCTCCTGTATGCAGCACAAACCTTCAAGTATCAGGTGGTGTCCCAGAAGCAGCTCAGACGCCAGCGCATACGCGCCATGCTGTACAAGAAGATGATACACTCGGCGCCCAATATCTGGCCCATTATCATGATCTTCACCAGCTTCATACTGATAGCCATCATTGCCAAGCTGTCGGTGCTGCTGGACGTGCCCGAGGTGCGCTCGAATAACATACAGATTGGCTTCACCAGCGCCGCAGATGTCAAGAGCATGCCGGATATCAAGGGCTGTGGCTATGTGGACATACAGCCGCTGACCAAGACGCATCACTACAAGCGGCAGGGCCACATGATGAGCTCCTTTGCATCGACGTCGTTCAAGTGCGAGAAGGGTCGCTATCGCGACGATCTCAAGAAGATCAACGAACTGAAGAGTTTGGGCGCCATCGAGCAGGATGGCGATCAGATAATGAATGGCTACATCACACAGGACATACTCCACTCGGCCCCAATGACGCTCAATCTGCTGCACAATACGATGCTCAAGTAAGTTGCCCCCCCCCCCAAACAAATGAATGCCACAGAGAGTCATCATCCCCTTTTCATCCTTCTGCTCTGCCTGCTGTCTGCTCTGCCTGCTGTCTGCTGTCTGCTGTCTGCTGCCTGCTCTGTAGATTGGCCTATCCCGATGACAAGGAACATTTCGCTTTGGTCAGCAATCATCCGCTGCCCACACAGCTGAGCATGAAGATCAACCTGATCGACAATAAGATAGCCCACATGAACGCGCCCCTGGCACTGGGCTGCATCCTGCCGCTGGCCGTCTCCGTCTTCATAATACCCATTGTCGAGGAGAATATCTATCAGCTGAGAATACTGCAGGTGATAGCCGGCCTGGGCATGCCCATCTATTGGGGCGTCAATCTGTTCTGGGACCTGTTCACGTACCTCATCTATTCGGTGATTATTGTGGTAATTATGGGCGTGATGGGCATCGGTGGCTTCGGTTCGTATGAGAATTTCCTAATACTGGTGCTGATGGGTCTCTATGGCTTTGCCGCCCTCACCCACACCTATGTGCTGTCGTTCTATGTGAATACGTCGCGTATACGTGCGTTTCTCGCCTCGCTACTGCTGCACGGCCTCACCGGCATCGTCCTCTATATATTCTATTGGGATGTGGCCAATAGCAATGACATTTTCTTCTATGGCGCCTGCCTCTTTCCGGGCTTCTCAATGCTCGACGGCATTAGCAATATTTACACACAGTGCCTCGAGGAGATGCTGTGCAAGGACAAGTGCGAAAAGACGCCCACCTGCACCATGGAGAATATGGGCGAGATTGTGCCCAATTGTGAATGTAAGTAGCAGGAGGCAGTAGCAGGTTTATTCTCATCTTCTCTCTCCCTCTCTCGTCTGTCCTCTTTCAGCTCACACGTATTTCACTTGGAGTTCACCGGGCATTATGCCAGCCATTATCCATATGCTGGTGTCCGGACTGCTGGGCGGCCTGCTCATCTTTTGGATTGAGTTGCATCGCAGGGAGAAGAAATACCATTCATCCAGAGAGTGAGAGCGCCCCCCAATCCCCCCACCAATCCGTTCTGTTTAACCTTTGCCTTGACTGACTTTTCTTAGCTTGCATGATCTGCGCACTGCCACATATCCGTTCGACGATGCCGATATGGCCGATGTGAAGCTGAAGATAGCCGAATCCGATATGACCAAGTGCAAGCAGTCTGTGTTTCTGGTCGATCAGGTGGAGGCCAAGCTGCCGGTGACGGGCACGCGGGTGAACACCGTCTCGTTTGCGCTCAACAAGTACATGAGCATGGGCATCTATGGGCGCAGGAATTCGGGCAAGAGCCACTTGATACGGCAGCTGGTGGGCATCGATGGGTTCGCCTTTGGCGAGATCTATGTGCGTGGGCTGGACTTCAAGATGGACACCGACAAGATACGCACCTACATGGGCTACTGTCCGCAGCATTCGGGCCTGCTGATGGAGCTGACGCCGCGCGAGCACATCCGTCTGCTGTGCATGATACGCGGCGTGCCGGAGCCAAAGATCAGCGAGAAGATGCACGATCTGTGCCTCATGCTGAACATGACCGGCTGGATGCATCGCAAGTGCGGCAGCCTTACGGCCGAAAAGCTGCGCAAACTGAATGTGGCCCTCGCCCTGGTGGCCCACAACAAGGTGCTCGTCCTGGACGAGCCCACATGCGGTCTACCGGGCACCACACGCGACGAGATCTGGAATATATTGCGCTACATACGGCACTGCGGCAAGACGGTGATATTCGCCACCAACGATGAGCTCGAATGCAAGAAGCTCGGCGACTTCATTATACTGCTGCACGACTCCGAGATGGTGTCCCTGGGCAGCCTGCAGTATCTGCGCTTCAAGTACAGCACGGGCTTCTACTTGGAGGTGCGACTCATCCGCGATGGCAAGACTGTGGCCGAAACCCAGGAGCAGTAAGAACTCGCGACCTTTTCCCCCTTTTTTTTGGTTTTTTCTCATGTGTCCCCATCCACAGTTTGCGCAAAGATATGGAAAACTTGGCCAGATTTGTTAACTTTTTGCATGACAAATCGGAATTGGTGTAAGTATATATATATCATATATATATATATATATATATATATATTTGTACGCTTAATCCTCGTTTTATCCCCCCCTCGCCTAGATCCCATGCAAATCATTGGCTTAAATACTATGTGCCAGTGGGCGATATTGTCTATTCGTATTTGTATGGCAGCTTGGAGAAGAACAAGATGCGTCTGAACATCCAGGACTATTGCATTTATCAGGCGGATGTCAACAGTGTGGTCGAGCAGGTCCATGAGATGCGTTCGGAGCTGAAGCGTCGCATTGGCTCGAGCGGGCAATTGCAACGTTTCTCCAATACTGCGGGCAAGAGCAAACACAAGAAATAACCAAACGAAAACATAAATCACGCACACAAAACTTGAACTTTAAGTTGTGGGAAAATTGGGTCAAAATCAAAGCATTCCCATCCTTGAATTTACCTACAAAATACCTCCCACCTCCTATACACACATATATATATATATTTTAGAAGCCATTGTCCTTAGACATTGTCCGGCTGTCAATTATTAACGATTTTTCCGTGCGAACGCACGTGTCTGGCTGCATAATTAAACATGTGACTGGGAATTGCTACCAGCCATACTATCGCCATGTGGCCAGAGAGCCCCAGCCCGCCTACGACCACCGACCACCCCATTTTCATTTACAAGTTTAATAAATATTTCATTACGAAAAAGGACAAATCAACTTGTTTGTGTGGTGGCATTTTTGAATTGGAATTTGAATGCAGCCTCAATCGATTAACGATAGCATACAGAATGAATGCCGTTGCTATGCTCTCCTCTCTCTCTCTGTGCTCTTGCCGCCAACCTACTTAACCTACTGTCGCCATGCAGCCAGAGAGCCAACCTCAGCCCCCTCGTTCCACAACACACATAAACATATACAAGTTTAATAAATATTTAATTTCAAACAATAGCAATTAAAATTCAGTGTGTGTGATGGCATTTTTGAATTGGAATTTGAATGCAGCCTCAACTCGATAAACGATAGCATCCAGAATGATTGCCCTGCTCACGTAATGTCTCTATGACTATTCTATTCCGTTTTACTCCGCTGCTTCGTGTTGCCCGCGCGCGCGTCATATTCGGCGTCTGCTTTTATATTACTCTGCCGGGGCTAGCTCCGCGAGTTCAGTAGTTGTGTTTTTGGCGTTAGAAGTGTACTTCATAAATAATTTTTAATCTAATATTTTAACAAACACAAAATCACTTTTTTTTCTGCTCGATCGCGTGCCTGCCCGTTTGTGTGTGTGTTCGTGTTTGTTTGTTTGTTTGTGTGTGTGCTGTGTGAAACAGCTGTGCGCGTAAGAGCGAAACAACAAAAAATAATCCATAACCAGAGTGCAAAAGTACTAAGAATAGAGCTACCTTCCCCTCCTCCTCCTCCGACACCCACATCCGTCTACTACTCTATCAACTTTTTTAGTGAATGGAATGTCGTAGAATTTTCGCCGTTAGGGTCATCAATGACGACGGGCTGATAACGGGATTGGATTGCAACTGGATAACTGTAAGAGATGAACAAAAACTGCATGCATATGTATATGTGTATGTGTGTGTGTGTGTGTGTATGTATTTTCTGCCGGTAAAGTGTTTTTGCGTACTGGCGAGGGGGATGCTCGACATGTTTCGCTGGCCAAGGGCAGGGCAGGCGCACAAAATTCATATATAATACATGCCTACATATGCATGTATGTAAATATAAGTTTATGCATATTGCATTAAATAGTTTCTGCGACGGGCGCCAAAAAATAGAAAAATATATTATTTTTCTGTCTGTATAACGCGCACAATTCATCTCCCGAAGGGGCGTGTGTGTTGCATGCGCATTTGTCATGCATGCGAGCGGTTGCATGCGTCAATACATCCAACAATTCATCAATCAGATTTCTGTTCAATTCGCGGATTCCCCTAATCGAATGGACACGGAAATCTCTCCCTAGATAAAGTCAATTACTATTAAATCTAGGGCTCAAAGGCTTACAGGCGAGTAGATAATAGAAATAGAAACGTTTAAACAACTTTAACAGTGACATTGCAAAAGGTAAAGGCCAACCCCAGCAACAGCAGCAGCAGCAGAATTCACACAACCAATAAGAGAATAAATAAATAATTAATTGCGATTACAGAAAGCGAGAGAGTGGGAGAGAGACAGACTGCTACTATTTGTCAATCAATTATTCACTAATGCCTCAGACACCGATGACCACAGGCCATCGTTAGGAATAAATTGTTATCATTAAATGTCCCACACACAATCGCACCAATCGCGATACAAAATCAAGTTGGGGTAACGCTGCCAGCGCGCGGCGCGAGTTTTCACGGTTATATGGCACTGCAATAACACCGCTCGGGCCTTACAATTCCATTTATAACGTCCCACGTCGCAGGTCCCAGGTCCCAGGTCCACGTCCACCAAGGGGTGAGTGCAAAATAATTGAGAATTATCGAATGGAGTTAATATTGGACGTAGACGCAGGCAGACGTACAGGTACTAGAATTGAGCGAAGGAAGATATGTATTAGAAACCCATTTCCATGTGACCGAGCCGCAATAAAATTCCATCCACGGGTACAAATGGTGTGGTGTGTGCTGCTGCTAGCTGCAGAGGTGCAAGCCCCGTGATGTTGTATGCCACTCGTGTCCGTTCCAGTATCATGGGTTTTGATAGTCCCCAAACTTTATAACCTGAATGTGTAGGAGTTGCTTGGGTTGCAATGTCGCTTGGTTTTTAGAGTCAAGATGTGATTAGGGGTTTAAGGGCATTCAGTGTTTTAATTGCTAAAGCTTCAACTCAAAGGGGTGATTCAACCAACTACCAAAAATCATCCAAATCGAATGTAAATCGGAGCAACTTTTTCCCCTTTTTTGCGGGGCATCTTCTCGTCGTTATACCCTACCATTAGATGCATCAGAATAGCCAATCATTTGCAGATATTGGGGTGCTCTATGCCTTTTATGCGTCTCACATGTCAGCTTTCAGGCGAAGGCGAGGGCGAGGGCGAGTAATTCTCATACGTTTATGGTACATACACTCGTATTTATTATTACTGCTTGTCTTTATGATTTACCATGTGCGTAATATTAGTCATCGGGTTAGATGAACCCCGTGATGGGAGTGGATGGCGTTTCTTTAAGGGTTCTACGAATACTCATATCAGTAATTCAGTCATAAAGCAGGCACACTTCCAGCGATATCAGTGTGGAGTGTACAGTGTCCAGTGCAAAAGAAATGTATGCTAAATACATATATACATATCCTTCGAGCCGGATTTGAACCAGCGACCTATGGATCTCTACAGTCATATTTATGTGCCATGTGCCACACACACTCCCATCTACAGTCCACCGCTCTACCAACTGAGCTATCGAAGGCCTCTGTGACAGTCTGCTGACAATGCGTCGTTCATTTGATTTGATTTCATTCATCTCGGGCCTTGAATTATTTATAACTAAAGTATATGGCATAGCGCTTACCTTTCACTTTTTTCCAGCGCGAGAGTTCAATGCGCGTCTCCGTCAGTGCCGTGCTCCGTCGTTCATCCAGGTGTCGCTCGTTGGAACGCCTCCGAATGTGCCCCTTCGATAGCTCAGTTGGTAGAGCGGTGGACTGTAGATGGTGTTGCGGTGCAGTTTGCAAACAGAGATCCATAGGTCGCTGGTTCAAATCCGGCTCGAAGGATACATACTTTTTTTCTATCATTTTTCATCTTTTTTTCATTGGGAAACCGTTGGCAGAGTTGCAGAAATCCATTTCTTTTTTATTTATTTATCTTTCTGTGCATTCCCACAGTTCGATTACATCGATTTTTTATCGATATTTATTTAATATATCGCCTATGCATTATAGATTGAGTATCTATATGATATTGAGCAGCTTGCGATATGTTATCGTCGGATTATCTATATAATATCGAACGGTTATCGATCATTTCACAAAATATGATCAATAATTTATAGATTGAAGATGTATTGACAATCGATATGTTATCGATAAAGTATCGACACAATTCTTAAAGTTAATAGAATGTAAATATAACCCATTGACCATGTGATCACAAAAAAAGGTTCCAAAGTGTGAGTTCAGTTTAAGTACATGAGAGCCACTTAACGTCTTCCCATTCGTATCAATATACATATATGTACGTACGTATACATTTTATTGCATCTTATAACAAAACGTAAAAGACTATGTCACAATTAATGTGGAAATTTTGCACTGCGATTAGCCCCACCCAGACAAGAACAGGTGTTCTCATATTCTGCATAATCTCTGGTCTAGGATCGCGTTATCATTAACATTGCTTCCAAAGAAAGTTATCATTAACATTGCTTCCAAAGAAAGAAAGAAAGAAAGTTCTTATCAACAGTAGACCGACAGACCGACCGATCGACCACTCCAAAAGATTTAGAAGTGTTTTATGCATGCACAAAAGCTGAATCATCACCATAGTAGCTGTAGTTTGGTGGCTCCGATCTGTCGATAAAGATAGCAGTTCAGCTCCCCAACAAATACTAGAGAGTGTGTCCACGCGTCTCGGCCGCATGATTCATGCCTCGCACATGGCCCTACAACTCGTAATTGAAGCTCTCTGCCGTTGTCTATGTCTCCGTGGGAATGTCTTATCTTTTGCCAATAGAATTTACCCAGTAATACCGAAGGATCGGTGGGTGTAGCATTCAAGCAAGCCAATAATTAACATGCGGGGGTATTGTGGATCGAACTCGAATGAGTAATACATTTTGAAGGGAATGTGGGGCGGGGGACTGGGCCTTTATGATGGGGTATTGTGTACCCCTTTGCGATAATTACTGGGGACACATGTCGTCTGCTTGTATGGCACTGGCACTAGCACTGGCACTCGCACTGGCACTCGCACTGGCACTGGAACTCGCACTGGAACTCGCACTGGCACTCGCACTCCAGCGCCTTATCATCTTTCTGGCCAGGTCGAAACCGAACTACGAATCTATTTGCTTTATTGGCTTTCTATGGCCTGCTGGCTGGCGGCTCTCAGTCCGTTCAATTGATAAAAATGGAGATTGCCTTTCGGTTTGGCTTTAGTTCTAAATAGTCCGCCCAACGAAACGGTCGAGTTGTCCGTACTGCCGTACCACCACTCTCTCGCCTCCGCCTCCGCCTCCGCCGCCGCCTTTCGTGCATTTTTTATATACTTTTTTGTTCGCGTTGCTAACTTTTTTTCTGGTGCGTTTTTGGTTTTTTTTTTTGTTTATTGTTGTTTTGTGTTCTAGTGAAAGCCTTGAGGGTAAGTGCTACCCCCGCCCCGCCTCCGCCTACGCTAGCCTGATGGAATATCATATCCGTACAAATATTAGATGTTGTATCTCCCGCAACCCGAAAACTAAGACCAGATGTCGGCTCTCGGCTGACGCCTATTGGATTTATGCCCACTGCGTTTATCTCTGTTTATTCCTGTTATACGTGTGGTTTTTATTTACCCCCCCACATCACTGCCACCCCTCCCGTGTGTTTGTGCGCGGGGGGATTGGCATACACTTGGGATTTCCATTCATTAAATGCTAATCGATTAGAGTGCCCTCTGCCCTTTTGTGCTTTCATTATTCAGTGTGTGCATATTGCTTGTCCTGTTCTTGGCCTCCATTAGGCATAAGATTCGCGAATGCATAGCCGAAAGATTACGATGTTCCCATAAGTGAATGGAACAAATACGTATATTTGTGTATAAATTGCCAGATTAATTCCAGTAGCTATCTTAAGGAAAAAGCCATTTCACTTAGAATCTTTTCCATGTGCCTGCGCCCCCGCATAGTAATCGTCAAGTAAATGTCTGCCCGAAGTAGCGAAACATCATAAAAAGCTGGCTGGACTGGCTTATCGGTGCATTTGCTTCAGTTTTTCCCGTATTCTTTTTATACCCGTACTCAAAAAAGAGTTAAGGGGTATATTAGATTTGTGGTAAAAGTGCATGTGTGCAACGCAGAGAAGGAAACGTTTCCGACCCCATAAAGTATATATATTCTTGATCAGCATCAATAGCCGAGTCGATATTGCCATGCCCGTCTGTCAGTCTGTCTGTCTGTCCGTCTGTCCATATGTCCGTCTTGATGAGCGCCTAGATCTCAGAGACTATAAAAGCTAGAGAAACCAAATTTGGTTTCCAGACTCATGTGATATCATACTGCTACAAGTGTATTTCAAAATGTAAAATTTTCTTTTTTAATTCTAAAATTGACTGAGTACGGGTGTAAGTAAAGTCGCGTCCCCAGAAGCGACTCGCACGTTCCTTCTCGTTTTTTATGCAATTCATTCTTAGATCAGCAAATTCCTTCAATGGCTGGCTGGCAAATCACTCTGTGCTCGGACTTTACTCCCTTCCCTTTCCCACACCCATTAAGTGTTTAACGCGGCGCGTATCACAAACAAAAAAAAACTCTCGGCGCCGTTTTGACTGATTCCGACAATGGCATTATCGTCGTCTAATTATTGGCAACTTGATAGTTTTTTTTTTGTGTGTGGGGGGATCTCTGTTGTCGGTTGTTGAGCGCTGGAATTTCTTTTGTAAAAAAAAACACGAAAGATTTCGTATGTTTATGGGTATTAAAATTAAAACAATCTACAATAAGCAGACCGGATGATTCCCTTTAAACTGGGTTTTCATTACCCTTCCCTGGTAAATATCTGTCGCGTGTTTCCACTTCAGTCATAATTGTTTGTGGTCCGAGTGCATTCTGTGCGACTGCGATTAAAAACGCTTGACGATTAAAACGGGTAAAAACCTTGTACAAAAATTGTGGGTACATTTCGGACATTTGTCCGCAGAATAATTGTAACACGAGTAATGATTTATTTACATTCGTTTTATTGCGCTGCCTTATCGCGTGGAGAGCGGGGTTATAAAAGTTGACTTTCGATTAGATAATGGCAATAGGTAATAGATAATTCCAGCCATGTTTGAAGTTGACATTGACAGAGTCTCTTGACATTCGAGAGATACTCGTACTTGAGCTTGAATTTCCATTTCCCTGAGTATTTACCATACAAATTTCCTCATTCTCTCTCTCTTTCTATCTCCCTCTCTTCCCCATAGAGCCCCAACCGATTTTAAACGATTTTAATGCTGGGATAAACAAAAAAAAACACAAAAAATAAGAGAGAGAGAGAGAGAGAGGCAAAAGCCAATCGAGCAACGATGGCAAAGGTCACGAACTGGGACAAGTTCGTCCTTCTGCTTTGGAAGAACTGGACGCTACAATGGAGCCACAAGTGGCAGATGGTCATCGAACTGGTGCTGCCAGCTATTTTCTCCCTGCTGCTGGTCCTCGTCCGCACTCTGGTCGACACCGAACCGATGCCTGTGAAGAATTACGAATTTGAGCCACTCGATAATCTGGATCTTCTGAGGTGAGTTCTGCCTGTTTGCTCATCCATGTTCTTCAATGCCTCCTGATACATCCGATGAGCATCAGATGTACCAGGACCACGGCTCTACATATCCCTGCATGCTTTTATCGATTGACATTTTGGATATCGTTGTTATTTTTAGCGATTGCTTCTTATGTTTATCGATTGCTTTTTATGTTTATCGTATTTTATGTTTTTCTATTGATTTTTATGTTTTTTGATTGTCTTTTATATTATCGCTTGCCAATGCGGATATTTTTTTAGTTGTTCGATTTCCATTTATGATTATCGATTTAATTTTACATCGATTGCTTTTTATGTTATACGGGTTTTTAATTTCGAGTATCGATTTTGCTGATATTAATGTTTATTGATTTGTGTACATTTGAGTGGATATTGTATATTAAATTTATCAATTTATGTTATTCAATCTTATTAAAATGCACGCTTTTTTAAATATATTTTCTATAATTTCCTACCATATCTTTTCTTATGATTTCCCGACTTTTTTACGTTCTTTATGATTTTCCTTCTCTTTCTCAATGTTTTCTTTAAGTTTCTTTCGTTTTTCCATATGTTTTATTATGGTTTGCATTCTCTTTCTCTAAGCTTTATTCTCGTTAGTTTGAATTTTCTATGCTTTCTATAGTTTCCAATGCTTTATTCCCCTCCCAAAAACATCCAAACATACCAATGAAATATCATGTGCTAATGTGAATGTGTAAATCTCTCGTCTCTCGTTTTCGCCCCAGACATTCGTTGCATAGTTCGTCCTACGTCGGCAAACTCCTAGAGCTGATTGCACCCAACCGAAGGAGGTAAATGAATGAAAATAGTAGCGAGTATTGTTCCAAGGATTTCTTTGAATTGAATTAACTCTCCTAACTCTTCCAACTCCCCCCTAACTCCACCCTCCTAACTACTCATCTAATATACATATTATTAAGCAAAATACTAATGCTCTACAAATGCTAGAATATAGATCGTGTGTGTGTGTCCATGTGTCGCATGTGAATTGAATCCATAAATAATCACCCACTTGTTCCACTTGTTCCACTTGTTCTATCCATGTAGCAAGAGCGCATCGCTTCTGAGCAACTTCAAGTTTGAACTGTACTACTCACCGTACAGTCCCGTGCTGGACCAGCTCGTAAATGAGACCTGCAGGATATTGCAGCTTAAGGATTATCACTCTTCGGTGGATGCGGCCACATTGCAGGCGAAGCTGGTTGCGGAGGGGGCCTTTGCGGGCATACAATTCAGCGACGATTGGTCGGGGATCACAGAACTGCCGGATGACTTCCATTTTTCGCTGAGATTCCCATCGGAGCTGCGAACAGCAACGATAGCGATAGCCAACACGTGGCTGACGATGCGCCTCTTTCCCACCATTGACTTGACGGGGCCGAGGAATGAGCCCGATAACGATGGTGGCATACCGGTGGGCTATCTGCGCGAGGGCTTCCTGCCCCTGCAGCATGTCCTCTCGATGAGCTATCTGCGGCAGAAGGCCGAGGATCTGGCGCAGAATGTAACCCTGCCGGAGGTGGTGATGCAGCGATATCCGTTTCCGGCCTACATCTTCGATCCCCTGCTGGAGGGCATGTCCTCGATAATGTCGCTGATCATCCTGCTGAGCTTCATCTATCCGTGCACGTACATCACAAAGGTAAGTGGCTACCCCCCTGACTCTCTCACCTCTCACCTCTCTCCACTCCCCTCTCACGGCATATCAATCAATTGCAGTACATCACCGCCGAAAAGGAGAAGCAGCTCAAGGAGGTGATGAAGATCATGGGCCTCAGCAATTGGCTGCACTGGACCGCCTGGTTCGTCAAGTCCTTCATCATGCTGACCATTTCGGCGATCCTCATCGCCATACTCGTGAAGATCAACTGGAGCGAAGACGTGGCCGTTCTCACCCATGCCAATTTCACCGCCCTGGTCTTCTTTCTGATCATCTACATCATTGCGAGCATCTGCTTTTGCTTCATGATGGCCACATTCTTCTCCAAGGCGAGCACGGCGGCGGCTGTCACTGGCCTGATCTGGTTCATTGCCTACATACCGTTCTCCTTTACCATAAACACGTACGATGATCTCAGCCTGGGCACGAAGCTCGGCTGGAGCTTGATCTCCAACACAGCCATGGGCTTTGGCATCAAGCTGATCCTCGGCTTCGAGGGCACCGGCGAGGGTCTCCAGTGGAGCAATTTCTTTACGCCCGTCTCCGTGGACGATACGCTGACGGTGGGCGCTGTGATGCTGATGATGCTTGCCTCCTGCTTCATTTGCATGACCATCTGTCTGTATGTGGAGCAGATAATGCCGGGCAGTTTTGGCGTGCCAAAGCCATGGAATTTCCCCTTTACCAGGGAGTTTTGGTGCGGCGAAAGGGAGTACATGGGCGTCGAAGATATGCCAGCGAATGGGGGGCTGGAGGAGCAGCGCGATCCGAATGCATTCGAAAGGGAACCGGAGGGCAAACACATCGGTGTACAGATGCGGCATCTGAAGAAGAAATTCGCCGACAAAATGGTCGTCAAGGGCCTCTCGATGAACATGTTCGAGGATGAGATCACAGTCCTACTCGGACACAATGGCGCCGGCAAGACAACAACGATATCGATGCTAACGGGCATGTTCCCGCCGACCAGTGGCACGGCCATACTCAACGGCAGCGACATACGCACCAATATCGAGGGGGCGCGCATGTCCCTCGGCATCTGTCCGCAGCACAATGTCCTCTTCGATGAGATGAGCGTCGCGAATCACATTCGCTTCTTCAGCCGCATGAAGGGGCTGCGCGGCAAGGCCGTCGAGCGTGAGGTGAACAAATACCTGAAGATGATCGAGCTGGAGGACAAGGCGGACGTGGCCTCATCGAAGCTATCGGGCGGCATGAAGCGTAAGCTATCCGTCTGCTGTGCCCTGTGCGGCGACACCAAGGTGGTGCTGTGCGATGAGCCCAGCTCGGGCATGGATCCGTCTGCACGCCGCCAGCTGTGGGATCTGCTGCAGCAGGAGAAGGTTGGCCGTACCTTGCTGCTGACGACACACTTCATGGACGAGGCGGATGTGCTCGGCGATCGCATAGCCATCATGTGCGATGGCGAGCTCAAGTGTCATGGCACATCGTTCTTTTTGAAGAAGAAATATGGCTCTGGCTATCGATTGGTAAGATATTACATATCCTCTAAATATCCTGTCACATCCTTATTGATGCATTCCATTCCTTGTTTAGATCTGCGTGAAGCGCGACAATTGCGAGACGAATGAGGTGACGGCCCTGCTGCAGAAGTATGTGCCGGGACTGCAGCCCGAATGCGATATTGGGGCCGAATTGTCGTACCAATTGCCGGATAGCTACTCCTCGAAATTCGAGGAGATGTTCGGCCAGCTGGAGGAGCAATCGGATGAGCTGCATCTGAATGGCTATGGCGTGGGCATCACCTCCATGGAGGAGGTCTTCATGAAGGTCGGCGCCGAGAAGGATGGCGCCGGCAATCTCAAGGATGCCAGCGAAATAATGAACGGCGGCACTGGCTATGGCAAGGAGGACAACAATCATCATCATCATCAGCACCAGGACAACGAATCCATACAGTGTAAGCAGTGATTGAATTCTGTCAATCAATCGAACTCGAAATCGAAATGATAAGCTCAATTAACTGTTTGCAGCCGATGGCATCTTCTCCGAGAACCGTCGCCTGCTCCAGGGCATGCAGCTCCTGTCCAACCAATGGAAGGCCATGCTGCTCAAGAAGATCCTCTACACGTGGCGCAACAAGCTGCTGCTGCTCATCCAGAACATAATGCCCATTTTCTTTGTGGTTGTCACAATACTGATCATCGAAACGCAGGGCACCTTCATGGAACTGAAGCCCATCACCATGTCCCTCACCCAGTATCCGTTGGCTGTCACGGTGCTGGAGCGGCAGGGTCTGGGTAATGGCACGCAGGGCGATCGCATAGCCACACAATACGCCGCCCTGGCCCAGTCCTATGGCAGCAACTACGAGCTGGCGGAGACGCCCACGCAGAGCACATTCACCAACTACATCCTGGAGCTGGGCAAGACGATACAGGTGCGGATCAATGCGCGCTACCTGGCGGCGGCCACCGTCAACGAGACGGCCATTGTGGCCTGGCTGAACAATCAGCCACTGCATACGGCGCCACTCACCGTCAATTTGGCGCACAATGCCATTGGCAGGGCCCTCGATCCCAATATCAGTATTTCCGTGACGAATGCCCCACTGCCGTACACCACAGACACGCTGCTCTCACAGCTCTCGATGGGCAATAATCTGGGCACACAATTGGCCTCCAATTTGTGCTTCTGCATGTGCTTCGTCAGCTCCATTTATATCCTGTTCATGATCAAGGAGCGCGAGTCGCGGGCCAAGCTGCTCCAGTTCGTCGGCGGCGTCAAGGTGTGGACCTTCTGGCTGTCGCAATTCATCTGCGACTTTGCCACCTACATATTCACGGCCCTCATTGTGATCCTCACGATACTGTGCTTCCAAGAGGCGGGTCTCTCATCGTTCGGCGAGCTGGGCCGTTACTTCCTGCTGCTGCTGCTCTTTGGCTTCTCGGCGCTGCCATTCATCTACATCATGTCGCTGTTCTTTAGGGAGCCCGCCACCGGATTCGCACGCGTCTCCATCATCAATATCTTCTGCGGCATGGCCCTGTTCATTGTCGTTGTGGTGATGTCCTCGGATTTCTTTGATACCAAGGACACGGCTGATGTCCTCGGCTGGGTGTTCCGCATCTTTCCACACTTTTCGCTGGCCATGGGCCTCAACAAGGTGTACATCAATACGGCCACGAGGAATGCCTGCGAAAAGGTCGGCCTGCCACCCATTCTACTGTGCGAAATGATACCCAAATGTTGCAGTAGGTCCCGCCCCCCCCCATTAATTATATGTTGCATCGTTTAACCAGTTGTATGCCCACAGATATGAAGGCATACTTTGCCTGGGCAGAGCCTGGCGTGGGGCCCGAAACCGTCTACATGGCCACAACGGGCGTTGTATTTTTCCTCATCATCATTGTCCTCGAATTCCGACTCGTCAGCGAGCTCATCTACAAGATACGCAAAGTGGCAACGTAAGCACTGAATCGTTCAAACCTCTCTGGCCTCTCCCCTAACATTTTTGTTGCTGTCGTTTATGCAGCAAAGCACCAGCGCCACCCGAGGAGGGTTACCTGGACGACGATGTGGCCCAAGAGCGCGAGCGCATTTTCAATATGAGCGCCAACGAATTGGCCGCCAAGAATCTGGTATTGGATCGTGTGACCAAATATTATGGAAACTTTTTGGCCGTCAATCAAGTGTCGCTCTGTGTGCAGGAGTAAGTTTTGTTTGTCGTGCCCAAATAATAGATTTGAAAGATTTATTCGCTTACTGAATATCTTGCCTCCGTTTTGCAGAGTTGAATGCTTCGGCCTGTTGGGCGTTAATGGAGCTGGCAAGACGACCACCTTCAAGATGATGACGGGCGACGAGCGCATCAGCTCGGGTGCGGCCTATGTGCAGGGTCTGAGCCTGGAGTCGGATATGAATAGCATCTACAAGATGATCGGCTACTGTCCGCAGTTCGATGCCCTGCTGGACGATCTAACGGGGCGCGAGGTGCTGCGCATTTTCTGTCTGTTGCGTGGCGTCCAGGATGGCCGAATCAAGCAGTTGTCGGAGGATCTGGCCAAGTCGTTTGGCTTCATGAAGCACATGGATAAGCGAACGGCCGCCTACAGCGGTGGCAACAAGCGAAAGCTGAGCACCGCCATAGCCGTCATTGGCAGCCCCTCGGTGGTGTATTTGGATGAGCCGACAACGGGCATGGATCCGGCCGCACGACGACAGCTGTGGAACATGGTCTGTCGCATCCGTGACTCGGGCAAATCGATTGTCCTCACCTCGCACAGCATGGAGGAGTGCGAGGCGCTGTGCACGCGTCTGGCGATCATGGTCAATGGGGAGTTCAAGTGCATTGGCAGCACACAGCATCTGAAGAATAAGTTCTCCAAGGGCCTTATACTGAAGATCAAGGTGCGACGAAATGTGGATGCACTGCGGCAGATCCGACACAGCAGCAGCTTTACAGCGGGCACAAGGAATGCCGATGAGCAGACGGTGCCCGAGCAGATGGCCCAGCAGAGCATCAACGACGTGAAGGAGTTTGTGGAGCGTGAATATCCACATTCCATATTGCAGTAAGTGACAATCTGAGGGAAAAACCCAAACCAAACCAAACACATTTTTCTAAATGGTTTTTTTCGTTTCATTTGTGTTTTGTTTTGTTTTGTAGAGAGGAATATCAGGGCATTTTAACATTCTACATTCCATTGACTGGCGTCAAATGGTCGCGCATATTTGGCCTAATGGAGACAAATCGTGAGGACTTGAATGTTGAGGATTATTCGGTCAGTCAGACCACATTGGAGGAGATATTCCTTGAGTTTGCCAAGTACCAGCGCGAGGATACGCGTGCCCAACAGTGAGCGCAGCCAACACGCTACATACATAGTTGTTGCTAATCCTCCTTTTTGGCTTTTACAACTTTTGTGCTTTTACTTATTATATTTTGAATGCATCACATCAGACATCGAGCATCAAACACATGCACACTCACACTCATATCTATGTCTCATACATCACGAACGCACAGGAGCAGGAGCTCCGGCTATCATCTGGCATTTGAAACCCGCGATCTTTCGTTGTAGTTTCCTTTTAGTAGTAGTTGCTAAACCCAATCTAATCTCCCCCTCCCATTAGTTTTGACACCCACCAACCAAACAGCAGCCTAACTCTTCCGCATGGGTAGTAGACCTTCTAACTTCTATACTGCTAACTGCTATCTGATATTTGCTATCTGCTATTTGCTATTTGCTATCTTCTATCGATATACATATTGTTAATGTGTCTATGTAATGTTTTTTGTTCTACCTTCAAAAAAAAAAAACAATGCAGCCAAGGCCACATCTCAAAATTGAGAAAACTATGCAAATCCCTCCTAGATAATGAGTATTGAGAGAAAGCAACTACCTAAACGAATTGGATCGTATCGGATCTGATCGGATCTTCTGTGACCTGATGCCTGAATACACAAAATAGTTTCTAAGACTCTTAACACAAAAACCAGACAAAAGATAATGCAACATGAATGCCTTGTTACCTTGTGATCTACTAGCGAAATTACACACCTAAACATAAACAAAACCAGAGAGATCTATATTCATATATATATATATATATATATATATTATATAACGTATAACGTATCTGCCTGAAAATGCACGATAAGTTCCAAAGATTTTATATCATTTTATCATTTTTAATTTTTAGTTTTTGTTTTTTTTTTTTTTGTATTTTGTTCTGCCATCAAAAGTATTCTTCTCTAAGGTACACAAAAAGAATACCCATATTAGCTTTAAAAATGTCAACTCGATGTACTTGGACGTATATTTATTATGGATGTGTTTGTACTTACGATTTCGGGGGGGCTTAAACATTAAACCCAAACTGTAAATAGTTACATTTTACTGTGGAACCTGAGCGATAATGTTAAATGTGTAATATACGGAAAAATAAATTATAAATTCCAAATTGTATTTGGTTTTGATTTTGGGGAAAGAGAAAGATCTAAAAGAGATGTCAAGCAGTGACACCAAGGCGGCCGAGGAGTGCAGCTGCATGACACGTCACACGTACATATAATAAAAGGTATGATAGTGATTCTATCTATTCTCTATCCATTCTAAGCTGGAATAAAATTAAATTCTCTTGGAAATTGTAACCTCATTTCGCTCATAATATTTTACTTTTGTGGTTTCCTATTTTCCCCTGATAAATGGAAGCCAAACGAAAGGTATACTCGTATGTTTCCCCAAAAATATGTACGTTTATATTTAGGTAGTCAATGGAATTATGTGGAGTTCGTAATGGACGTTGGGGTATACCTTCGGCTGCCGCGATCAAACAGATAGACATGCAACCCAATGACCATATTGCGGGTAACGAAAAAGTCCTCAATATTCAGCTCAAACGTATCCTTGCGCAGGCTGAGGAATATCTGCGAGAAGCTGGTCGATTCCAGTGGCATATGGAAGATCATTGAGTCGCTCTGTTCATCGCTAAATGGAAAATGGAAAATGGGGATTACGAAATGAAATTACAGGCAGAAGGAAAGCCCACTCACTGGAGCGTTGCGCGTGGGAACTTGAGCTCCATGAACGAGGACAGTTTCTTGTGCGGCGACATGGGTATCTGGCCGATGCGATTCCATGTGCTGCGCGTCAGACTGACGTTCGGATTGGCCTTGCGCTTGAAGCGCACCTCCACCTGGTAGCCGTTCTTGTAGTTGTCGCTCAGCTCCTCATACGAACCGATGGCCCACAGCTGGCCGTCGTAGAGGACGGGCGTACGCTGGCACAGCCGTTCGCTGTCCAGCGGCAGGAGGCTGGTGAACAGAAAGCTACTGCCACGCGCCATCATGTACGAGGTGATGGTGAAGATCGTCCTCTTGCCCGCCGGATCGATGCCCGCCGGCACCCCATCCACGCAGATGAATGCCGGTGAGCCGAGAATGGCCAGGGCGAAGTGCAGGCGACGCCACTGGCCCGTCGTGCAGTACTGAATGGGCAGATTGCAGCAGCTCTGGAGACCCATCATCCGCATCAGGCCCTCGATCACGTCCTTGGCCACATCGTAGGAATGGCCCTGCAGCTGGACCTGGATGTACATCAGTTCCATGGGCGTGAACTCACCCGGCAGGTTGTCGTTCTGCGGACAGTAGCCCATTCTGCGGTAGCATTGGAGGCGCTTCCGGGCCATGGAGTAGCCCCGCACCCAAATGCGACCACAGGAGGCGCGCGTCTCCTGCAACAGGAGCCTCAGGAAGGTCGTCTTTCCCGAACTGTTGTAGCCATTCAGGCAGACGCATTCGGTCCTGCGATCAGCAAAAGCAAAAGGCTTCGATAGAACCATTACCCATCGATAAATATCGATATCACTCACTTGCCTATGCGCAGATCCAATCGATCGATGAGGTAGCGCTTTCTGCGGCGCTTGCCCAGATTGTGAATGATCAGGGAATACTCCTTTCGCTCCTCCTCTTCCATTTGGGCAATGTGATTCCGCTCCGAGATCACAGAGGCATCCACAGCCGTGGCATCCTTGAGCGTGGGCCTGGGCGTGCTGTCCGCCGAAATGCGGCACTCTTCGGGAATTTTGCGCCTGCAGAAGCCAAAGGCGAGAACTGTATAGAATTCCGCGCCCTCAAGGAGGCATAAAAGCAGCAGAATGTGCAGCACCATCATTGAGAACTCAAAGGCGATGCCATGCTCCTTCATAAAGTAATGATAGTTGACTGGAACGAGAGGATAGAGACTATTAGTCTAGGCATCAAGCATCAAGCATCCCTCTCATCTGCCACTCAACTGCAACAATTGGGAAAACTCTCGCAGCGCAGCACCTTTGTGGATAGAAAATTGACATCTGGATCTTGGCAGTACAGTCTGTACTCGTTGATCATGAACAGCTTGTAGATCATTTCGGCGGAGGTGTATTGGATGTGCAGCTGAAACCAATCGGGCAGATTCTCCATATTGTTCGATACCACAATATTGAAGATGATAATGCCCAGGGAGTTCCACAGGCAGATCGTGACAAAGCCATGCAGGGGATGACCAAACAGCTCCGATACCACATAGGTGGTCAGCATCACGGCCAGACCCAAAAGCACAAGTGTCAACGTAAGGAAAACTGAAAGAAAATCAATAATAATGGGGAATTGGGCTGACTAAAGACTAAAATGAGATGGAGTACCCACTGTAAAGGTGGATATCATGGTGTGGATGCAGATAGATGGCCACACAGGTGATAACAGAGAGCACCAGAATCAAGAGCAGCACACAATCAAAGAGGATATAGCCCAGCCAGAAGGTGTGCAGCCTGACGCCGGCCAGAAACTGTTGCTTCTTCATCGTGCTGGCCCGCTCGCGGACGAGAAACATCGAGATGCTTGGCCACACAAAGCTCAGCACGAACGTGATGTTGATGGCCAGGAGGCTGCCCAAGGTGAGCGACGCCTGGGCAAAGGTATTGATGTTCGTGTGAAAGGGCACTGGCCACAGGCTCACATCCATGGTGGCCTCCTCATCGAAGATTTGTCTGCGGAGGGGTTCAAATCACGGCATTAAGAGAGAGACGCAGACAGAGGCAGGTTACCTAGCAGATACCTGGCCACCGCATTGTGCACCGCATTCAGGCTGTATGGGGCCGTGTGCAGTGGTATATTGTTGAACCATGCCGTCACCAGCTTATCGCTGAATGTCGCCCCAAACAGGAAACGGAAGTTGACATTCTGCGCAAAATCGCTGTTGTGCAGCAGATGGGACTTGCCGTCGACTTCCTTGGTGAGCAGATCGACATGACCGTCATACCAGTAGAGCAGCTCCGTGTAGTAGCCATGCATGCCGGTCACATCCTTGGATCCCTGCGTGAGCGTCTCCGCAAACGCCTCGATGCTGTGCAGCACCGTCAGGTTGAATGTCAGCGGCAGCAGCGAAAAGCTCTTGCCATACATTAGAATGGCCGCAAAGGTGCAACAGAGGGCTATGGCGAGAACCAATGCATCCACTATCCTGATAATCCATGATCGCCGGGCCACGATCCATCGCTTGTAGAGGAGGGCCTTCATTTGCAGCAAAAACAGCCGCCAGCCGGTGATCTTTTCCTTTTGCTTGACAGCCGCCAGCACGGCATAGTAATCCTCAACGACGAGGCTGTGATTGTTGATCATCTGGCCGCCACCCGGCTGATCGTTTTGCTCGCAGCCGAAGCGCAGAAAGATCTCCTCCATGGAGGTGTCCCTGATGCGAAAGCTCACCACATCGAACTCCTCCATATTCTGTTCGAGCTCATCCAAAAGGGATGTGAACATATCCTCGTACTTGTTCTCCAGCACAAAGGTCACCTTCAGCCCAATGTCACTCTCGATGGTCAGGTGTGGCATGTATGCGCTCAACATCGTGTATAGTTGATTCACGTTGCAGTTCTTGCCCTTCACGCAGGTCTAGACAGAGACAAAGACAGAGAGTGGGTAAGAGAGAGTGGGAATGGAGGGATCGATGAAAGATCGATGGCAGATGATCCATTCAAACTAACCAATCGATATCCATGTCCGTACATATTCTTCAGGAAAGTCCTTGTGCCGGTGCACTTGAGTTCCCCATTGGCCATGATCGCCAGACGATCGGCCATTGTCTCTGCCAGAGTTGAGGAGTTTGTAACTAAAATAATGGTGCGTCGCGACTTCTCCTCGTTGATGAGGCCCCAGATGAGCGACTGTGTGGGCTTGTCCAGATCCGAGTGTATATCATCGATCAGGACGATGGAGCAATCGCCGAGGAAGGCGCAACACACACTGAAGAGACACCGCTCTGGGTCGCTGAGCTGCCCCACCTTGCGGCTCTTCAGATGGGTGATCTTCATTGCCTGCATGTAGAAGTTCGCCTGCGCCACAATCTGGCTCTTCTCGTGCATGCCCCGCACCTGGCACACGAAGTGGATGTGATCGATGACACTCAGATCGAGCAGCAGGAGATCGTTGTTCAGGGCGACACCCAGCTCCGCAGAGGCGGCCATTCGCTCCGTTTCAATGTCATGCGTGGAGATCATGACCGATCCCCGATTGGGATCCAACAGACCGGCGAGTATCCTCAGCAGCGTCGTCTTGCCGCTGCCATTGTGGCCCATGAGGATGGTCACTTCGTTCTCGTAGACGTTCCACGTGAACAGATTGAGAGCCGCATGATCGCTGGACCCGAATCGCTTGCACAGTTTCTTGATCTTCAGCTTGAAGCGTCGATGCGAGGGCTCCACCTCGTAGATCTTCGTGGAGTTCACACCAATGGTGGTGCCCTGGTGCGTGAAACTCTCGGGTCGCTCGTTCTGAAAGTCATCGGGCATGCTGCCGCCCCGCGTTGGACGCTTCATTCGCTTGTTGGCCATCTCGGTGGCATTCCACATGTCCATGTAGAGGCCAATGATGCAGTAAACCAGCGCTGCGGCCGCAAACACCCACGCGCTCTTGTTGACGCTCATCGGTTCGGTGGAGAAGATCAGCTCGAAGCCGCGGTCAGACCACTTCTTGTGGAAGATCAGCTCCCGCTCCACCAGCGTCTCGATCACCTTGGCCAACACACAGTTGGGCAGCGCATAGGACATGTAGCGCAGGGCCTGCAGTCTCTGCTCCGGATTGTTCCACAGCACAAAGAACGGCATGTACGTGACAATCCACAGGACAGTCAGCACATGGACGGCATTCAAGGGGTGCTTAAAGAAGGCAGAGACCATCATTGCAAACGCATTACCAGCCAGATTGTAGCAAACGAGTATCAGTAGTAGAACATGCCAGGGGGTCTCCGTGAGGACTCCATGGTCATTCCTCCAGTGTATCTAAAAATCGATTTACAATTTAAAATTAAAATTAATCAGATTTTAATTCGATATTAAATCGATAATAGATAATTCTACAAATGTATTTATCGGTGCAATATAAATCGATAATTATCGATTAGTAGCTTGCACTTACCTTGCACAGCAGCGTAATCAACAGAGAGGTAAAGAGCATATAGAAGACACCCTTGAAGTACCACGAAATAAAGTGTATCGTATTGCCGATATTCATGTTGATCATGAACAAACGCAGCTGTGAATGCTTCTCGGTTACCACCTGCTAAAAGGAGCAAAAGTGTATGGTAATTGCCTGGTTAGAGCTAATCGATAACTATCGATAATCTTACATGGACTAACATTTGGCAGGGAAACAGGAAGCCAATGATGAAGAGCAGGGCCAGACCCCGATCCAGGTAGAGCAACAGGGGATCCTGCCTGCGCCCGATGATGGGGAAGCGACGCAGCTGGATTTCGGGCAGCGTACTGCGACTAACGATGGCCAGGAATGTCTCACTGATGACCTTCTGCATCTGGATGAAGCCCTCGCGAACGTAGCCCACATAGCCGCCGCAGTACGGCCGATCGAGACGCTCCTGCACGGTGGCCGATTGATCGTCCAGGTAGTTTGTCATCCAATTGGCGCTGATGAAGCTGTCATTGATGATCCGCAGCTCGCTGGGGAACAGAATCGAGTAGTTGAGCACCGGCTGGATGAGGTCCGTGGGCGCCAGGAAGCCCTCAACGAACTCGTATTCCGTATCGAAGGGCCCCTCATCGAAACAGATGCCAGCGAAGAGGTACTTACTTCGCACTTCTTTTCGCAGCTGGTCGCAGTCCTTGAACCTGAGCGCCGTCAGTGGCTTCAGCTTCTTGAGGCTCTGTGTGATGGTCTCTTCGAAAATATTGAACTCTTCGGGTGCCCAGCCGATCAACAGCTTTGGAATGAACGGATTGTTCTCCTTGCCGTACTCTTTGGCGATCTTCTGGCGCTCCGCCAGTGTATCCATCAGCTCCATCCAGCTGCGGTCCAGATCGATCGGATCGTACACACTGTCCACCCGCATATCCACCTCCATTATCCAGCGCATGACCACAGCGACGAAGCAGAGCATCACTGGCGCAAACACAATCCATAGCACCTCCCAGGGTCTCGACAATTGTATCTTGTGGTTCTTCCACGATATTAAAAATAATTTGCCAACACAGTCACGTATGGTCATAGTATTTTTTTGTCTTTTGTCTTTTATTTTTGTTGTTGTTGCTGTTGTTGTTGCTGTGAGGGGAAACACAACGAGTGCTACGAGTATCTCTGAGTGTTATCAGTTGTCAGAACAGGGCGTCAGCCTCAAGCCCAAGCTTTGACCGAGGGGCACTGCTGCATGGAAGCGTGCCATAAGAAACGCTTGCGTAAGTAACTAATTTAGACCCGGGTACATACCCTGATCTTCTTCTATTTCCTCTAGATCTTTGACATATTTTTCCTATCTGTAGTTGTTCGTTCTGGTATCTGTCTCTTGCTCTTTATAAAATATCTATCTTTTAGTGGTTCGCAGTACGAATTTATTTCTCTCCATCTGTAGCATTTCCCATTGGGTTATCTGTTGTTATCTGTTGACTGTTTGACTCTTTTGCTGTATTCGTAATATCCGCTCGCAAACGCTGCTTTCACAGTCATCTGGTCATCTTGTGCTTTCCCCACTACATATACACAGATATACATACATACATATATATATCTTTCAGCTGCATGTTGATTTTTGGCAACATGCAAGCAGCGTGTTTATTTATCCTTTGGCATAACATTTTTATTGCATTCTAAAGCAAACAAATGACAAAAGCTTTTACGCTGCCGAATATCGAGTGGGGGGAGCGAAGGAGAAGGAGGAGGAGGAGCAGCAGCAGCAGCAGCAGCAGCAGCAGCAGCCGAGAGTGGAGAGTGGAGTGGGCACTAAAATGACATGAGAGTGGGACATCCCAAAAAGATTGAATAGCAAAGAAAGAAGACATAGATATTTCTAAAGCTCAGACGAATGGCCCTTGGTTTCTCTTCCACTCGCTTTGAGTGTTTTTTTTTCGTATTCAATTGAACGAAGAATTTTCATCGGGGCTGCCAAAGCAGCTGGAACTGTCGCAATATTGATAATAAATCGAAGATAAATTGATAAGAAAAAAAAACAATAAATAATACTTTTTTAAAAATGATAAAAATTGTTAAGAAATTAGCAATTATTGATCCAAGTGGGGTTGCCTCTATCCCATCTATAATTTTCGATCTATTTGTTGCACCTTTCTGATTTCTTAGGGCATTCTGTCGGTCGTTCTCTCTCTCTCTCTCTCTCCCTCTCGTTTAATTTGTTGCTAGCCTCTCGACGGCCCATTCAGAGAGCCCCACGGCCCTTTCTGTTCACATTCAATTGCATTTATTGACCGAAGAAATATTTTATTACTTTACGCTTGGCAAATATTAGTCGCCCATCGCCAATGACATCGTCGGCGAGTGGGGCGTATGGAGTGGCGTGGCATGGCGGCCCTTTGCTTTTGTGCCAATGATGCGATAGCGGGCGCCCACCCAAAATGTGGGGCCGCCGACATGTATGCGCCCGCCGCAATGGCCCAAAATAAGTGGAAGGAAGGGCTTAGAACTGGCAGAGCAGAGCAGAGAGCAGAGAGAGAAAGCTTACAACGAATTTGTTGTCATTGACGCAGGCGGCAGCGAAATGAAACGATGATGCTGATGCTGTCCTGCCCCCCTGTCTCTGTCCCTGTGCTGTCCTGTCCTGCCCTCCGCCTGTCTTGGCTAATATATCCGGCCTGCTTTTGTGTCCAATGTCCGCCCTGTCCCTCCTGTCCGCCACTGGCTGCCACTTTGATTTCTTGGCATAGCTTTGACTTTTTTTTGTTTTGTTTTTGTATAACCCCTTCGAAAGGGTATATGTACTGCACGCGTGTGACGCAGCAAGTCACGGCTTCAACTGGCAATTATCGTGGGTAGGAATACCCACCTTTGATTGATAGAAAAAGTGGCTGATTGGCCGATTACTGCAGGCAGATTGGGGCCAAGAATCTGTGCAACTTTCATGAGTGCCTCAACCAAAACGTTTCTTCGTTTACTGTGGAGATTCGGTAAGGATTGATCGCGATATTAACTTAATTTCTGCTCGATTTCCTCTCTAGGGTATTCTGCGTGTCTTCATGGCCCCAATGGAGTTCTTTCTTTGCTTCTTTCGCAGGGCTGCCATTTTTTGTAGGACTTCCCAACGAACTTTGGCAAATATTTTGGTCATAGCCGAGATTTGCGTGCCTTGTGCCAATGGTTCTGTTTGTTTTGCTCTGTCCACACAAATGGGTGACTGGGGAGGAGGATGGTGGGGCGACTGGGTAGATGGCTCTTGGAACTGGTAAACTGGGTGGTCTGGGGGTGTTGTGTCCAGTGCCTGTGACTGTGCCTGTGCCTGGGCCCTCCACATGGCATATGAGAGTGTGGCTGGGCTGGGCTGGACTGGCCTGGCCTGGCTGGCTGGCTGTGCTCGCCCTCCAAAAATCTGGGTAATTCGGTCATGAATATGCGAACAATTTTCAGCCATTGTCCGAGTAACATTTTCTATCTTTTTGGTCGCATATTTGTCGCAAATGGACTACATTACATTACTGCGACAGTTATCTCTCCTGATATACGATACGAGTGGATATATTCCAGGCGTACTATATGTATATGTATAGTATAGCAGGACATTAGGGGCCTAAGAAGCAACGAAATATAATCATAATACATATATGTATATATTTATATATGTATGTACATGTGCATCCAAAATACAGACAACGACTGAAACGAAACAAAGGCCGCATAGCATTAAAATGTAACAAAAAGCCACAACAATACGAGCAGTACAATGTGCTCGTTCCATGTGTCTCGTCTGTTGTATGTACGATTAAAATTAAACAAGCAGTGAGTGTCCGGCGCCGCATCGGGATCGGGGGCACATGTTGAACTTGAAGTAAAAATAAAAAAAAAAAACAGCAAAATAAATACACATAAGAGCACTATTGCAGGTCCTGGCAGAGAGAGGCGACTGGGGGTGTACCTCCGCTAGACAGGAATAAGAGTAAAGCACATTCCAGAGACTATAATAATGCAGATCATTAGATTAGATCTCCCTTTCGAATATGAGTCACAATATCGCAACCCAAAGGGGTGAATATTTTTGGTCGAGTTTTCGTTCAATGAAGATAATTTTTCACAGATCTATCGATCAGTTTCCAGACATATCTTATCAGTAAATGCTAGCATTATATGTACATACATACATATGTGTAAAAACAAGATGACAAAAATTCTCGGACCCCTTTGTGGGATATTTAAAATGTATCAAAGAGGTGCAGCCACGAAGGTCTTTATGAAATAGGTTGGGTTAAAACAAATAAATCTGTGGCATATCTGGCATATATGTACATATTATCCCTTAAACCAATATACCCTTTGCCCCCCCCAAACACATAATTACAGTATCAACAAAAACAGCAATCAGTTGGAGAGGCAGGAAGGGAGACGACGACGACGACTCTAATGCGCTCTCTCTCTGGCTCTGGAGTCAAGTGGAACTGGGAGCTGCGTCCAGTCTGCTCTACTGATAACGATGCTCTCTGCTCATGTAATGGCCAGAATAACTCATTAGGAATTAGAAAAATCTTTTGTTCCTGTTGTGTGTGTGTGTGTGTGTGTGTGTGTGTGTAGGGATCATGGGAGATGGCATCTCACTCGCACTCAGAGCACTCGGAGCACACAGCTTTCCTTAATGATTCCCAATTAAACTCATTTCTCAGCGGCAAGCAAACTTTGCTCCATGTCGCCATTCCCACTGTCGTTTCCGTCTGTTCCGTTATTCGTTTTGCCTGCCATCCATTTGGGAACCCGTTATGTCTGTGCAGGGTAGGCAGGTGAGTGTTTCGAGCTTATGAAGCAACTAGAGAGGAGAACAGGAGAACCCATCGAATTTCATGATAGATTTATCTACAAATTTCGTATGAGCCGAGAGCCATGTGGGACTTTCTCTTCTTGCACCCAGAGAATTGCCTATGAAATTTCGCTCAGTGGAGGAGATCTTCCCTCCTCTCTTTTGCTGTGGCTTTGCTAGGCATTTGTCTATTCCTCTTTCTGTACGAGGCTCACCAGAGTGTGAGAGAATGAGCGCCCATTTGGGATCAATTAATGCTTCGTATTGAGTATGGAACAAGTGAACGTTTCCGAATAGTTTGACCATGAAATTGTTTCCAGCAAACACCAGGAGAGAGCACCTTTCCGCCTAAGTTCCCCCCTGCACTGGCATTTGTTGGGTATACGAGTGTGCGAATGCATTACTGCTGCTGCTGGGCGCTGCTGGGAGAGCGAACGGGAACGGAGACGCAGACGGCGAAGGAGAAGGCAGCAACAAAATGCATGCTGGAGAACAGCTGCTTTTGCTTGGCATTGAAAACACTGATGGAGTGTCGGCGGGGGGGTGGGCAGGCCAGAGCGCAGCGAACAGCGGGCCGAAGGCCGATGGCCGAACACGAGCACGACAACGAAACACGAATAGAAAGACGAGCGCCACGAAGCACAACAACTGGCGGCAACCGAGACGAGACCGGTTTTTGGCGCTTTGGCGCCTCGCAGTCCACAGTGGAGCATCGAAGGTGTCGGAGGTGTATTTTTTTTTCGGCGACTTCTACAGCTTGTTCGAGCGACTTTGTTCCCGGCCCCAAAAACAGATTTTGACGCAATTTTAAACGTACGTAAATCGGAGCTCTCTGGCCTGCCTCGCCACTGCGGTGATTTCACTCCCAAGCGCGATTTCAAACAAAAAACTACAAAACACAAACGAGAAACGAGAAACCGAGACAATCAAAAGTGCTAATGATTTGGGATTTGGGATTTTTTTCTCTCTGTTTTAGATATTTTTTAAGAATTGTTAATTATAATTTTTTTTTACTGTGTGTGTGTGCCATTAAATCATCTAGCAGCTAAAAAGAAAGAAAAAAAAACAACAGTGATTAAAACAAAACAAAATAACAAGCACATAAAGTGAATTCCAGCCTGAGATTATTAAGAAATACTCGCGTAATACTCGTTTGCTATTGTTGCCGCTGCTGCTGTCCTCTGGGGATCAATTAAAATATTTACATACATATTTCATCTGCCCCGTCGCCACTTTCTTATACATATGTATATAGTATATCACGTGTGTGCTCGCTCGATCGCCGCGACACTAGTCGTGAGATCGTCATTTGTCTCTCTCTCTCTCTCTCTTTCCCTGTCTCTGTCTGTGGTTTTAATTAGCAAATGATTCGAGTCCAAATGGCAATTTGTTGCCGATTCCATTGATTGACTTCAATTGCCAGGAATTGAAATGTTTTCCACAGCACAAAAATCAACAGTAAAGTGCAATGAATTTTTGTGTGTAGCGAGCGGAAAGATATCTAAAGAGTATCCAAGTTTATGGCCAATTTCAAGCTTATTTCAAGAGTGTAAAAAATGGCATTGAACTTTGGGACACTGAAATTTTGTGGAATTTTTCAAGGGCAATATGTGTATGACATTTGCACTCACTGGAAGTTTCGTGCTACTCCCTTAGATACTGATTGCCTATGGGGAATTCTCAATTTCTACAAGGAATCATTCAACTATCAAATTTGAAACAGACAGTAAAGGAGCCACAAAATCCCAGAGAAGATCATGCCAATGTTCGTGATCATTGAAAATTTCCTCCCATTTTGATTTTTAATCAATAAATCTACCAACGGGCGAGCCGCTCATATAACTGTGCCCTTGGGGGATCAATCGTCGTCGTGAGGCGATAAGGAAGCCGCCGGCGAAACGAAAGACTTCCATTTCGTTTTCTCATTTTGCGCCTTTGTTGGTTTGAATGAATGATTTCTCCTCTCGCCCACTGAGTGTGTTCCAATTTCCTCTGTGATAGAGCGGGCAGGAGGGAGAGAATTTCCCCTTGTGTCGTGCCAAGTGTAACGGTAATGTAATACGGGACATACGAGTGTGTACCACATCATTGGCTTATAATGTATTTTCTTACGCCTTCAATCGAGTGGGGGAGAGTGCAGAAGGAGGTGGATTAGGAGAAGAAAAAAAAAGAAAATACATATCTACATACATGTACATGTATGTATGTATGTACCTGCCCCTCTAGGCATATGGGGCATCGCATCTTGTTCGGCGAACTATAAACATTAAATAACAATAATAACCAGCAACAACAACAAAACAACAACAACAAGAGAAGGAGAAGGAGAGCCAGTCAGAGAGCCAGTCAGTGCCGGCTGAAAGTTGAAGCAGTTTGTCTAAGTGGCTTGGGGGCTTTGTCAAAGCATATAAAATATAATACAATAGAAAGTATATATACATAAACCCCACTCGTAACAACAACAACAACAACAACAACAACAACAGCAACAATAGCAGCGAGAGTACGTCGCAGTTGTTGGCTCCAAAACACGCAACAGTCCGTCAGAATAAAAGTCAGCGCCCCCCACCAGTAAAACCCCCGACAACACCCACAGAACCCTAGATCTAAGCGCCCATACTCCTCCTCCTGCTCGAGCACTACTCCATGGAATCCCTACCGTTCTTCCAACCATCGCGTGTTCCGGCTTCCAAGGACCATGGAGCAGGACCCCTCCCTCTTTCAGAGACTTCAAACAGTGCGGCCCCCGTACGGTCGTCCTATCGTCCGTCGGCGGTCGGCGGTCGAGCCCTAAAACTCAAGCCACAAATACACATATCAACATATGTACATATGTACATACTTATGTATATGCCCCCGTGCCACGATACGTTCCAGAAAACTTCCAGAATAGGTTTTCGAAAAGCCTCTGGCAAGCGTAGAAGTATTCGCGGATTTTTAAAGTCAAAATTTGAAAAGTAAACTTAATTTTTGCATTCACAAAACTCGAATTTTCTTTCAACATTTTATAATGTAAATTACCGGAAAATCTTGTTGAAAATTTCCTTCAATGCTTTCCGCTTTTGTTTTTTTTTGTTTTTTTTTTTCTGGGAGTTTTCCGGAACAACATTGCTGGCGACGCAGGGGCGGACGATAAAGTGCAATTTTTTCTATAACAAAATTTTCTATATTGTATTTTTTGTTGTTTCGTTTTCTTCACGTTTTTTTTTGTGTTTTTGTTTACCGCCCACCGCTGTGCAACGTTCCCGTTCTTGCAACGTACTGTGTCCCGTGCTGCCGTGCTGCCGTTCCTGCAACTGCGTTCGTCTTGCAACACACTCCCCCGTGGATGGAGAGTAGGTCACAGGTCAGTATGTGTTACTATTTAGTCATTCTAACTAACTTTGAAAAGGGGCGTGGAACGTGGGACGGGCTGAAGTCTGATGGGGCAGACCCAGACCTCCCTCCCTTTTCGCGTTGCATATTAATTTGCAGGCGACTTTTGTTGTGTGCCCCGCATTTCATGTGGAAATCTTGAGAGCCTAATGTGCTTATGGCTTCCCCACTCGCGTCGTGTGTGTGGTTTGGCATGTGGCATGTGGCATGCGGCATGGGGCATGAGGCATGCGGCATGAGCCATGGCGGCTGACAAATCAATCTGGGGAAAATGCCTGATGCGGGAAATGCGGCTGGAAAAAGTGGGGAAAAAGTTTTCCATTTTTGGTTTCTGGAATTTTTTTGTTTTCTTTTCCCCCTGCCACGGGGAATTTCCCCTTGAAACTTTTCCTTGACATTTGGGCAATCATTCAGTTGTGGAATTTATAGAGTTATTATAGAGTTACCCGGAAAAGTGGGTTATTGAAGTGGTTTTACAACCCTCTCGAAAAAGGGTAACAAAAGTCCCAAAAAGTTGCATTTATTGGAGGGGGCATTGTAACTCGGATTTGCTGTAAGTTTGAGGGTCTGGCATAAATAGATAAATTTATAAATTCAGCAGATAGAAAATACAGCTAGAATTGAAAAATTTCAAGAAGATTTTTCCCTATGCACTAGGAATAAATTTTAAATGCATTTTTTCTGTTAGAAATTCACAAGCGAAAATAATACAATAGAGAATATAATCTATTCCTTGCCGCCCAGCTCTATCCATTTGCAGCAATTATTGAGCCCCGCAATCCGTCAAAGTCAAAGTCAAAGCCAGCATGAGTGAATGCGAATCTCTGGTGTTGCATGTGGCATGTGGCATGTTTCATGCTGCAGCGCTGAAACTGAAACTCAAATTGAAATTCGAAATTGGCTGGACGACTAAACGAAGACCGAAACGACTAGCGCCATCGATCAAAATCAATTAAATCCTTTTGCCTCTTTGCCTCAAAAATTATATCGTTATTTCGTTATTATGCAAAATGACTCTGGGAAAAACTACAGGGCGGAAAACTTGTTCCATGTTTTGCCAAAAGATAAACTTTCCGTTGCCGCCGCTGCCGCTGCCGCATTCTCTCGTATAAGTAATTTCCAATGAAACTAATTTATTTTCGATTATAACTCAACTCGACTCGACTCCGCTCCACGCAAATTATTTGCAACTTTTATGCGATGCGTCGAAGGGGAGGAAAAGCCGAAGCGCCCTCCCCCCCCCACATTTGGGGGAAAAGTTTTTCCCCGCGATTCCGAAACAATTAGCTCCGATTGAAAGTTATGCCACGAGAACACAGAGATAATTGTCGCTGAAGTGAAGTTTTATTTGTGGCTGATGACCTTGACGACCCACTCCCTTGAAAGATTCGCCTCAGATTTGGGTTTCGGTTGCAGCGTTTAAACGTATTTTAAATAATGCAACATATGGAAAAAATGTTGCCCCAGAAGCGCCGTCAGGGGCAGGACAGGGAATTTGTCAAGGGAAAAGAAAAAGGCCCACAAAAGAAAATGGGGAGGGGGAAATGCATGAGAAATCGGCAGAGCGACAACGAACAACAAGACAGAGGAGAAGAGAGAAGAAGCAACAGAGAACCAAAACCATGAGCGGAATTGAGGATACCTTTGGAGGATACCCTTGCAGATCCATTTATAACTCTATGCAAAGCTTCCTTCTGTAGGCCAAAAATATTATTCCTCTTCGTAGTCATTTTGTAGCAGAAGAAAAAAAAAATCAAATTAAAGATCTGCAAATACAAACAGGACTTTGTAAAATTCTATACGTAGACATTTCCATAACCCCCGCTCCGCCCCGACTGGAAAGGGTATTTGGGGGCGAAAAACAAAAGCTCAGAGCGCACTTTCTGGTTGCTGCGACTGCGACTGCAACTGCGACGACTGTCAAGCCAAATGCACAGAGACAAAGGCCACAAAAGGGGTGGTAAACGGAGAGCTGAGAGCTGAGGAGATGCAGGGGCGGAGGGGACAGTGCAACGGTTGAGGTGGAAATGTTGCAAGCCATGTTGCACGTTTGGACCAAAAGCAAGAAAAAAAAAAAGACAAACAGAAAATGCTCGACTTCATGAGTCGACCTTTTTAATATCTCACCCTTTGATGATTTTTTAAAAAGTGAGAAAATAAAATAAATTTTAGAATGGATAACATTATACATTACTACACATTATAAGCGCAGAAAATGACTTCAAGTTATACCTCAAAACTAGTAGAGTAATACGTGAAAATACCAAACTAATTCTAGACAAAAAGTGGGATAAAACGTACAAGAAAAATGACAAGAAAATACGGCAGAAACAGAAGACAGAATAAATATTGTGTGTGTTTGAAGAAATCAAAAAATATTCGAGTATATGCCCATCTTTGGTATACCCAGCATCCATTTTCATTCCAGCCACGACACTTGTGTGTTGTGTTCCCCAGTGTGGGGGGCAGTGTAGCATTGTGGCAGCGTGGCGGTGCGGCAGTGTGGCAACAGCCGTGGCATTTGTTGTGTTGCGGTCTTTTTGGGGCCAAAAACAACATTTTGGTAACAATGCGCCTGACAATATTTTCAAGGTCCTACCCAGAACTGCGGCAGGGACTAAATCATAAGCAAAAAGTAGAAGAACTGCGGGTCGGATGGGGACGGGGGCAAAATCTGTGAACCGAAAAGGAAATCCTTGGCAAGAAAGAAAGGATCTAGAGAGAGAGAGATAGAGAGGTGGAGGGACAGAGACAAATCTTGTGGTCTGCTGCTCAAGGACTGCCCCGTATTCCTTTTTTTTTTTTGGGAAATAGAAACGTAAACTGATCAAACAAGACAAAACTGAAACTAAATCAAAGGCAAAGCCAAAGCCAAAGCAAAAGTCTGGCAAATTAAATAATCAAAAACAATTGTTGAAGTGCTTCTGGGTGGACGGAAGGCAGATGAAGGCACAATTGGATTACGTGTAGATTGGTTAAGAAGCCGCAAGCTGTGTGTGGCAAGATACAGCAAGAACAGAGGCGAATCACAGACAAAGGCAGCCAGACCAAACTACTCGTACAATATTCGTACATCTACATATTTATTTGTACGAACAGATAGTGGACTGCGACTGCTGCTCTGACCCTAAAGGTTATCTATTATCAGCAGTCGCCTCGACGCAACAGCACCTCTTTACCTCTCTCTCCCACTCTCTCTAGTCAACGTTTTCCGCTCATTATTGTAGAGATTTTTATATATTTTTTGTGTCAAGCGTATGTATGTCAGAGAAGTTCACCAGAGGGAGAATCGAGAGAATAAGATCCATACATTATGTATGATTGATGTACAACGATTCGTATAATTATAAAAAGATTTTCGTTTTCGAGAACGTTAAAACGCAAAAAGCCTAATAATACGAGTATTTGTGGGATTTTTTACCGCTGGGAATTCTATAGAATTTGTTGCGCATTAGAATTATGAATGGGAAATGAATTTAAAAATTGTGAATAACAACATCATTTAATGAGTGCTTTGAGAGGTTTTAAAAGTGTTGATATTTTCACTTGGAAGGGGATTTCCACTGCTGCTTCGTCTGTAGAGATCTTTAATTAAATTACATTTTTATTCTGAGAAAATACACAAAAAAAATACTTGCTAGAGATCTTTATAAAATAGCCTCTGTTTTATATATATACAAGATATATGTCTACATGTGTTTGTACATACTATACGTATATTAATTCTGCAAAAATAACGTGCCTCTATATTCTCTTTGCGGCGGGGGGAGGCTCTCTCCGTTGAAGCTGTTTCTAAGATAATTGTGACAGTAGAACGAAAAAGAGAGCATCCTCTCTTTCATCTGGTTTGCCTGCTCCGATGATATCTGCTCCAACCATCCCAGCTCATCAATCTCCATCGAAATCTAACAATTAAATGCCTGTCAGAAATGGTGGAAAGGAAGCCCCGCAGACAAATGCGCACAACTTTTGTTGCATTTTTTGCACTTTTTTCCTTCAGTTTGCCAGACAGAAATTTCACAAGCTTTTCAAATATCCTTTTGCTGACAGGATAGGATACGACAGGACAGCACAGGACAGGACAGGAAAGGAAAGGACTTTTGTTTGTTTATCTGAAAACTATTTGCTTTAAATTTTTCAGCCTCCTTCTCTCACTCGATTTCCCACTCGATTTCTGTCTTGACCTCTGGATTATATTTAAATATTTGATAAAAGAAGGAAACAGCAGATAAAAATGAAAATTGTTTGAATGATTTGACGCTTGACTTTTCATTTAACAATTGACTTGAGATTTTTGTGCATTTGGGACTGAGGTTGCGTGGAGGGGAGAGGTCATTGAGTGGCCTTGCAAATCCATTTTGGTTAGAAGAGTTTTCCCTCTTTCGATGGTGGGAACTTTAGCGGGGCATGAAAATGCTGCTGAATCAGGTAGGGGTGGAGGGGAGGGGAGTGGAGTGGAGAGGGGAGTGTATCTTAATGTTGAGAAGTGCCTTACACTTTGTAAATATTTGTGAAAAATACACTCTCCGCTCAAACAAAGCAAAAATCCTAATGTTATCTGAGCAGCTTACACACACACAAGCCGCCACCCCCCGCACCCCGCTCGACCGTAACACCAATCCCCTCCAAGTGGCTTCCAATTTCATTGCTAATGCGAAAACTATCGACAGATTCTCTCGCACTGGCTCTGGTCCGTCGTTCCATGCATACAGCTATCCAGCTATCCCATCCCTCCAATATCTAGCTATCTACAATCTGTCTGTCCATCTGTCCATCCGTCAGTGCTGACTCCAACTGTAACTGTAACTGTAACTGCTACTTCGTACTCTCGTACTCTCGTACTCTCGCACTCCTATCAGGGGCTCCTATCTACCCACCCCTTCACCATCCTGCTTTGACTGGGATGTTGTTTTCTACACTCTAAAAAATATAAATAAATAAAATATAAAATTAAATATAAATAAATAAAAT